AAAATCACTCAGCAATCACAATCACACAGTCTGGGGTACGCATGGCACACGAGTCTCCCTAACTGGCTACCCCAAAGTCATCGCTCCTTATCACTACAGGTTTCGACCAACTTGGATCGAGCTAACCTTGCTCTGATACCAAATCAACCGAGATGTTACGGCTCGGAACCCACCGAGCCCGCGATATCCCGTCCATGGTCGAATTGAACGCGACGTCCCAGGACGCATTGCCGACTCCAAACGAAACACCCAACGATAAAGGCAAGCGGAAGCGAATTTAAAACAACCTAGACAATAAAATATGACAAAGGGATAGCACAAAACAATAATTGCATAACATCATAAAGTAGTCATTATTACATAACGATAACCTGGGCTACCAATTTCAAACCACGCTTTTCAAAAGGGGGCGGTGGTTAATAAGCTTATCTTCTCTACAAAAAGGTATTCAAAAGACAGGGTAAATTTGATCTATCCTTCAATCCCTGTAGTACTCTGGCGGCATCTCCGAATCGATCATGGTCGCGGATCTGAAAGTGGTTATATAATAACCGTGAGAACGAGTCTCAATAAGCAACACCTTAAACCCTACGAAGGCCAATGCGTACCCAAACAAGTCGTACAAGCAATCTAACCGTCAACACAAAGAATTCACGTCATTGTACTTACCTCGCCATCAAACGCATGCTCTGCACGTTAGTTAAACGTGATAATGTAATATTAATAGTCTAATAACATATCACAATCACTCAAGCACCAACCATACTAGCACTCAATCAATCCAACCAATTCAATCACACATTCAATCAGCTAGTCCAATCAGTTCAATCAATTCAATTACACACAACTCGCATGCGTGGTCGAACACCTTCCACGACCTCCTAGGTCCTTTCACACTACCCGCGCCACTGCGCCTCAGGCCCAATCTCACAGCCCGCGCCACTGCGCCTCAAGCTCAGCCCTCAGATCAAGCCGGGCTCGGTCCCGCGTAACCACGCCTCAGGACATTTTTCCCCTTCCAATGACCCGTGTAACCTATGCCTCAGGTTTGGTCATGCCTTTCTCGCCACACCTGCGTAACCACGCCTCAGGTTGGCAGCCCTCCGATCAATCCAGGCTTTTTTTCATGCACATGCACCACAACACAATTCACCATTCTCACAAGTCGTACCAATCAAACTCAAGGCATGCTCACCACAATATTTCACTAACCCGACCTTCAAGTCGGTCACATTCAGCTATCAATTCCACTCACAAACGCCACAATAAGCCAATTATTGACCCACCAACAATAGCCACAAATATGCACTCACAATCATCCCAATTCTAGATCACAAGTTCACGATTCCGACATTTAAGCCGAATACAATCACACATCAATTTTCCCCACACACGCCACGACAATACGGATATTTAACCCACCATAATTAGCCACTAATTAAGCCCCACAATTATCACAATTTAATCTAACATATACGCACATACGAATATTGACCTTAATCCACGTTTAGCCTATAAACCGGTACTAATCATATCCTAAACAAGTCTAAAAATATCCATAGTCCTAAATAAGGATTTGGAGGTCACTTACCTAAATTTGGCCCGGAAAAAACCCTCACGGGCTCAAAACGGGCCGGATGAACAGTAACAACGAGGGCGCGACGGGCGCGGGGCTCGGCCACGGCTTGGCACACAGCCCGGCACACGGCCACGGCTCGGGACAGTCCAGCCATGGCCTGGGCATGCTCGGGCTGGCTGGGCAGCGGCTTGGCGAGCTCGGCCACGGCCCGGGACGCTCGAGCGACGACGACGACAACTGTGGTTGGACTATCCCAGCAAGCACGACGGTCGCAAGTGGCTGGGCAAGGTCGCCGGTGGCTGGATGGTGGCGGACGGACCGGCGGCGGCGACCGGAACGGCGATGCACGGCGGCTGGACGAGGCGGCGCCGGGGAGAGTCCAAAACAGGGGAGGCGTCGGGGAGGAAAAAAAACAGGGGAAGGGCGGTGGTGGCAGCCAAGGGGGGCAGCAGGGCGGCGGAGGTGGCTGAGGGGAAGGGCTGGGTGGCGGAGGCGGAGCGGCGGCGACGAAGCCCGAGGCCGAAACAAGGGAAAGCGCCGGGGAAGGAAAACAAGGGGGAAAGGGGAGGTCACACGGAGGCCGGAGGCGGCACGGCCATGTCGCGGGCGGCCGGGCGACGGAGGGCGAGCCGACAAGTACTGGGCAGCGCGGGATCGCGGCGGACGCGCGGCGAGCTGTCGTCCAAGGCGAGCTCGCGTGCGGCCGGCCCAGCTGGGGCGACAGCGAGAAGGCGGGGCGAGCGGCGCGGTCGCGAGCGAGCGAGCGGCGGCGCGGCTCGGTCGGGCGACGGCGGCGCAAGGCGGACGGCGACTGGGCTGGTCCTGGCAAGCGGTGAGCGGCGTCAGGCAGCAAGAACAGGGAAGCAGGAGTAGCAGCGGGAGGAAGATGAAGAAGAAGAAAAAGAAGAGAAAAAGAAAAAAAAGAAAAGGAAGAGAGAGAGGAGAGTGGATAGGTCTAACAGAGGGGAAAAGGGGACAGACGTGCGCAAGGGGGGAAAGTGACCGGGGAGAGCGAGAGAACAAACGTTCAAATAATCATTGCGATCCAACGGCCTACATTTAAAATCGAAAACGATCAAATGGTCCAAATTAATCCTAGAATATAATAAAGGATAAATGCCAAATTAATTAAATCAAACTATCTCGAGGGAGGTCTACTAGACCAAATCCGCATCCGGTCAAAAATCCAATTTTCACATATCCCGGGTAATCTCAAGGCTGGCTACAATAATATCGACACCGTCCAATTAAATTCGTCCCGGAACTCCGAGAAATTCGATACCAAAATTTGGGCTCTAAATAACGGCCAAATTCAATCGAGTGCGATTCTAGTGAAATCTCTATTTTAAAAATAAAATAACCGAGAGTGATCAGTTTCCGGGCGAGATTTTACTATAAGCACACTGACGAATTACACGTTTTATAAATCCCAAAAATGGGCCGAAATTCGGAATGTCACAGGTTTAGTGATATCCTACCATGACACGAACAAGGGTTTGGGCTTGGAAAAAGAACAAGATCCATTGTTGGATGAAATCACATCTTCATGACAAGGGGTTCGTCCGGAAAAGAAGAATTTGCTATTGGAGGAGACTTTTTCGATCACTCCAAGGATGCTAATTCATAGTTAAGAGATAGTGTGCGTCAGAATTTTTTCTAAACTAATCTTCGCGACTTGTTAGTTTCTTAACTTAAGATTGCTAATAAGATCCGCATTTTTACTTGGAATTCAAAATTATGTTTGAGGACCTAATTCTATATGCTATTTCAGTACCCTGACAATTCACTACCCATGGCTGCGAAATGTTCAGTGAAAGCTTCTGATTCTCGTCATCTGGCTTGTTGGCCACAAAGCTGTAGAATGCTTCGTTGCACTCCAAGAAGGTGCTCACAGACATATTCTTCAGTGGGGAGAAAGCATCTGGATGATGATCCTTTTCAAGTTAACTCGCTTATGATATTTCTCTATTATTAGCTTTATCTATTGTATTTGCTTTTGCGTGAGATTTCGGCGAGGCCACAGATTCCAATTATAAAGAGTATGATCGCAAAGTGTGCTCTCTCTTTTTTTCGGTGATTATCAGTCTGTCGTGCTTTGGTTTAAGAGAATGTCATCTTTAAATGTGTCTATCCTTGTCAAGCTGCAATGGTTGTGTTTATGATTGGATCCATAGGTTGCACAGAATTGAGAAATTAATGGTCGGTTAACTCCATTCTGAAAGAATCAAAACGTTCTGTAATGCAGCGGCAATATCACTTGGGTCTTTCTTGGACTCTGATGAATCCTCCAGCAGCTTTCTTCCTTATCAGCCAACTACGGAAAGTAAAAGTTGCCGAGATTGAGCAATGTGGGTTCACGTGCGAGCTTTACCTTCTATTATCATCTTATAGAAGTCCATGATCTTAATAAATTTATAATTCTTATGCAATATTTGGTAATAAATCTCTGAATGATGCACAAGAGATAATCTATTCATTTTTATATTGGTAATAAAATTCTAGCAAATCTTTAATTCTTATATATATAGTGGTTTATGCATATACTGGCGATGAACATTTAAAGATAATTTTTCGTGTATATACAAATTCTGACTAGATAAATGATCAAAGATCTATGGCATGTAAAATTCTATTTTTTTCTCAAATATCTTTTTTTGTGTTTAATTTTTATGACATGGTATTTCTTATCTGTAATATGAGAATTATTATACAATGAGCCTCACTGACAATGATAAGAATCATCACGGTCTTATTACTACAATTAATTATCAACAAAATAGCTAAATGAATGAATTCGCATCACTTATAGCTATTGAACTAAGAGCTACGATAAGTTCTAAAGTAACAATTTGCAATAATTACAAAAAATTTATAAAATAAAAATAATAGTTAAATATTCCCTGATATCGCATATCTCAAAATAAATGTTTGAGAATTTATGTGTATATATATAATTCCCAAAAGCGAATTTTTAATTCCTACAAAAAGTTTATAAAGGAAAAGATAATTGTTTATATTGCGCACAAAAAAAAGTTAAAAATTAATTTTTTATAGCTGTTGATTTTAGGACTCTGATAAGTAGTGAGGATTTTTAATCATTGCAATATAAGAGAAAAGATAGGTTTAGGAAGTTGTGTTACCTGATTGCACAATTTTTCAAAAGTAAATATTTAAATATAATTGCTAATGCAATCGATGGAAATATATGTGGTGACTTTTTCTTATTATGATTGACTTTGAATTTTAAAAAATCCAAATTTCCTATAATTAGTTTTGATCATGCATATTCAAAAAGAAACGTCGACTTGAACAATTCCTTCTCCGATCTCCGTCTGTGACCGAGACTAGTGAAGAAAGGCGCGCATTCCGTCATCGGTGCGCTCGATTTTCTGCAGAGAATCACTTCGTGTTGTTTGTCAAATTATGGATTAAAACTGGCTTATGGGTACGCTTGATTGTCTGCAGAGACCAAGGCCAAGCATGGCAGCAACCAAGATGAGTTTGAAGCTTCTTGTTGACCAGAGAAACCAGACCGTGCTCTTTGCCGAAGCCGGAAAGGACTTTGTGGATTTCCTCTTCCATTGTCTGGCTTTGCCAGTTGGAACTATCGTGAGTCTTCTCCCTAAAACAGGCGTGGCGGGTAGCCTGCGCAATCTTTATGCAAGTGTCGAGAATCTCAGCGACACATACATTGAACGTAGAGAGAAAGAGGCTCTGTTGAATCCCAAAGCACGGACCGGTCCAGATGTTCTGCGCTTATTGTTGCCTGACTCTCCGCCTTCAGCGCCAGTAAACTACTACACTTGCGCTCCTAATGGCGGTGGTTATTATGGCGCTCCATGCAGTAGCTATGTGACGAATTCCCCTTCTACGAAATGTCCTGGTTGCAGCCATACGATGAGCAAGAAACTTTCATGGGTCGCGGGACCAGCTGTTGGTGCCACATCCACAGCCAAGGTACCCGGTGGGGAGGGTGGTTATGTGAGAGGCATCGTCACGTACATGGTGATGGACGATCTGATTGTGAAGCCCATGTCCACCATCTCTTGCATTACTCTCCTCAACAGGTTCAATGTGCACGAAATCGGGGATCTCAAAGAGAAGGTGATCGACTTCGGTTTGGACGAGGTAAGGCCTGCAAAAGTCCAACCTTTTACAAATATTTCGACCACATTTGAAATTCGACAATGTAATCTGATGGTTTGATTTTCAACTGGTGGTTGTATGTCTGCTCGGTACCATGGCATAAGAGGATAACCGGTTCTAGAGCTACTACGTTGTTTGTATGATATTAGAAGGCTTGATCCATCCCATCACTATTTGGTTAACTCATCAACTAAGAGCACATCAATGCTCAGATATATGGAAGAAGAAACTGAAGATTCCAATCTAATTACAGGGATATATCCTATAAACACATCTGCAAGCCTCTGTATCAATTTGCTTTTAACACCCGTTGCCCGCATCAGTTCTTCAACTTATATTACTAGACCTTTTTAGAAGGCATACAGATTTATGACCAATATGCGAGCTATTGCAAAAGTGCTATTACTATTTGCTGGAATAGAGTTCGCATACTGAACTTGCAAAAAAAGTAACCACGGTCTCCTTTCTCCAGTACCATTTTCTGACTTGTCTTGTGCCGTGTGATCTTTACTCAGGCCATAAAGCTCTTGAACACTTCATTGCACTCTAAGACGGTTCTCACGGATATATTCAGCGGGGTTCTCACAGACAGATTCAGCGAGGAAAAACCTCGGTGAAACACTATTCTTCAACGTCGGAAACTAGTCTCTGCTATATATCAGCTTGCTGGACTAGATTATTCCTGCTACTTTTTATGATGATGATGAAGCTGTTCAATTCCCGTTAAAATTTACTCTGTTTTATATATTAGCTTACTCAGAATTAGGCTCTGAGTGATGATTATTCTGTGGAACTATGGTGTGTAAGATGTACTTTACCTCTAATGTGCATATGCTTGTCAAGTTGCAGGAATGTGTTTTATGTGAATAGATCACGTAATCGATAGATCTACTAAGAACTGCCATCCCAAAGAAAATGAAATCATATTGGAGATGAGTGCGACAATTACGAGTAAATAATCATAGGGTGTAGCCAAAATTCCTCAGTTACTACTTCATTGCTCTAGATAGGCTAGGGTCTGTAATACAATGGAGTGATTGTAGCAACATAATTTCGGCCTTTCTTGCCAAGGAAGACTTGGTTGGAACTGTCTTGGACTGTAATGGTGCCTTCAGCAGCAAATTTTCCCTGCCGAAGGAATCACCAAAGGGTTAATACTATGTTGATTGTCGTCGAGTGAACGTCCAGTAAATTATAAAAACAAAATGAAGGAATTATGACAATACATCGTCTGAATTTGTTAGAGGCTTTTTTCTGACTAATTAGACGAGTTGTGAGGACAAAACCAGAAGCCATACATGTGGTGAAAGACGAAAGAAGCACTAATTGAGGAACTAGCCAGGAAAACAAATGTAGTTTGATTCGACTTACCTCGTCCCCCTCAAAATCAACAAACTTGTCTGCAATAATTGCAGCCTTGTCCTTCAACATGGTAATGCACAAGTCAGTAGTCATCGGCTTCACCATCAGCTCATTCACGTAGGCACTCTCCCCGGCTGGCACTTCGACGAAATCCACTCTTTGGTCCATGATGGCGTGGCAATGAGGACATTCCATGGAAGGGTCGTCGACGACCTTCCTATCGTTATGAGTACAATCCTAAGTCTGGCACATTTAGCAATGGAATTGGTGTGACGAAGATGTGATGAATCCCTAGGCAATTAAAGAGTGAACGGGTTTGTGATGTTTGAACCCCGGTTGGGGAACTTGGGCTTCAAGAGGCTCTGCTTGCGATGGGGCATAATGTAGTACGCATTCTCCAAGTCTTTTGCCGCTCCCGCAAAAACCACTCTTTGCTTTCTCTTGTCAACCACGAGCTTCAACTTCAACTTTGGTGTTGACTCTATTATCTTCTTTTGTGAGCAGAATCTATTATGAATGTTCCCTAGGAAATTGATGGGATTAAGATTACAATAAACTGCGACGGATCGACCTTGACAGATCTTGACTTATGTGGAAATTGTTGAACTCGTTTTCCTATGGCTTTGGCGTATATCTTAGAGGTATATTTGCTTTAAACCTGGCAACAATAATAGCGGGGACAAATAATACCTCAGGCATGTCGTCATCACGAGTCAAAGCATCAAGAACTATAAATTACTATCGATATCTTCATTAGCAATCAAATTTTCTCAACAAATGGAACAATGTTTTCTTCTAATCTCATTCAGATGGATCAAGTTCGTATTGAAAACAACTTCTCTAATGAAAATAATGGCGGTGATGATGACGACCGGAAATCGTTTTTTTAACTTTAGCTTTGACTCATGTGATCCTAAGATTGACTTTGTAATGTTTTAGGTTCCTGCATATCTTCATCTATGAGATTTGGATCAACAGGATAATTTTTTTCCTCTACTAATTCATTATTTTTATCTTGATCTTTTCTTTACTTAATTTGTTTTTTGCATAATCGATATCGTTGTTCTTAATTTTAGTTCAGTGGAGAGTCCTTCTAGAGCAATTTGATTTGAGCAAAAGGAATACGAAGCCATTTCATTGCACAATGATTTCGTTATTAGTTGTAAAGCAACATTTCAAGTATTTTTTCATACTTATAAATTTAATAGATCTATTCCGACCAAAAACAATTAATAGAATTATATAATGACGTTAACGATTTCTTTTTAGTAAGTAATAATATTTTTTTTACTTGTAATTATTTATATTTCGGTAGCTAATTTATTTTTTCTTTCTTCATTTTCAAGAAAATTGATTCTGCGGGTCCTCTCATGATTTTTGTCTCTCAATTGAGGTTGCAATAAGGAAACATAGAAGTCATAAAATAAAATAAAATAAAATAAGAAGGAAACATTGAGTAAAAAGTTGCACCCTTTATTACATATAGTTCATTAAATAGGGAGAAGCAGTAAAAAAATTTATTACCGGATATAAATATATATATGCAAAATCTTTATTTTGCAAGATAGTAATTCAGCCCACCATTTTGTTATTCCCACGTACATATGACTCACTTATTTATGTTACTGTTATATATTTTGCCACCCTTAAGATTTTGTTCTTCTTCCGTCCCGATTGGCAAGGCGCATGTACTCGGATTCCATCTCAACTCTCTTGTTTGTCTTCCTTCTCCGATAGTAGAACTATTTCTTTTTTCTCGGAGAAAATTGCAGACTTGGAATGAGTCCTCACTAGTTACTTGTGTTGGAGACAAGAAGCCACGAGATCTCAACGCGCGTGAACATATGTTCGATTCATTCATGTATTCGACCGGTTTTCAACGTGACCAACCATGTCTAATCTCTCCAAGATTATAACAACTGATACGCAGCCTTTGACTCTTCATTTGTTTCTGCCCTTTTTCACTTCATTTCGTTTCTAAACAAATTTGGCCTTTAATATGTATAAATACCGTATTTTTATTTCACGAGTTTGAATCTTTCACGAAACTGGATCCAAGATGTAGATAAAGATCGTTAAACCGAATCTGTTGGGAAAGAAATCCAAATATTCTATTTTGATTGGAATTTCTCTTGAAGGGTAGATGGATATAAGATATGATGAGATTTGTTTTCCTTTCGAAGATAACTTGTCCAATGAATGGGCATAAAGATTTGAACGTGGGAGGAGAAAAAGGAAAAACGATCATCTAAGATTTGACCGGATGACCAAGAATCGGAATTCTTGCCAAAGTCCTGCAAGTGGTCTCTTTCTTTTTCTGGCACAAACACAGAAGCATAAAGAATAGGCACGCTCAGGGAGACCTTTCTTTGATCGCACGGAGCGAGTTCTGAACACGGTAGATTTTGCGCGGTGAGTTTTACGTCCAGTTGAATTTTCTTATTGTGTGTAATTTAGGTTACAAAGAATGTGTGGTCGATTGTTATTAGGTAAATTTCCGATTACTTAGTGAATCATTTGAGTGAAACCGACGGAACGCAAATCTCTGGTGTCATTTTGCGTTGATTTAATTACGAGATCCGACATATTTCCCTATTTTGCATAAGTCTCATCCTCCTCTCTGCTTACAGTGACCCAAAGAATGGCGACAGGCAAAGTGAGCTTGAAGCTTGTGATCCACAAGAGCAACCGAACGGTGCTCTTTGCTGAGGCAGGCAAAGATTTTGTCGACTTCCTCCTCCACATCCTCGTATTGCCGATCGGACAGGTGATACAGCTCCTCACGAAAACTGGGATGGTGGGCAGTTTAGGCAATCTCTACGACAGCGTCGAGAAGTTGAACGATGTGTACATCAAATCTTCCAAGAAAGACATTTTCTTGAAACCCAAAGCACCCGCCTTTCTCTCCGAAATCCCATTTCTATTGCCTGAGACTTCGTCCTTACATTCACCACCCAAAACCTACTACAGGTGCTCTTCCCGTTCGAACGTTAACTGTTGGAACTACGTGGCTGAGGACCGTTCTGCATTATGTCCTCAGTGCAAAAATTCCATGAACCAGACATTCACTCTTGTCAGATCAGCATCAGCATCAGCACCCAAAACCTACTACAGGTGCTCTTCCCGTTCGAACGATAACTGTTGGAAATATGTGGCCGAGAACCGTTCTGCAATATGTCCTCAGTGCAGAAGTCTCATGAGCCACATATTCACTACTGTCATATCACCGGCTGGTAAGCCGGCTGCTGCGGCGGCATCAGCAGCTGAATGGGACGGTAAGGGCGGGTTCGTGCTAGGGGAGGTGATGTACATGGTGATGGACGATCTGGCCGTAAAGCCGATGTCGACTGTTTCGAGCATTACTTTGCTCAAGAATTTCAACGTGGAGGAGATTGGGCTTATTGAGGAGAAGGTGGTCAGCTTGGGAATGGACGAGGTAAGCCCATGCCTTCCCTTGCGATTACGATATGTTTTGGACTTTCGAAATGCAGACTTGATAAATCAACAATCTATGTGGAAAATCCATTTTAAGAGACGTATAAATTGCAAATAAATATGATGGACATGATTTGCTCTGTACCATAAGTATTCTCAACTAATTATAGTAGGCATATATTGATTAAATTTAAATTTAAGCTTTGGTTCAATCATTTAGAGATGCTTAAAGGGTAAAATAAGATTACGCTCGCAATTATTATAAGGGCTTATAAAGTCCAATATAATTTGATCCAAAATGAAAGAAAGTTACTGTCCTTTTCAATTATTTGGTTTGTAACTTTGAAGGGTATAAAGCTGCTGATGACTTCATTGCACTCCAAGAAGGTTCTCACTGATGTCTTCCTCGGTGTGAAGCGAGAGAGATCGTGATCGAGTGGGTGCCATAGAATTTCAATTTCTCTTGATATATGTAATATGTATATGGAGTGATATTTTCTTATTTTGTGACTGGGGTTATGCAAGACTTTTAGTGTGGATTGAAATTTTTAAGTCTTTTTTTTCTTTTTGTGATATGATGGCATCGGTTTGGTAATAAAAAATGATGTGCACGTGATGAAGAAAGAATTCTCATAGCCGATAATGAATGCTCAAGCATATGTCGTAAATTGTGGAACAAATGTAGACAGGCCATACGTAAAATTAACTTGTGCTGGAGAACGTGGTGGTGATTAATTTTGAAGTACTTCAACAATGTCCCTCATAAGTTAGCACCTATGAGTCGTGGTCCGGTCCAACTGAGTGCCCAACTCTCGATACACGATAAGTTGTCCTTGTAGTTCTATTGCATAAGCTCGGACATGAAGGGAAAACGACAGTAGCTTGACTCATCGCCTATTCGAGATCGGCTCGAATTATTTTTGAGCTCGCGTTGAGTTTGAGTAACTCAAGTAGCCTGTCGAGTCGAGTTTGAGCCTAAAGATACTTGACTCAATCGGTTCACAATCCTAATTAATTATTTTATTTTTTGTATGGGAAAATTGTCATTTTAGTCATAAATTTATTGCACTTTTACCAATTCAGTCCTAAACATTTTCACTTCTTACAAATTCAGTCATAAACCTTTGCACTTCTTACCAATTCAGTCATAAACCTTTGTATTTCTTACCAATTGAGTCCACATAGCCGGTCAGCGCTAACGTGGCAATTTTTTAATTTTTTTTTGAATTTTTTTCTACCTTTTCTTTTCCCTTTGGCTGGTCCGGCGACGGCGACCGGCCAGAGGCGCGGGCCGGCCAGGTCGACCTCGCCGGCCTCTAGCGAAGCTCACTACCGCCGGCCACTGACGAGGGCGAGCCTTGCCCGCCGCTGCGAGGCTGGCAAGGTCGACCTCGCTGGCCTCTGGCGAAGCTCGCCCCCGGCGGCCACTGGTGAGGGCGAGCCTCGCCCATCACTACGAGGCCGACCTCGCCCAGATCCGGCGAGGTCAAGCCTCACACAGCCAAGGCGAGGTCGGCCTTGTTGTTGCGAAACCCAGCGACGACGAGGCCGACCTCACCATGGCTAGGCGAGGCCAACCTAGCTGCAGCAGGCGAGGCTCGCCATAGCTAGTGGTCGGCGGGGGCGAGCTTCGCCAGAGGCTGGCGAGGCCGCGCCTCTGGTCGGTTGCCGGACTAGCCATAGGGAAAAGAAAAGGCAGGAATAAAAAAGAAAAAAATAATAAAAAAATTCAAAAAAAATATTTAAAAATTGTCACGTCAGCGTTGCTCGGACGGCCGATGTTGACGTGGTCGTCGGCCGGCTGTCACGTCAGCGCCGACCGGCTAAATGGACTCAATTGGCAAGAAGTGCAAAGGTTTAGGACTAAATTGGCAAGAAGTGAAAAGGTTTAGGACTGAATTGGCAAAAGTGCAATAGGTTTAGGCCTAAAATGACAATTTTCCCTTTTATGTATAGTGTTTTTTTTTCATTTTAGTGACAGATAATGTTTAATGTACTTATAACTATATTCCATACTATGTAATTACACTTTCACCCTTTGATATAGTTTTAAACACAAGCAAAAGAGGCCAGTGCAAGTATTTTGAATTGAGTTGAGTTCGATTGAGCAAGAAAAAATCAAGTTTGTTTAGTTTTATATACATAAAAATGAGTTGAGTCAAGCTGAGTCGAGCTAGTGTATGTCGAGTTTGAGTTGAGTTTGAATAGGTGAAAAAAGTACTTGATCGAGCTTTGAGCCTCAAATCAGGTTGAGCTCGAATGTGGCAGCTCAACTCAACTCGTCTCTGACTTGATTGCACCCCTTCGTACATCTAATCTAATATAAGTATAGTGGTGCTCCATGCAACTCTCAATATGAGGTTGAATGCTGCTCTAATATGGAATGCCACATGGCCATTTATTTCAATTTACCCTTTGTATAATCTAAGTTTGCTGTTAGTTTCATCTTCTCTGATCTTCTACTAAATTAAAGTTTCTACATCTAATTTCCTAATAAGTGAAGTTTCCAACTTTACCCTTCATATATATAAATATTGTTTTATTACATCTAAATGAAATGTTTGTTAGTCGTCTCACATTTTGAAATCCATACACAGCATGACAAGTTTAAGCAAACGCAAAAAATGTGACATTCCGAAATTCCACCAATTGGAATTTATTGAATAATTGAGTTTTATGAGATGTGCACGCAGTAAGTTCTCGCCCGGAACTGATCATTCCTGGGAATGCTAACCATTAGGGAAAGGCTAATAGGGGAATTAAATTCGCGCGACTAAAGAAAATTCGACCGTGAATGGACTTCGACCATTAAATCGCGGAAGTGATATTTTGAGCCACTGTTGGCCGATCCAAGGATAGTTAGGGGTCAGTTCGTCACTGTCATAGTAGTGGATCGCGGGTGATTCCGTTGGACCACGAAACGACTTGACGAATGATTCTGAAATTATACCGAACGATCGTACTCCTCGGATCAAGTGATTGATCTTCACGATTTTAATGACAACCGAGGTCGTCACGCACCGAACGGACTTGCACGTGACTCGATTTAGTATCAGTCATGAGTCGATTTCGCGAATTTCCCCAGCAAGTCGCCCGTTAGCTCGAGAAACGCTAGAGTTACGTTTAATAGAATTTAATTATTGAATTTTTGCCCAAATTGGATACCGGAAAATTAGGAAGTCACGCCGGAACGTTAGGACGACGTTGCACGTGACACGTGCGAATTTTTGGTGCACTCAAATCCTTCAGAAAAATTCGATTTGGACAAGAAACGGAGGAAGTGACCAAAATACCCCTAGGATTTATTAAAGGGCAAGCTTTAAGGGTAAAGGGCATTTTGGTAATTTTGCCCTAAAATTTTGATTGGACAATTTTACCCTTGAATTTTTGGGAAATTACAAGTATGCCCTTGGATATTTTTGTGCAAGAATCGATCTCGACCGTCGGATCAAGATAAGATCGAATCGGGACCGTCGGATAAAAAATATGAGAAAGGGGCATTTTGGTAAATTACCAAAAAGTGGTCAAATTGGACATATTATCTTTGACCCATTCCTTCGCTCTCCTCCATTTCTCTTCCCCTTTATGCCGTAAGCATCCCCCCAACCGTAGACACACACACACACACACACACTCTCTCTCTCTCTCTCTCTCTCTCTCTCTCTCTCTCTCTCTCTCTCTCTCTCTCTCTCTCTCTCTCTCTCTCTCTCTCTCTCTCTCTCTCTCTCTCTCTCTCTCTCTCTCACGTGAGGCAAGACCCACGGCCAAGCAAGCCCCTCGCCGCCGCGCAAGCCGGACCGCCCTCTAGCCGCCGTACCAGCCCAAACCACCACCACCAGCCACCGTTTCTCTCTCTTTTCTCTCTTTCCCCCAAGTGGCCGTGAGCCCAAATCAAGAGCCGGACCGCCGCCGCAAGCCGATCGCCGTTGCCGAGCTTCGCCGCCGTCCCCGCCATGTCCGTTTAAGTGCCGCCGCTTTCCGTTCTAGCCGCGATAGTCTAGAACGCGGGTAAGTTGCGCTCTAAACCCAACTTAGGACTTCGGGTATCGACGGGCGATTTTTGGGAGAAATCTGTATAAAGTTAGGTGCGGAATGGCATGATTTAGAAGTGGAAATTTTGTGGTGGGCCTTAGAATTTATTTCGGGCAATATTTATTGGAAATTAGAAAATAACAGTGGCTGTGATTTACTGTTCATGGGGCCGTGATGGGCCGATCGGGACGCAAGTTGGATTTTTAGAACCAAGAAATTACGGTGAAAAAGTCCCGTGAAGGACCGAAATCGATTTGACGTCGTTTGGTGGAAGAAAAATAATGATTTTGGTATTAACGGACTAGTGCTCGGTAAATTTTGGGGTTTGTTTCATGGACGAATTTATTGAGTTCACCTTGGGTGAAATTATGGCTGGAATTATGATGGTTTGGGGGTTATTTAGAGAGTAAATAAGGGCTGCCTACGAGAAGTATACATGCTGAAATTTGTGATTCGGAATAATGTGTTTATGGCTTGATTTGTGGTGTATATGTGTCGGATTGTTGTGTGATGTCGTGGCTGAATTGTGAGGGTCCTTGTGACTGAAATTACTCGCGATTGTGATGGTTATATGTGTGTTTATAAGTTACGAATTACTGTTCACAAGCTTTGATTTACTGTTCACGGGACTGTGATGATTTGTTCGGGACACAAGTTGGATTTTTAGAACCGGCATTTAATGGCGAGAAAGTGTCGTGAAGGATCGGAATTGATCCGACGCCATCTGGTTAGAGAAAATTGGCAATTTACGTGTTTTAGGCGCGTTTGGAATTATTCTGGATGGAGTTGATTTAATTGGGTGCTTAGTTGTGTAATTATATAATAGAATTATGCATGTTTGGTGCACGCGTGGTCCAGATTGAATTAATTGTTGACAGTGGCCATGTGAATTGCTGAGTGAGAGTGTTTTATGTGTGAAGTGATGCGTGCATGGGCTACGTGTGATGGGCCAGTTGCGTGTAGTAAATGCATGTAGAGCGTGTGCATGAGTAAAAAGGAATCGCGGTGTGGCAAGTGATTGTGGGAAAGTATGTGAAAGGGGTGAAAGTGCGAGGTTGGGATCAGGCCGAGTACCATAAACTCGGACAGCGATCACGTAGGTCTGTTGCATTTGGCACAGGCTGAGGCTTGAAAAAGCAAGTAGGAGATTCGGTCCTAGGCATGATAAGCTCGGATGAGACCGGGATTGGACCGAGGCATCATAAGCTCTGGTTCCGATCATGTAGGCCTGTCGCATTTGATGCGGGCTGAGTATTGAGTCGCAGTGTACCTGAGGCGTGTACGTTTACGCGGGACACTAGCGAGTGATGGGGAAAGTGATAAGTGGTCGCAGTGTACCTGAGGCGTGTACGTTTACGCGGGACACTGGCGAGTGGTGTGGGAAGTGATAAGTGGTCGCAGTGTACCTGAGGCGTGTACGTGTACGCGGGTCACTGGCGAGGAATATGGATGAGACATGATGAGAACGGAATGAGTGCATGACATGAAAATTGTGCATGCTTGCGATTATGTTGATGTGCCTGCTATGTGATTGTGGTGTAAGTGTGTGATTGTGTTTTGTGAAATTTCCTGGAGGTACGTGATAGCCTAGGTGGAGTTTAGGGGTGTACTTACTGAGAAGTGTCTCGCGGTTGTTTCAACAAAACCATTTCAGAGCCCCCGCCTGAGCCATGATCATATTGAGGCCGACTCGGAGCCGTCGGGTGAACAGACAGCTAAGGAGGATTCATGTGGTGATGCCGAGGACAGTGAGTCAGAGTGGACGCTTCCGAGAGGGCGTAGGGACTAATTCTGGGAGCGAGGCAATAAATTGAGAGGGCCCCATTTTTGGATAATGCTGATCTAGGATGCTGATCCTTTTTGTATTTGTGGAAGTTAATAATTACTGGTTCGGTGTGCTTGTAATAATAATGGATATTGTAAATATTATGGTGTAAGTTTGGCAATGAGAACGAATATGTTCATTCTCCCTTATTGATTCCCCAGTTTTAATTGTCCGGGATTATTTGTTAGTATCCGCTGTGGTTGTAAATCTCTGATGGTTATTTGAGGTCGGTGACATTTCTGGGACGTCGCACTTATCGACCAGGTAAAGGGTGTCGCGTGCCCGTTGGGGTTCGGGCCGTGACAAAAAAAATGAGTTTAGGCGCAGTTCTCTGGTCTAGATATATCCAAATGAGTCGTGTTTACACAAATAACATCTTGGTACATACATATACATTTGTCTAAACGTGTCATAAATATGGCAAAAAGAATGAATATCGGTGCATAATTATCAACATGATACTATAGTATTTTCATTTTTCACATTGGATTTACCCAATGTTGGAGACAATGAATAACTTACCGCGGAAACAAGTCGGGCCGAAAGTAGTTTGAAGGAGACCCGTTGCGAAAACTTCCCCAGGAAGCACCTCCAGCGCTGTGCTACTTTAGAAAAAACTTGGCCTTGAAGAAACTGTCTCAATAACTTTCTCTCCGTCCCGTCTCTTCTGATTTATATGGAAAAAGTGTCGTCTTTCTCAAAACTCCGCTATAAAAAAGGGCAAAACCTCTCTGTCTGCGACCTAAATTTGTGAAGAAGCAGCTCCTACTCTTGCAGGGTTGAAGCGACGATCCAGAGGTGCGCCATTTCATCATCACTCTGTGTTTTGGGAGCTCGGTTTTACGAACTTCTCGTTGTCGGTATCAAGAGTGTTCGGCTTGAAGTCGCCGCATCCGCATCCGTTCGCGTGAACTGAATCTGATTAACGCTCTTTTGTTTTGCTGGAATGGTTGACGCTCTTGTGAGCTAGGTTGGCAGAAGAAATAGAAGTAGACATGCTCTCGTTTGTTTCTTTTATTTGTTACTTGCATCACTGTAGTCCCCATTCATAAAAGAGTGAGGACTACACCCATTTAGTTGCTGTACAAATATATTTGCGAGTACGCAATAATCTCTCTTGTTCATCTTCCTCCTCCTACAGTAGAGCCATTTCCTTCTTCTTTTTTTGTCGGTAGTAGAGGTATTTCCTTTAACACGGAGAAAAAAATAGAATCCAAATGCGTCCATATTAGGTACTTGAAGACAAGAAGGCACAAGATCTGAACGTGCATGAACATATATTGGATTCATTCATGAATTTGACCGGTTTTCATTTTGACAAACCATTTCTGATCTCTCAGAGATGATAAGAGCTGATAAGTGGGCCTTGACTCTTCATGTCTACCTGCCCTTTTCACTTCCCTACGTTTCTTAACAATTTGGCCCTTCATATGTATAAATACCGCCACTGCACACACATGATGATCGACCAAATCTCCACTGTATCTACTCACAAAGAGCATTGCATAAGTCTCAGCTTCCTCTCTGCATATAGTGACACAAAGAATGGCGTCAGGAAGAGTGAACTTGAAGCTTCTCGTGCACAAGAACTACCGGAAGGTGCTATTTGCAGAAGGTGGGAAGGACTTTATCGACTTCCTCTTCCACATCCTCGCGTTGCCGGTCGGAACGGTGATCAGGCTCCTTGAGAAAACCGGGATGGTGGGCAGTTTAGGCAATCTCTACAGCAGCGTCCAGAAGCTGGACGATGTGTACATCGAATCTTCCAAGAAAGACATTCTCTTGAAACCCAAAGCACCCGCCTGTGTCTCTGAAATCCCGCTTATATTGCCTGAGACTTCGTCAGATTCAACGCCGACAGCCTACTACAGGTGCCCTAGCCGTTCGCGGGGTAGCTGTTTGAGCTATGTGGCGGAGGACCCTTCCGCAAATTGTCCCCACTGCAATTGTTCCATGAACCAAGCAGTCACTCTCGTCAAATCACAGGCTGGTAACCCGACGGCTGCTGCGGAACCAGCAGCTGTATCGAACAGTAAGGGCGGTTTCGTGCAAGGGGTGGTTACTTACATGGTGATGGACGATCTGGAGGTGAAGCCAATGTCGACTATTTCGAGCATTACTTTGTTTAACGAGTTCAACGTGAAGGAGATTGGGCTACTTGAGGAGAAGGTGGTCAGCTTGGGAATAGACGAGGTAAGCCCATGCCATAGCTTGCGTTTAGGATGTGTTTAGATTTACATGAAAATCTATTTTATGAGACGTACAAATTACAAATGAATGTTGATCGACATGAGTTGTATTGAAATAAAAAATAAATAAAAATTCTGGCTCTGTACCATGAAAGTAATCTCAACTAACTCTTGGTACTAATTGATTAATTCAGATTTTAACTTTTGTACATTCATTGAGAGATGCTTGTAGGTTAAATCAAGATTGCGTTCGCGATTATTATAGGGCTCATAAATTACAATATAATTTATTCAAAATGAAAGAGATCAACTTTTTTTTTTAATTACTTGCTTTGTAACTTTGTAGGGTATAAGGCTGCTGAAGGCTTCATTTCACTCCAAGAAGGTTCTCACTGATGTCTTCCTCGGTGAGAAGTGAGAGAGAACGTGATACATATGTTCTGATTTTGTGACTGGGGTTATGCAAGACTTCTAGTGTGGATTGACCTTTTTATTTTTGGATATCAACATGTTTATCGTCACTATTTAAGTATTTATGATATGGTTGTATTGATTTGGTCCAAAATATGATGGGACCATCCTGAAGAATGATTATATGTCTAATAGCCGATAATGAATGCTCAAGCATATGTTGAAATTGTGGAACCAATGTAGACATACATGCCATATGTAAAATTAACTCGTGCTGCACAACGTGGGTTGATCAATTTTAAAGTACTTCAACAATGTCCCTGACAAGTTAGCACCTATGGGCCGTGGTCTGATCCAACCGAGTGCCCGACTCTCCATTCGTGATAGGTTTTCCCTGAAACTCTATTGCAAAAGCTCGGATTGACTAGTCCCATACACGAGATCAGCTTAATTTTTTTCAAACTCGAGTCGATTTCGAGTTACTCTAATAACTTGTTGAGTCAAGTCTGAGTCTGTAGATACTTGACTCAATTGGTTTGCAAGATTAATCGAGTTTTTTTATGTAGTTTTTTACTACTTTAGTAACGTATAATGTTTAATGTCCTTATAATTATTCTTCATACTATGTAATAACTCTTTCACCCTTTAATACATTTTTAAACACAAAAGAAAAAGTCGAGCTCTAATATGTTCAGTTTTGTGCCCAATAGAGTTTATGCAGTCGAGTTTATGCATGGGGAGGGGGGAGCTTTGAATCGGGTCGAACTCGAGCTTGGCAGTATGTCAGCTTAACTTAACTCAATTGCAGTGCTACTTACACATCTAATTTAATCGAATGCATTTTAAGTACAATGGTGCTTCATGCAACTCTGAATCAGAGGTTGACACGTCACTCTATTAATGAATATGGCATGTCCCTTTTATGGGGAAAATTTCCAAAAATTCCTAAATTTAACATTTCAATTTTGCCAATTCAATCTTAAACATTTTCACGTTTTGCCAATTGAGTCCACTTGATTAATTTTAGCCAGAAATAGCCGGCGTGGATGGTGGTCGTCCTACGTGGCATAACTGATATTGACGCGAATAATTTTATTGATATTTAATATTTTTTTATAATTTTTTAATTATTTTAATTTTTGTGTTTTCTTTCCTTTTCTTTTTCTTCTTCAAGTCTGATAAGGTTTGCCGGCACCCTCGCCGATTACAGGCGAGGGCTGGTTGACCCTTGCCAAACACAAGCATGGGCCAGCGACCCCCCTGGAGTTGAAGAAGAAAAAGAAAAACAAGAAAGAAAAGAAAAAAGAAGAAAAAAATAGTTCAAAAATTCAACAATATATTAAAAAATTATTAAAAATTGTCCACGTCAACGCTAACCATCCTACGTAACACTACCAATGTCCACGTCAGTGATTTCCAACAAAAATTAACCAGATGGACTCAATTAATAAAACGTGAAAATGTTTATGATGAATTGACAAAATTGAAAGGCTTATGACTGAATTGAAAAAAGTGCGATAGGTTTAAGACTTCTTGGACAATTTTCCCCCTTTTATGCTTGCATGTTACATTTCCAATTTTACCCTTTGTTTTTGCCAATTTTCCGTTATTTTCATCTTTCCCTAATCTTCTATTAAATTAAAGTTGCTACATCTAATTTCCTAACAAGTAAGAGAAAGTTTTCCAAAAATTTATAAACCTATTGCCCTTTTGCCAATTCGATCCTAAATCTTTCGATTTTACTAATTGAGTTCTAAATCTTTTCATGTTTTGTCAATTAAGTCTATTCGACCAAATTTAATCGAAAATCGCCAATGTGGACGCCAATAATGCCTCGTAGGGAGGCCAACGCTGATGTAAAAAAAATTGATAATGTTTTATTTTTTGCCTTTATTTTTTCTTTTTCTTTTTTACTTTTCCTTTTTTTTCTATCAAGTCCGGCCACCCTCGCCGATCACAAGCGAGGCTTGGCGGACCCTTGTCGAACATAGGCGAGGGATGGCGAATCCACCAGGTCACCGCTGGTCGCGGGTGAGGGTGCAGACCTCACACAAATTTGGGGAGGGCCGCGAAGCCCTCTCCGGTCACGGGCAAGCGCGAGGTCTAAAAGTGATCACTTTTAAAAAAATGTATGCTCTATTTGTTTTGTGGAATATGAATAATTTAAAAATATTTTTCTAGAAGTGATCATTATTTTTATTACCAACAACGATTTATGTCTAAATATTTTTATAGACAATAAACATTTTGTTCATTCATTTTTATAAACAATATAATTAATTATTTTTTTATAAAAAAATTTTAAATTATTTATTTTTCACGAAAAAAATAAAACCGTAATTTGTTCTTAATTTTGCTGCCATCAGGCTCCAATCGCAAGAATTCCGAAAGATTACGGCTTGGTTATGATGATCTGTGGGGAAAATTGTCAGGAGAAGACCCATTGCGAAATCTTACTCAAGAAGCTGTGCTACGGCGAAAGACTTCGCCACGAAGAACCTGTCTCCATATCTTTCTCTCTTTCTCTCTTTCTCGTCCCTGACTCAAAAGTAAAAGCGTTTATCTTTTTCAAAAGCCCCCGCCTTTTCCCGAACTCCACTATAACAGAGGCAAAGCTCTCTCTCTCTGACCACGACTTGCGAAGAAAGCAGCTCTTACACTTGCAGGGTCGGAGCCACGATCAAGAGGTGTGCAATTCCGTCATCAGTCCGTGCTTTACGAGCTCAGTTTCACGATTTTTCTCTGGTTAGTGCGATCTAATCGACGCTCTTGTGATTTAGTGTTAGCAGAACCAAACTGAAGTAGACATGCTCTCGTCTTTTTGTTACTCGCATCATCGTAGAGCGAGGTTACTGCATGTCGACATGCCCCGCTGATGATTTTCCCCAACAGGAGTTGTTTTTTTCTTAGTGTATCACGTAGATGTTCCTTCGTGAAACTCCTGCACATTTACTCATCCCAAAAAAGAGACAAACTTTTGGGTATTTCTCGATTTTCTCTTGGTTTGCATGGACACTTCCCCACGATTGTTCTCTCTAAGTCCAGCTTAAATTGAAAATTTTTGTCATGATCTGGTGCGATCAACTTGGATCAAAGCTCTAGAGTGGTGACTGTTGAATAGAACAAATGATGGGTCGGGTAACTCCCGTGCCCTCAGGCCTAGCCTGAGCCATAAGAGCCCGATCCGGCCGATTCTCAGATTTTTCTATAGAGACCGTATCATTGTTGTGCTAGAGCAAAAAATTGAGGCATGACCTTCCACCAAATGATCATCTTTGCTGTTGAGCATATGTCTAGTTTCATGAGCTCTCCCTCAACCATGGCAAAAACGGATGGACGGATGGCCCGATTGATATGTTTATAAGATTTGATACTTTTTAAAATCATGGTCGACCCCACGGAGGCTTAGTTCTCCTTCCCTACGATTTTCTTTCTTTTTGTTTCTCTTTTTATTAAGTTACACTTTGTAGTCTAAAATATCTTGTTTTCTCCTTTTATTTACATTCGATTTTGTAATGCAACTAGTAGTAGGCGATTAAATGATTGGATGGCACAAATGGCACGAGCTGAGATCAATTGCAACTATCAAAAGGACTCGAGTGAAAAGAAAAGGATAGAGAAAAATGCAAGTTAAACAGAGGAGTTGTCTTTTTCTTTATTCAATCGTGGGCGGGCATGAGAGTTTTTAGGCTCGATATCAGACTTAGCCTGGCCAGATAAAGCCCGATTCACTTCGTGCTGTAGTGAAATTATAGATTAAAGCTGGCTTATTGACACGCACCCGCCGTAACATGTTGAAGCAACTTCTCTGCGATTCCGACATTGCGAGTGTAAGAAGGCAAGTTGAAGCAGCTCCTCTGTTAGGGCTCGGTGGCTAGAGAGAGAAAGCGGGGGGAGGGGAGAGAGAGGGAGGGGGAGTAGGGTTTGGTGGTATTAAAGAGGGGAGGAGTAAATTGTGTTGCTTTTTGGGTGGGGGAGTCAACTGAACGTTTGAAGCCGCCTTTTCCATTGACTGTTTTTTTTAATGATAAATGTTAAATTTATTGGTGGAATGTGGATTATTTTTTTCTTTCGATTTATTGTTAAATGTTAAATTTAATGGTGGAATTTGGATTACTTGTTTTATTTTCTCCAAGTTTTATGGATTATTGACATGGAATTTAGTTGAATTTATCAAATTGAAACGATGAATGATATTAAGAAATGGTGGATTAATATTTTTAGTGTAAATTCATTTTAGGTTCTTTTTTTATTATTTATTTATTTGTGGATTTGAATCAAATTAATTTGTCATGTATATATAAAAATATACATTTAATATATAACATATCGTAGCGTGTCGGAATTCTCTGCTTTTTGAGAAATGACGTGTCGCGTGTCGGTGCTACATAGCTTATTGGTACGCTAGATTATCTGCAGAGACCAAAGGCCGAGCATGGCAGCAACCAAGATGAGTTTGAAGCTTCTTGTTGACCAGAGAGATCAGACCGTGCTCTTTGCCGAAGCCGGAAAGGACTTCGTGGATTTCCTTTTCAATTTTCTGGCTTTGCCAGTTGGAACTATCGTGAGTCTTCTCCCTAAACAAGGCGTGGCGGGTAGCTTGCGCAATCTTTATGCGAGTGTCGAGAATCTCAGCGACACATACATTGAACGTGGAGAGAAAGAGGCTCTGTTGAATCCCAAAGCACGGACCGGTCCAGATGTTCTGCGCTTATTGTTGCCTGACTCTCCGGCTTCAGCGCCAGTAGACTGCTACACTTGCCCTCGTAATGCCAGTGGTTGCAGTAGCTTGGTGACGGATTCCCCTTCTACGAGATGTCCTAATTGCAGCAATACGATGAGCAAGAAACTGTCATGGGTCGCGGGACCAGCTGTTGGTGCCACATCCACGGCCAAGGTACCCGGTGGGGAGGGTGGTTATGTGACAGGCGTCGTCACATACATGGTGATGGACGATCTGGTTGTGAAGCCCATGTCCACCATCTCTTCAATTACTCTCCTCAACAGGTTCAATGTGCACGAAATCGGGGATCTCAAAGAGAAGGTGATCGACTTCGGCTTGGACGAGGTAAGGCCTGCAAAAGTCACAACTTCATATAAATATTTCGACCACATTTGAAATTCGACAATGAAATCCGATGATTTGATTTTCAACTGGTGGTTGTACGTCTGTTCGGTACCATGGCATGAGAGAACAACCGGTTCTAGAGCTACTACGATGTTTGTATGAGATTAGAAGGCTTGATCCATCCCATCACTATTTGGTTAGCTCATCAACTAAGAGCACATCAATGCTGAGATAAATGGAAGAAGAAACTGAAGATTCCAATCTAATTACAGGGATATATCCTATAAACACATCTGCAAGCCTCCGTATCAATATGCTTTTTAACATCCGTTGTCCGCATCAATTCTTCAACTTAGATTACCAGACTTTTTTGGAAGGCATGCAGATTTATGACCAAGTTCTGATTATGTGAGCTATTGCAAAAGTGCTATTACTCTTTGCTATGAACCCGAAGTGCCATTACCCCTTTTTTATAACTCGTCTTGTGCCGTGTGATCTTTACTCAGGCCATAAAGCTGTTGACCGCTTCTTTGCATTCCAAAACGGTTCTCACAGACATATTCAGCGGGGTTCTCACAGCCAGACTCGGCAGGGGACTACGTCATTGAAACGCTATTCTTCAACTTCAGAAACACTCCATTCGTATGGCTTGCTGGGGTAGTTTATTCCTGCTACTTTGTAAGAAGCTGACGAAGCTATTCAATCTGTGATGTGAAATTAGTCTCTATTATGTATTAGCTTACTAAGAAATTACTTCCTGAGTGATGATCGATCTGTGGTACTATGGTGTCTAAGACAAAGGTTGCCTCTAATATACATATACTCGTCATGTCACACGAATGTGTTTTATGTGCATTTATCCTTTGGTTTAAGAAATTAATACATTTACTATGAACTGACATCCCAAAGAAATTGAGAACATCTGTGACATTAGTGCAACGATCACACGATTAGTAAGTAATTATAGGGTAGCACTACAATTCTTCAGTATCTACTGCATTGCTCTAGACAAGCCCTGGTCTGCAAAATGAGAGAGTGCAGCAGGCTTGACTTTCCGTCCAACGATCATCACTGTTTTCGAGCAGATAGCCAAACTCAATTGTCATTTCATGACCTCTCTCTCACTCTCGCATCACCTGCTCACATTTTTCATAGTGATGTCCGCAATCAATATGCCCCCTAGAGCCTCTTGAATCTCTCCATTGTGTGATTCCTTTAGAATCTGACTTCTTCACGATGACTTTTTAATAACTTTCTACGTCTTTTCAACTCTTTCAATTAGTTAGCCTTTGCCCTGGATAAATATATAATGTCGTTTTCTGCCCAGTTAACGGGGTTGTGGACCTACCAAGAATTGTATGAAGAAGAGAAGAGAGTAACCACTGGAGTTTGCTCCAATGACCACCTTTTCTACTTAGAAAAAGGAGGTGGGAAATTTAATTCTCCACCTTCTCATGAGAGATAAGGATGGGGCTATTTAGTTTTAGATGTGAGTTTTGACTCCTATATTCTGCAAAAAGGCAGAACAAAAGTTTGAGAATGAGTTGACAATTAAAGTAAGATAGACAAAAAAAACAAAAGACGAGAAGAGAAGAGATGGGAACGAGACGGAACCAAATATTCGACACTATTCTCAATCTGCCAAGGGATAGGTAACAAAATTGGTAATTTATTGCATATACTTCATTAATTAGTGGGAAGCATTTCAAAATTCTATGACCGGATATCAATATATCATGCAAGATAGTAATTCAGCCCACCAGTTTATCATTCCCAGTGGATATGACTTACTTATCTATGTTACTGTTATACATTTTGCCACCCTTAAAATTTAGTACTCTGATTCCATCTCAAATCTATATGTCTAATCTCTGCAAGATGATAACAACAGATAAGCAGCCTTTGACTCTTCATTTGTTTCCGCCCTTTCACTTCCCTACTTCTCTAAACAATTTGGCCCTTAATAATTGATACGTGTAAATGCTATTAAAATATGTATCGAGTTCCAGCTTCTTACGAAAGCCGATGTGACTACAGGATGTAGATGAGTTTTCTTAAACCTAATTTGTTAGGAAAAAAAAATCCAAAAAATTCTATTTGGATTATAATTTCTCTCGAACGGGAGATGGATATAAGATATGTTGAGATTTGTTTTCCTTTTGAAGATAACTTGACCAATGAATGGGCATAAAGGTTTGAACGTACGAGGAAAAAAAGGAAAACGATCATCCAGGATTTGACCGGATGACCAAGAATCGTTCTTCTTGCGAAAACCCTGGACGTCAACTTTGGTCTTTTAGAGTCCTGCAAGTGGTCTCTTTCTTTTCCTGGCACAAACACAGAAGCAAAAAGAAAAGGGGCGCTCAGGGAGCCCTTTCTTTGATCGCACGGAGGGAGTTCTGAACACGATCGATTTTGTGCAGTGAGTTTTACATTCAATTCAATTTTGTTATTGCGTGTAATTTAGGTTTGGACAAAGAGTGTGATCGATTGTTACTCTTGTAATTTTCTGAAAAACTGACGAAAGGCCGTAAATACTGACTGTAGCGCATAAATCTCTAGTGTTATTTGGCGTCGATTTCATTACGAGATCCGATACGACCATCGTAGCTACACCCATAGATCATTGCATGAGTCTCATCCTCCTCTCTGCTCACAGTGACCCAAAGAATGGCGACTGGCAAAGTTAGCTTGAAGCTTGTGATCAACAAGAGCAACCGAACGGTGCTCTTTGCTGAGGCAGGCAAAGATTTTGTTGACTTCCTCTTCCATATCCTCGCATTACCGGTCGGACAGGTGATCCAGCTCCTCACGAAAACTGGGACGGTGGGCAGTTTAGGCAATCTCTACGGCAGCGTCGAGAAGCTGCACGATGTGTACATCAAATCTTCCAAGAAAGACGTTCTCTTGAAACCCAAAGCACCCGCCTTTGTCTCTGGACTCCCATTTCTATTGCCTGATACTCTTCCGTCTTCAGATTCAAGGCTGGAAAACTACTACAGGTGCTCCAAATCTTACTGTGGGGGTGGCTATGTGGCCAAGGAACCTTCTCTAAAATGTCCCGGGTGCGGCCTTATGATGAATAAAGTATGCAAACTTGTCAAATCACCGGTTGCTGCTGCGGCATCAGCAGCGAAATGGAACGGTAAGGGCGGTTTGGTGCTAAGGGAGGTGACGTACATGGTGATGGACGATCTGACGGTGACGCCGACGTCGGCTATTTCGAGCATTACTATGCTCAAGAAGTTCAACGTGGAGGAGATTGGGCTTATTGAGGAGAAGGTGGTCAGCTTGGGAACGGACGAGGTAAGCCCATGCCATTCCTTGCGATTAGGATATGTTTAGATTTTCAAAATGCAAACTTTATAACTCAACAATTTATGCGGAAAATCCATTTTAAGAGACATATCAATTGCAAATACATATTGATCGACATGACTTACTGGCTCTGTACCATAAGTATTATCAACTAATTATAGTAGGTACATATTGATTAAAGTTAAATTTGAGCTTTTTCACAATCATTTAGAGACGCTTGTAGGGTAAAAATAAGATTATGTTCGCAATTGTTATAGGGCTTATAGAGTCCAATATAATTTGATCCAAAATGAAAAAAGGTAACTGTCCTTTTCAATTATTTGGTTTGTAACTTTGAAGGGTATAATGCTGCTGAGGACTTCATTTCACTCCGAGAAGGTTCTCACTGACGTCTTCCTCCGTGTGAAGCCCGATGTCTTCGTCGGTGTGAAGCGAGAGAGATCGTGATCAAGTGGGTGCCATAGAATTTCAATTTCTCTCGATATATATATATATATATATATATATATATATATATATATATATATATAATGTTTATGTAGGGATATTTTCTTATTTTGCGACGGTGGTTGTGCAAGACTTTTAGTGCGGATTGAACTTTTAAAGCCTTTTTTTGGGGAAATATTAAAATGTGCATCGTCTCTCTTTATGATATGATAGCATCGGTTTGGTCAAAAATATGACGAGGACATGCTGAAGAAGAATATGTCTCGTAGCCCACAACGAATGCTCATGCATATATCGTAATTGTGGAACTAATGGGGACATGCTGTACTTTAGATTAACTTGTGTTGGAGAACGTGGGGGTGATTAATTTTGAAGTACTTTAACCTATGACCCGTGGTCCTGTCCAACCGAGTGCCCAACTCTCGATCCATGATAAATTGTTCAGTTTTATATACTTAAAAACGAAACAAGCTCCCCGAGTCGAGCTGGGGTGTGTTAGTTTTGTATCGAATTGAGTTTGAATAGGTGAAAATTGTACTTGGTCGAGTTTTGAGCTTCAAGTTGGGTTGAGCTCGAACCTAGCACTATGTCAGCTCGACTTGACTTGTCTCCACTCAATTGCATCCCTTCATACATCAAACCTAATATAAGCATAGTGGTGCTCCATGCGACACTCAATATGAGGTCAAGTGCTGCTCTATTATCGAATGCCACGTTGCAATTTTATGTCTACGTGAGACATTTCCAATTATACCCTTTGTTTAATACTATTTTACCGTTTGTTTCATCTCCTCCAATCTTCTACTAAATTAGCGTTTCTACATTTAGTTTCCTAATAAGTGAAGTTTCCAAGTTTACCTATCATATACCGCTAAACTTTCTCTATAAATGTTGTTTTATTACTTCTAAAATCCTCATAAACATTATTTGATACACAAATCCAGTATAATTATCCATGCTGACAAGTCAAAGTTAGTCATCCCGACAGGTACACAAGTTCGACCATCATTTTTCGCTTATTTATTTTCACAGAATCTGTGGTGAGCTCTCTTCTTTAAGAAATAATACTTCACTTATATTCATAATATGAAAATTTACAAAGAAAAAATGAAAAGTTAGCTACCTATTGGTGTAGTTGAAAAATGAAAATTTAGAATATCATCAAAATATAGCAAAAGGACTAGTTGACTTTTTTCCATTTCTCAATCACGGGCCGGCTCGATATCAGACTTAGCGCCATCATTCAACTCTTATCATCGACCCTCCTTGGTGCTTGCTTCCACTGAATTCATTTGTCTTCAAATTCACAGAGAGAATAAAAAAGCTTATACATGGAGCAAGACTACATAGTCTTAAAAGCTTCGTTTATTTCGTAAAAAATGAATGATTTGAAAAATATTTTTTTAAAATGATCGTTTTATCGCTTAAAATAATTAATCAATGGAAAATATTTTTATTATCAACAACAATCTATATATAAATATTTTCGTGGATGTTAAAAATATTTTTTGTTCATTCATTTACATAAGCAATACAAACGACTATTTTTAGGAAACTATTTTTCAAATCATTTATTTTTCGCGAAACAAACACACCTTTAATGTTGGATATTATTCTCTATGATTGCGCCTCGTCACACCAACACGGGATAAAGAGGCGCGGAGTAATGATCATTGAAAAACAAAATGCACATCCATCTGTCATTCCAAGTACTCTTATTTCCACTCTAAAAATCGATATAGCCTGGAGATTAGAAATTGTTGAAGAAAGAACAAAATGTTTGTTTTGTCCTTTCTAGGCAATGGGAAAATAAAGATATGCTTAGGCTCCGTTCGTTTCGCAGAAAATATTTTTCAGGAAGCCATTTTCCTAGAAAATTGCACAATTTTTTGGTGTTCGGTTGAAATCTGAAAAAGTCACAAAAAATATTTTCCGTTATTCGATATGGAAAAGATTTTCCTCCTTACACTACTTTTAATAATTTTTCAAAAATATTTTTAATTTTCTTTTTTTTCTTTTTTTGTCCTTCTTCTTCTTCCTCGGCCTGTCGCCGGCCATAAGAGAGCTCGAGCCTCGCTGGCCTGTGGCGAGGCCTGACGAGGCCGAGCTCGCCCAAGGCCAGTCAAATGAGCTTGGGCCTCGCCAGATTCGGCGAGCTGGGCGAGGCTCCAGCTCGCTTGTGACTGGTCGCCGGCCGCCGCAATGGCCGGTGACCGGCTGGAGAAGAAGATAGAAAAGAGAAAGAAAAAGAAAAAAGAAAAGAAAAATTAAAATTAATTTTTTTTAAAAAAAGATAATTAAAAAAATAAAAATTTAATATTTTAAAAAAATAAAAAATAATAATTATAATGAATGATGAAAGAAGGAAGGGGGAAAATGTTTTCCTCTTTTCAAAAAGTGAAAAATATTTTTCTCACTTTCGAAGGTATTTTGTTCATTGAGGGAAAATATTTTCCATGGCTAATTTATTTTCCGTGAAACGAACACCAGAAAATCCGGAAAATATTTTCTTGGAAGTTATTTTCCGTGAAACGAACGGAGTCTTAATATATTCAAGATAATTACAACCTAATTTGAGTTTAGAGAGATCACAACATCCTCTCTCAACATTTTAGTTAAGAACGCTGTACTTAAGACTAAGACTAATCTCAACTCAATATCGACAGGTTTGTGAAGAATTTCGAAGTCACCTAGCGAAAAGAGACCGCATGTGACAGACGGGTTGCTAATGTGCAGGCAAAACAACATCAAATGTACCAAAAAATGGTTGCATCACGTGTATTTAAAAGCCATAATGACGTCAATAACTTCTCTCGAAATCCCCTCTTTAACGTACTCATAAATGCGTTGACGTCCGGAAATTCAACGCCAACCTTGTTTCAAGCTTTCCTTCGCCTGTATAATGATCATCTTCGAGAAACCAAACGTATCATCCTCCATAAGCACCCAAAAAAGAAAAAAAAAAAAAAAACCCCACTAAGTTTCATAGCGTATACGCTCTTTTTGGGCATAATGGAGACCACTTCGGTGAAATCTATGTTGAAGAACGTCGTGGTGGTCTTCTTGGCGTATGCGGCTCCCACGGTTGTAGCTTTCTGGGGGATGCCTCCTTGTTGCCTGCACGACGTATACTGCTGCAAACGATCTCTGAAGGCGGCCTTGCACAGATGAAGCGGCCACTTTCTTTTATAAGCTATCGATGAGGGTCCATTATAATGTGTTTTATTTTCGAAATAGGGGTGTAATTGTTAATTATACCTTATAATTGTTCATGATATTCAACATACATTCCGAATAACATACACGGTCTGTCAAGGTACGAAACACACTAAACTGGAACTTAGACAACTTTTTTATAGAGAACTTGAAGAACAATAATGCTGAGACCGGTTGCTTCAACCCGTTACATCATCAAGCAGGATATGGCTGCCACCGGTTGCTTCAACCACCACCGCCACCACACCCCGATCAACAACACGTACGCCACCAGCCGTGTCAAGAAGATGGCCTGCTGTGAGACCGAGCTCTCCTCCGTAAAGTCCCTCAATAGCGTCAGTGGTACCCGGCCAACCCCCCACCACGACATCTTCGTCCTCTGGCAGATGAACCCCGCCTTGTGGTCCGTTGAGCTCAGCCTCTTTGCTTGTGGACCTGCCTACTTCAATCCTCATTCTGACGATGACTTCTCTCACTCCGTTAACAATGGCAACAATAAGATGGTCGCAGGCAGTGATGGCAAGATCGTGGGGCACCACACTCCCCGGCTCGGCACTAATGCCACCAAGGGCTCCCACTGTTTTCTACATCGCCTCATTTAGTGAGGCTTGAGCCCTCGGCGGAGGCCGCGAGGTGATGTACATGGTGATGGACGATCTGGTCGTAAAGCCGATGTCGACTGTTTCGAGCATTACTTTGCTCAAGAATTTCAACGTGGAGGAGATTGGGCTTATTGAGGAGAAGGTGGTCAGCTTGGGAATGGAGGAGGTAAGCCCATGCCTTCCCTTGCGATTACCATATGCTTTAGACTTTCGAAATGCAGACTTGATAACTCAACAATTTATGTGGAAAATCCATTTTAAGAGACGTATAAATTGCAAATAAATATGATACCATAAGTATTCTCAACTAATTATAGTAGTTATATATTGATTAAATTTAAATTTAAGCTTTTGTTCAATCATTTAGAGACCCTTGTACGGTAAAATAAGATTATGTTCGCAATTATTATAGGGCTTATAAATTCCAATATAATTTGATCCAAAATGAAAGAAAGTTGCTGTCCTTTTCAATTATTTGGTTTGTCACTTTGAAGGGTATAAAGCTGCTGATGACTTCATTGCACTCCAAGAAGGTTCTCGCTGATGTCTTCCTCGGTGTGAAGCGAGAGAGATCGTGATCAAGCGGGTGCCATAGAATTTCAATTTCTCTGGATATATATAATATGTATATGGAGTGATATTTTCTTATTTTGTGACTGGGGTTATGCAAGACTTTTAGTGCGGATTGAAATTTTTAAGTCTTTTTTTTCTTTTTATGATATGATAGCATCGGTTTGGTTAAAAAAAATTTGATGTTCACGTGATGAAGAAAGAATTCTCATAGCCGATAATGAATGCTCAAGGGGAAAAGTGTCAAAAAAGTCTTAAACTTTTTGCATTGGTGCCAATTTAGTCCTAAATCTTTTGCATTTGTGTCAATTTAGTCCTAAACCTTTTTTTAGTGCCAATTCAGTCCCAAACCTTTTGAATTAGTGTCGATTTAATCCTAAATGTTTTATCTTTGTACCAATTCAGTCCTTCCGGTCAATTTTGGCCAGATTTTGCTGACGTAGACGCCGACCGGCTGGCGGCCAGTTACCGGCGCTAACGTGGACAACTTTAATAATATTTTAATATTTTTTGAATTTTTCTTTCTTTTTTTTCCCCTCCCCTCTCTCCTCCTCGAGCCGGTCGTCGGATCAGCAATCGGCCAGAGGCCAAAGGCTGGCGCCGGCAAGGCTCGCCCACGCCAGCCACTAGCGAGGCTCGCCCTCGTCGGCTACTGGCGAGGGCAGCCTCGCCCAGCCGCTGGCGAGGCTTGCCCTCACCAGCGACGGCGAAGGCGAGCCTCGCCCAGCCGCTGGCGAGGCTTGCCCTCACCAGCGACGGCGAAGGCGAGCCTCGCCCAGCCGCTGGCGAGGCTTGCCCTCACCAGCGACGGCGAAGGCGAGCCTCGCCCAGCCGCCGGTGAGGTCGTGCCTCGCCCAGCCACCGGCGAGGCTCGCCTTCGCTGTCGCCGCCCTCGCCAGTGACGGCGAAGGCGAGCCTCGCCTAGCCTCCGGCGAGGTCGACCTCGCTAGTGGTAGGCGAGGGCGAGCCTCGCCGGCGCCGGCCTCTAGTCTTTAGCCAGTCGCCGGTCTGGCGATCAACTGGAGGAAGGGGAGGGGAAAAAAAAGAAAAGAAATAACTAAAAATTCAAAAAATATTATTAAAGTTGTCCACGTCAGCGCCGGTGATCAGCCGTCAGCCGGTCAACGTCCACGTTAGCAAAATGCTGCCAAAATTAGCCGGAAGGACTGAATTGGCACAAAGACAAAAGGTTTAGGACTAAATTGGCACTAATTCAAGAAGTTTAGGACTGAATTGGCACTAATGCAAAAGGTTTAAGACTTTTTTGGCACTTTTCCCAATACTCAAGCATGTGTCGTAAATTGTGGAACAAATGTAGACACGCCATACATAAAATTGACTTGTGCTGGAGAACGTGGTGGTGATTAATTTTGAAGTACTTCAACAATGTCCCTCGTAAGTCAGCACCTATGAGTCGTGGTCCAGTCCAACTGAGTGCCCAACTCTCGATCCAAGATAAGTTGTCCTTGTAGTTCTATTGCATAAGCTCGGACACAAAGGGAAAAAGACAGTAGCTCGACTCATCTCCTATTCGAGATTGGCTCGAATTATTTTTGAGCTAGAGTTGAGTTTGAGTAACTCTGGTAGCCTGTCAAGTCGAGTTTGAGCCTAAAGATACTTGACTCAATCGGTTCACAAGCCTAATCGATTATTTTATTTTTTGTGTAGTGTTTTTTGCCATTTTAGTGACATATAATGTTTAATGTACTTATAACTATATTCCGTACTATGTAATTACACTTTCACCCTTTGATATATTTTTAAACACAAGCAAAAGAGGCCAGTGCAAGTATTTTGAATTGAGTTGAGTTCGATCGAGCAAGAAAAAATCAAGTTTGTTCAGTTTTATATACTTAAAAATGAGTTGAGTCAAGATAGTCGAGCTAGTGTATGTCGAGTTTGAGTTAAGTTTGAATAGGTGAAAAAAGTACTTGATCGAGCTTTGAGCCTCAAATCGGGTTGAGCTCGAATGTGGCAGCTCGACTCGACTCATCTCGACTTGATTGCACCCCTTCATACATCTAATTTAATATAAGTATAGTGGTGCTCCATGCAACTCTCAATATGAGGGTGAATGCTGCTCTACTATGGAATGCCACATGGCCATTCATTTCGATTTTTTTTTTTGGTAAGGACCATTCATTTCGATTTACCCTTTGTTTAATCCAAGTTTGCCGTTAGTTTCATTTTCTCTGATCTTCTACTAACTTAAAGTTTCTACATCTAATTTCCTAGTAAGTGAAGTTTCCAACTTTATCCTTCACATACCACTAAAATTTCTCCATAAATATTGGTTTATTACATCTAAAATCCTCATAAACATAATTTGATACACAAATCCGGTATAATTATCCATGCCAACAAGTAAAAGTTAGTCATTCCGACAGGTACATGATTTCGACTATGGCTTTTCTCATATTTATTTATACAAAATTTGTGGTGAGCTCTATTCTTTAAGAAATACTGCTTCACCTATATTTATAACATGAAGATGTAAAAAGGTTAAAAAAATGGAAATATAGGTTGCGCATGGCAACCATTCTATTCCCGGAAATAGATTTTGCTTAGAAATGATTCTTTTTTATTCTGTGCCCGGGAATAATTTCTAAGCATTTGAAGGCGTTTGGTGACTGCCCAAAATATATATTCTTAGAATAGAAAAAGAACAAAAATGCATTTGGTAACTACACAAAATTTCCTTTTATTAATAATATTTTAATAATATTTTGAATTTTTTTAATTTTTTTTCTTTTTTTTCCTTGGCCGTGGCCAGTTGCCGGCGACTGACCACAAGCCAGGGCCGGCGAGGGCGTCGCGGCCCTCGCTGCTGCCCTCGCCGCCAACCTCGCCTGTTGCGACGGCGAGGTCGGCCTCGCCAAATCTAGGTGAGGTCGAGCCTCGCCCAGCCAAGGCGAGGCCGACCTCGCCGTCGCCACCCAGGTCCCTCGCCATGGCTGGGCCAGGCCTCGCCGTCGCAGCCACGAGCCACGCTCGCCCAGGCAGCAAGGGGAACCCTCGCCGGCCCTAGCTTGTGGCCAGTGGCGGCCAGCCGGAGGTAGGCGGTGGTTTGTGGCAACAGGCGGGCGGCAGGCCGAGAAGAAGAATAATAACAAACCAAGAAAAAAGAAGAAAACTAAGAAGAATCAGAAATGAAAAAATTGTTTCAGAATCAAGAAGCTATATTTTTTTACTTTTTGATTCTGTTCCAAAACTAATTCTGGGAATAATTTTTTGCAAAATTGTGCCCGGGCACAAAAAATTTAACAAACGGATTTTTGTTCCCAAACTGATTCTGGAAACAAAAGAACATAAATTTTCATTATTTGGTAAGTTATCAAACGGGCCCTTAGCTACTAACTGGGGGAGTTGAAAAAAGCAAAATTAGAATATCATCAAAATATGGCAAAAAGAATAATTGACTTTTTCCATTTCTTAATCATGGGCCGGCATTAGAATTCTTAGGCTCCATAGCAGACTTAGCCTGGCCAGTTGCTTAAGTTCACTTATCGCCATCATCAAACCCTGATCATCGACCCTCCTCCTCCGTACTTTGCTTCCGCACATGTCATTTGTCTTCAACTTCATAGAGAGAATTAAAACTAGGGAGAAAAACTAGAAAGGTTATGGAACCAGAAACAAAAGGAAGTTCCAGGATTTATGATGTGGTAACATTTATACGTGGAAAAATTCCTAATAAGGATATGAAGTGCCATCATTTCTCAAATAAGGACCTGAAGTGTCATGTCAGTCTCAAACAAGGGCCTAAAGTGACCATGAGAGTTTCAAATAAGAGCTTGACCTCACTGGTCACTGGCCAGCAAAATATTTGGGTCGGTCAAGCGCATTTTCGTCCAAAGACAATTTTAATTCTTTTTCCTTTCTTTTCTTTTCTTTTTCTTTCTCTCAGGCAAGGGACGCCCTCGCCAACTGCCAACAAGGGACGGCCTCACCTAGTGAATCCCGGGAAGGGCTAGGTGAGGGTCGCCCTCGCCCGATCTGGCGAAGGCCACCCTCGCCGGCAACAGGCGAGGGACGGCCTCTCCAACCCTCGCCAGCAACAACGAGGATGGCCCTCAAGAGATCCTAGTTGGCCATCGGCCAAGAACAAAGAGAAACCAGAAAAAGAAAAAAAGGAAAAAAAAGTTGAAATATGAAAATGCTCATACCGTCTTGAAACTCAGGTCTTTATTTGAAACAAAATCCATCTTAAGCTCTTATTCGAGAAAATAATAGTACTTTGGTCTTTATTTGACACAACGTTCACTTCAGACCATTATTTGAGAAAATGATAGCACTTAAGGTTCTTATTTGGAATTTTTCCTTTGTACGTGGAGCAAGACCTCTGCTACATAGTCTTAATGTTGGATATTATTCTCATATGATTGTGACTTGTCGCATCAACATAGAATAAAGAGGTGCGGGGTAATGATCATTGAAAACTAACATGTGTGAAGATTTTAGTAGAATTGATTTATTATATTTTGCTCTTCCTATCTTTTTGCAGTTTTTAATTAATTTTTCTTCTCTTTTTTTTCTTACTTTCTTACTTTCTTTTTCTTCTTCCAAGCCCGACGAGGGTCGTTGGCCAACCCTCACTGGTACAAGTGACAATTGGCCACATGGCACTATCAGGGTCTCCATTAGTGATTTCTGGTTCAAATTGACTGGATTGACTCAATTGGCAAAATGTGAAGATGTTTCGGACTCAATTGGCAAAATTAAAAGGTTTCGGACCGAATTGGCAAAAGTATAATAGGTTTAGGACTTTGGACAATTTTCCCCATTGTTTGACCGTTCTTATATGCATGACTACTTTCGTATGATAAATGCCCCTCACTCGCCTTTCTTTATCTAAGATTTTTTTTTTCAAGGAATTTTCACTCTATGTTAGAGCACAAAAGGCCGAGTACCTCTAAAGCCCTATCTAAGTAAAGCGAAAGCCTTTAGCTGCTGCCTCACCCTGCTTTAAGATGCTACACATGCAGCTCTAAAACACATGTCACCAAACATGTAACCTACAATGCTTCCCAGCACAGCTTCAATGTCATAAAACTGTACAACCACAATTATACTAAACGAGTTAATGATGTCATTATTGGAGAAATAAAGAGAATAAGAGGCATGACTTAGAGCGTGTATGATAGCCATTCTATTTCTAGTCAAATCTATTTTTCTGTTCCTAAGAACATGTTTGGAATAGAAATCCGTTTGTTAACGCAATTTTCATTTTTCTGCTTTTCTGTTTCTTGAATAAAAAGAGAAATAAAAACTCTTATCATTGCTAATCCAGCAAGGGATTCCACTATGGTTAACACCATTTCAAGAGAAAGAGAATAATTATAGTCAATAGTTTGATTCAAAATATAAAAAAGAACCTTTTTTCTAAGAAATCTATTCCAATGCTATCCAGTCGTTCGGAAGTATGAACCACACCCTCAACAAACAAGTCGGGCCGAAAGTTGTTTGAAGGAGACCCATTGCGAAAACTTCCACAAGAAGCACCTCCGGCGCTGTGCTACTTTAAAAAAAAACTTGGCCACGAAGAAACTGTCTCAATAACTTTATCTCCGTCCCGTCTCTGACCCATATGAAAAAGTGTCGTCTTTCTCATGACTCCGCTATAAAAAAAAGGCAAAAGCCCTCTGTCTGTGACCAAAACTTGTGAAGAAGCAGCTCCTACACTTGCAGGGTTGAAGCGACGATCCAGAGGTGCGCCATTTCGTCATCACTCTGTGTTTTGTGAGCTCGGTTTTACGAACTTCTCGTTGTGGGCATTAAGAGCGTTTGGCTTGAAGTCGCCGCATCTGTTCGCGTGATCTGAATCTGATTAACGCCCTCTTGTTTCGCTAGAATGGTTGACGCTCTTGTGAGTTAGTGTTGGCAGAAGAAATATAAGTCGACATGCTCTCGTTTTTTCCTTTTCTTTGTTACTCGCATCACTGTAGTCCCCATTTATAAAAGAGTAAGGACTTCACCAATTTAATCGCTGCACAAATACATTTGCGAGTATGCAATAATCTCTCTTGTTCATCTTCCTCCTCCTACAGTAGAGCTATTTCCTTCTTCTTTTTTCGTCGGCAATAGAGGTATTTCCTTAAACTCGGAGGAAAAAAAAGAATCCAAATGAGTCCATATTAGTTACTCGAAGACAAGAAGGCACAAGATCTGAACGTGCATGAACATATATTTGATTCATTCTTGTATTTGACTGGATTTCATTTTCACCAAACCCGTCTGATCTCTCCAAGATGATAACAACTGATAAGCGGCCCTTGAGTCTTCTTTTGCTCGTGCCCTTTTCACTTCTATACTTAACAATTTGGCACTTCATATGTACAAATACCGCCACTGCACACATGATGATCGACCAAATCTCCACTGGATCTACTAGCAAGGAGCATTGCATAAGTCTCATCTTCCTCTCTGCATACAGTGACACAAAGAATGGCGTCAGGAAGAGTGAACTTGAAGCTTCTCGTGCACAAGAACAACCGGAAGGTGGTATTTGCCGAAGGTGGGAAGGACTTTGTCGACTTCCTCTTCCACATCCTCACGTTGCCGGTCGGAACGGTGATCGGGCTCCTTGAGAAAACCGGGATGGTGGGCAGTTTAGGCAATCTCTACAGCAGCGTCAAGAAGCTGGACGATGTGTATATCGAATCTTCCAAGAAAGACATTCTCTTGAAACCCAAAGCACCCGCCTCTCTCTCCGAAAACCAATTTATATTGCCTGAGAGTTCGTTCTTAGATTCAACACCCAAAACCTACTACAGGTGCTCTTCCCGTTCGTACACTAACTGTTCGAACTATGTGGCTGAGGACCGTTCTGCAATATGTCCTGTTGGGAAAATATCAACGTGAATCGGGAAGAACAATGAAGTCAGATTTTGAGGCGTGATATCACTTTCTTTAAGGAATTATTTGCCCCACGAAGTTGCTAATGGTCACTGGCAAATTTCCTTCGGGATATAACAAAGTCTCGATTGAGAATACCGAATAGCAATTTCGGTATATCTCCAGGGTCTCTCTAGGAAACAATTAGAAAAGATGGCTGCAGTTTTCTGAATGAAAAAGTATCTCTGAATTCCGAATGAAGAGACTTGATATTCAACTATGCAAAAAACCGACTCACTAATCACACCATTTCGAACAAAGGCGTCCCTTCATTGAAAAGATGTATGGTGAATTGGTACGAAATCAAAAGTCGCGTTAAAAAAGATATATGAAATTCGGAATTAAATTATTAAAAAATAACCGCCACTCTATTGTGAACAATCATATTGTTTCAATAGGACAAAACAGTTATTTTATAATAATAAATTCGAAATTTAATAAATAAATAAAAAATGATCGTTGATTAGTGCCAAATCTCGTCCACGTGCACACTCACATCCTTTCGATGTGGGACAAGGCACCTCATTGTTTGTTTTACAAACAAACTACCAACATGTCCTCAGTGTAGAAATTCCATGAACCAAACATTCACTTTTGTTGCATCACCACCAGCTGGTAAACCGTCAGCTGCTGCGTCATCAGCTGCTGAATCGGACGGTAAGGGCGGTTTCGTGCAAGGGGTGGTGACGTACATGGTGATGGACGATCTGGTGGTGATGCCAATGTTGGCGATTTCAAGCATTGCTTTGCTCAACAAGTTCAACATGAAGCAGATTGGGCATCTTGAGGAGAAGGTGGTCAGCTTGGGAATAGACGAGGTAAGCCCATGCCATAGCTTGCGATTAGGATGTGTTTCGATTTTAGAAATGCAAACTTTATAGCTCAACAATTTACGTGAAAATCTATTTTATGAGACGTACAAATTACAAATGAATGTTGATCGACATGAGTTGTACTGAAATAAAAAATAAAAAAAATTCTGGCTCTGTACCATGGAAGTAATCTCAACTAACTTTCGGTACTAATTGATCAACTCAAATTTTAGCTTTTGTACCTTCATTTCGAGATGCTTGTAGGTTAAATCAAGATTGCGTTCGCGATTATTATAGGGCTCATAAAGTGCAATATAATTTATCCAAAATGAAAGAAATCAACTTTTCTTTAATTACTTGCTTTGTAACTTTGTAGGGTATAAGGCTGCTGAAGGCTTCATTTCACTCCAAGAAGGTTCTTACTGATGTCTTCCTCGATGAGAAGCGAGAGAGAACGTGATATGTATGTTCTGATTTTGTGACTGGGGTTATGCAGGACTTCTAGTGTGGATTGACCTTTTTAAGTCTTTTTTGGAATTATCAACATGTTTATCATCACCATTTAAGTATTTATGATATGGTTGTATTGGTTTGGTCCAAAATATGATGGGACCATCCTGAAGAATGATTATATGTCTAATAGCCGATAATGAATGCTCAAGCATATGTTGAAATTGTGGAACCAATGTAGACATACATGCCATATGTAAAATGAACTTGTGCTGGACAACGTGGGTTGATCAATTTTGAAGTACTTCAACAATGTCCCTGATAAGTTAGCACCTATGAGCCGTGGTCTGGTCCAACTGAGTGCCCGACTCTCCATTCGTGGTAAGTTTTTCCTGAAATTCTATTGCAAAAACTCGGATCGACTAGTCCCCTACACGAGAACAACTTCAATTTTTTTTCGAGCTCAAGTCGATTTCGAGTAACGCTAATAACTTGTTGAGTCAAGTCTGAGTCTATAGATACTTGACTCAATCGGTTTGCAAGATTAATCGAGTTTTTTATGTAGTTTTTACTACTTTAGTAACATATAATGTTTCATGTCCTTATAGAGAAACATGTCAAAAAAGTCCTAAACCTTTTGCATTGGTGTCAATTTAGTCATAAACCTTTTGCATTGATGCCAATTCAGTCCTAAACCTTTTGCATTGGTGCTAATTCAGTGTTAAACCGTTTGCATTAATGCCAATTAATTCCTAAATCTTTTGCATTGGTGTTAATTCAGTCCTAAACCTTTTACATTGGTGCCAATTCAGTCCTTCCGACTAATAGCTATTCACGTGTTGAAGAACTAATTGGCACAAATGCAAAAGGTTTAGGACTAAATTGACACCAAAAAAAGATTTAGAACTAAATTGGCACCAATGTAAAAGGTGGTGCCAAATGTTTAGGCCTGAATTAGCACCAAAAAAAGATTTATGACTCAATTGGCACAAATGTAAAAGGTTTAGGACTTTTTTGATAGTTTTCCTTGTCCTTATAATTATTCTTCATACTATGTAATAACTCTTTCACCCTTTAATACATTTTTAAACACAAAAGAAAAAGTCGAGCTCTAATATGTTGAGTTTTGTGCCCAACAGAGTTTATGCAGTCGACTTTATGCATGGGGAGGGGGGAGCTTTGAATCGGGTCGAACTCGAGCTTGGCACTATGTCAGCTTAACTTGACTTGACTCAATTGCGGTGCTACTTACACATCTAATTTAATCGAATGCATTTTAAGTGCAATGATGCTTCATGCAACTCGGAATCAGAGGTTGACATGTCACTCTATTAATGAATATGGCATGTCCCTTTTATGGGAAAATTTTCCAAAAAGTCCTAAATTTAACATTTTAATTTTGCCAATTCAATCTTAAACATTTTTACTTTTTGCCAATTGAGTCCATTTAGCTAATTTTAGCAAGAAATTGCTGACGTGAATGCTGGCAATCCTACGTGACACGGCTGATACTGACGTGAATAATTTTTATTGATATTTTAATATTTTTTTCGAATTTTTAATTATTTTCATTTTTGTATTTTCTTTAATTTCCTTTCCTTTCCTTTTTCTTCTTCAAGTCCGATGAGGTTTGTCGGCACCCTCGCCGATTACAGGCGAGGGCTGGTTGACCCTTGCTAGACACAAGCGTGGGCCAGCGACCCCCACTGGAGTTGAAGAAGAAAAAGAAAAAAAAGAAAGAAAAGAAAAAAGAAGAAAAAATAGTTCAAAAATTTTAAAAAATTTTAAAATATTATTAAAAATTATCCACATTAGTACCAACTGTCCTACGTAGCACTACTATTGTCCACGTCAGTGATTTCCAATCAAAATTGGCCGGATGTATTCAATTAGCAAAATATGAAAAATGTTTAGGATGAATTGGCAAAATTGAAAGGTTTAGGACCAAATTGAAAAAAGTACAATAAGTTTATGACTTTTTGGATAATTTTTCCCCCTTTTATGCATGCATGTTACATTTCCAATTTTACCCTTTGTTTTTACCAATTTTTTCGTTAGTTTCATCTTTCCCTAATCTTCTATTAAATTAAAGTTACTACATCTAATTTCCTAACTAGTAAGAGAAAGTTTTCCAAAAAGTCATAAACCTATTGCACTTTTGCCAATTCGATCATAAATCTTTCAATTTTGCCAATTGAATATTAAACATTTCCACGTTTTATCAATTAAATCTATCCGGCCAAATTAAATCAAATATCACTAATGTGGATGCCAGTAATGGGCCTGTTTGGTTCGGCTTTTGGGAAATGCATTTGGCAAAATGCAAAGGCCTTTGAGCTAAAAGGGTTTTCCAAAATGCAAGTAATGTTTGGTAATGTGTATTTTAAAATCACATTTGAAAGCAATTTTGGCCTCAATACCGTTTGGTAAAAATTATTTGTAAAAGACTTTTGTTGATATTAAAAATAAAAAAAAAGGCTGGCCAACTGACCACCATCGCCAGCCACCACTGCCGGCCAGCCTTGCCTAACCTTAGGCGAGGCGGCCTGAGGTCGCGCAACCTCAGGCAGCATGGCCGGGGTCGCGCGACCTCGGCGACCATCGCCTAGGATCGCGCGACCACCAGGCGGCGATCGCCGGCCGCCGGACCAGCTGCTTGTGAAGAGGATGAACAGTGGCGATGAATAGTATCCGAGTTGCATTTCGAAAATGCAATTTTCCAATGCTCCTCATGGACTCCATTTAGGCAAAGGCCCTTGGAAAGTTGCATCTCCTCAAAGCTTGCCAAATAACTTTGCATTTGCCTCAAGGGACTTTAGACCCCCAAAGCAGCATTCAAATGCTGAACCAAATGGGACCATTATTAGCGAGGGCTAGTTGACCCTTGCTGGACACAAGCGTGGGCCAGCAACCCCCACTAGAGTTGAAGAAGAAAAAGAAAAAAAGAAAGAAAAGAAAAAAGAAGAAAAAATAGTTCAAAATTTTTAAAATTTATTAAAATATTATTAAAAATTATCTACATCAGCGCCAACTGTCCTACTTAGCACTACCAATGTCCACGTCAGTGATTTCCAATCAAAATTGGCCGGATGGACTCAATTAGCAAAAAATGAAAAATGTTTAGGATGAATTGGCAAAAATTGAAATGTTTAGGACCGAATTAAAAAAAGTACAATAGGTTTTTGACTTTTTGGATAATTTTCCCCCCTTTTATGCCTGCATGTTACATTTCCAATTTTACCGTTTGATTTTACCAATTTTTTCGTTAGTTTCATCTTTCCCTAATCTTCTATTAAATTAAAGTTACTACATCTAATTTCCTAACAAGTAAGAGAAAGTTTTCCAAAAAATCATAAACCTATTGCACTTTTGCCAATTCGATCCTAAATTTTTCAATTTTGCCAATTAAACACTAAGCCTTTTCATGTTTTGTCAATTAAATCTATCAGGCCAAATTTAATCAAATATCGCTAATGTGGATGCCAATAATGCCTCGTAGGGCGACCAATGCTGATGTAAAAAAATTGATAATGTTTTATTTTTTGCTTTATTTTTTCTTTTTCTTTTTAACTTTTCCTTTTTTTCTATCAAGTCCGGCAACCCTCGCCGGTCACAAGTGAGGGCTAGCTGACTCTTGTCGACCATAGGCAAGGGCCGGCAAAGTCACTAGGTCCCCGCTAATCGCAGGCGAGGGTGCGGCCCTCGCAAAAATCTAGGGAGGGAAGCGAAGCCCTCTCCGATCACGGGGGAGTGTGAGGTCTAAAAGTGATTATTGTTTTAAAAATGTATGCTCTGTTTGTTTCGTGAAATATGAATGATTTAAAAAATATTTTTCTAGAAGTGATCATTTTTTTTTATTACCGACAACGATTTATATCAAAATACTTTTGTAGATAATAAAAATATTTTTTGTTTATTCATTTTTATAAACGATAGAATTAATTATTTTTTTATAAAAAAAATTTTAAATTATTTATTTTTCGCGAAAAAAATGAAACCGTAAATTAATCTTAATTTTGCTGCCGTCAGCCTCCAATCGGTAGAATTCTGAAAGATTACGGCTTGGTTATGATTATCGATGGGGAAAATTCTCAGAGGAAGACCCCACTGCGAAAACTTCCTCGGGAAGCTGTGCTACTGTGAAAAACTTCGCCAAGAAGATCCTGTCTCCGTATCTTTCTCCGTCTCGTCTCTGATTCAAAAGTAAAAGCGTCGTCTTTTTCAAAAGCCCCCGCCTTTTCCCCCTATAAGAGAGGCAAAGCTCTCTGTGTGCGACCACGACTTAGAAAGCAGCTCTTACACTTGCAGTGTCGAAGCTACGATCAAGAGGTGTGCAATTCCGCCATCAGTCCGTGCTCTACGAGCTCAGTTTCATGATTTTTCTTTGGTTAGTGCGATCTAATCGACGCTCTTGTGATTTAGTGTTGGCAGAAAGAAACTGAAGTACACATGCTCTCGTCTTTTTTGTTACTCGCATCATCGTAGAGCGATGTTCCCGCATGTCGACATGCCCCGCTGATGATTTTCCCCAATAGGAGTCGTTTTTTTTTTAAGTGTATCACGCAGATGTTTCTTCGTGAAACTCCTGCACATTTACTTATCCAAAAAGAGAGCCATACTTTTGGGTATTTCTCGAATTTCTCTTTGGTTTCCATTGACACTTCCTCACGATTGCTCTCTTTAAGTCCAGCTTGATTTGAAAATTTAGTGATGATCTGGTGCGATCAACTTGGATCAAAGCTCTAGAGTGGTGACTGTTGAATCGAACTAATGATGGGTCGGGTAACTCCCGTGCCCGCACGCCTAGCCCAAGCCATAAGAGCCCGATCCGGCCGATTCTCAGATTTTTCTATAGAGACCGCATCATTGTTGTGCTCGAGCAAAAATTTAGGCATGACCTTCCACCAAATGATCACCTTTGCTGTTGAGCATATGTCTAGTTTGATGAGGTCTCCCTCAACCATGGCAAAAACGGATGGCCCGATTGATATGTTTATAAGATTTGATACTCTTTTAAATCATGGACGACTCCACAGTGGCTTAGTTCTCCTTCCCTACGATTTTCTTTCTTTTTGTTTCTCTTTTTATTAAGTTACACTTTGTAGTCTAAAATATCTTGTTTTCTCATTTTATTTACATTCGATTTTGTAATGCAACTAGTAGCAGGTGATTAAATGATTCGATGGCACAAATTGCACGAGCCGAGATCAATTGCACCGATCAAAAGGACTCGAGTGAAAAGAAAAGGATAGAGAAAAATGCAAGTTAAACAGAGGAGTTGTCTTTTTCTTTATTCAATCGTGGGCTGGCATGAGAGTTTTTAGGCTCGATATCGGACTTAGCCTGGCCAGATAAAGCCCGATTCACTTCGTGTTGTAGTGAAGTTATGGATTAAAACTGGCTTATTGGCACGCTTGATTATCTGCTGCAGAGACCAAGGCCGCGCATGGCAGCAACCAAGATGAGTTTGAAGCTTCTTGTTGACCAGAGAAACCAGGCCGTGCTCTTTGCCGAAGCCGGAAAGGACTTCGTGGATTTCCTTTTCAATTGTCTTGCTTTGCCAGTTGGAACTATCGTGAGTCTTCTCCCTAAAACAGGTGAGGCGGGTAGCTTGCACAATCTTTATGCGAGTGTCGAGAATCTCAGCGAGACATACATTGAACGTAGAGAGAAAGAGGCTCTGTTGAATTCCAAGGCGCGGACCGGTCCAGATGGTCTGCGCTTATTGTTGCCCGACGCTCCAGCTTCAGCGCCAGTAGACTACTACACTTGCGCTCGTAATGATGGTGGTTATTATGGAACTCCATTCTGTAGCTTGGTGACGGATTCCCCTTGTACGAGATGTCCTAATTGCAGCAATTCGATGAGCAAGAAACTGTCATGGGTCGCGGGACCAGCTGTTGGTGCCACATCCACGGCCAAGGTACCCGGTGGGGAGGGTGGCTATGTGACAGGCATCGTCACATACATGGTGATGGACGATCTGGTTGTGAAGCCCATGTCCACCATCTCTTGCATTACTCTCCTCAACAGGTTCAATGTGCACGAAATCGGGGATCTCAAAGAGAAGGTGATCGACTTCGGCTTGGACGAGGTAAGGCCTGCAAAAGTCACAACGTCATATAAATATTTCGACCATATTTGAAATTCGACAATGAAATCCGATGATTTGATTTTCAACTGGTGGTTGTATGTCTGTTTGGTACCATGGCATGAGAGAACAACCGGTTCTAGAGCCACTACGATGTTTGTATGAGGTTAGAAGGCTTGATCGATCCCATCACTATTTGGTTAACTCATCAACTAAGAGCACATCAATGCGCAGATAAATGGAAGAAACTGAATATTCCTTTCTAATTACAGGGATATATCCTATAAACACATCTGCAAGCCTCTCTATCAATATGCTTTTTAACAACCGTTGTCCGCATTAATTCTTCAACTTATATTACCAGACTTTTTTAGAAGGCATGCAGATTTATGACCAAGTTCTGATTATGTGAGCTATTGCAAAAGTGCTATTAATCTTTGCTATAAACCCGAAGTGCCATTACCCCTTTTTTATAACTCGGCTTGTGCCGTGTGTTCTTTACTCAGGCCATAAAGCTGTTGACCGCTTCTTTGCACTCCAAAACGGTTCTCACAGACATATTCAGCGGGGTTCTCACAGACTGACTCAGCAGGGAACTACGTCATTGAAACGCTACTCTTCAACTTCAGAAACACTCCGTTCATATGGCTTGCTGGGGTTCCTGCTACTTTGTAAGAAGCTGACGAAGCTATTCAATCCGTGATGTGAAATTAGTCTCTATTATATATTAGCTTACTAAGAAATTACTTCCTGAGTGATGATCGATCTGTGGTACTATGGTGTCTAAGACAAAGGTTGCCTCTAATGTACACATACTTGTCATGTCACGCGAATGTGTTTTATGTGCATTTATCCTTTGGTTCAAGAAATTAATGGATTTACTATGAGCCGACATCCCAAAGAAATTGAGAACATCTGCGACATAAGTGCCACAATCGCACGATTAGTAAGTAATTATAGGGTAGCACCAAAATTCTTCAGCATCTACTGCATTGCTCTAGACAAGCTATGGTCTGTAAAACGAGAGACTGCAGCAGGCTTGACTTTCCATCCAATGGTCACCTCTGTTTTCGAGCAGATTGCCAACTCAATTGTCATTTTCATGACCTCTCTCCCACTCTCGCATAACATGCTCCCATTTTTCATAGTGACGTCCGCAATCAATATGCCCCCGTATAGCCTCTTAAATCTCTTCATTCTGTGATACGTTCCGTAGTTGTCCCCAGCGAAGAAAAGGGACAACCCAAGAAGAGACAAAGATGTTATTTTGGCGAGGTGCCATACAGTCAGCAAGAAGAATGTCTGAACTTCGACCCTTCTTTCTTTTTCTTTATAGCGAAGGGGATATATTGCGAGACCAGCATGTCGTTCCTCGTTTAAAATCTGATGTCGTCACAATGACTTTCGAATAACTTTCTACATCCTTTTCAACTCTTTCAGATAGTTAGCCTTTACCATAGATAAATAGATAATGTGGTTTTCCGCATGGTTAACTGGGTTGTTGACCTACCAAGAACTGAATGAAGAAGAGGAGAAGAGAAGAGGAGACAGGAACAAGACGGAAGCAAATCCTGACAATATTCTCAGTTTGCCAGGGGTAGGTAACAAAATTGGTAATACATTGTATATACTTCATTAAATAGTGAGAAGCATTGAAAAAATTCTATGACCGGATATCAACATATTTTGCAAATATCATTTATTTTGCAAGATAGTAATTCAGGCCACCATTTTATTATCCCCAAGTGTATACGACTTACTTATCTATGATACTGTTATACTTTTGCCACCCTTAAGATTTTGTGCTTGCTCCATCCCGATTGGCCAGGTGCATGTACTCTGATTCTATCTCGAATTGTAGACTTGGAATGACTCCTCATAAGTTTCTTGTAGACAAGAAGCCACAAGAATCTCAACGTGCATTAACACATATTCGATTTATTCATGTACTTGACCGGTTTTCATTGTGACCAACCATGTCTAATCTCTGCAAGATGATAACAACAGATAAGCAGCCTTTGACTCTTCATATGTTTCCGCCCTTTTCACTTCCCTACTTCTCTAAACAATTCAGCCCTTAATAATTGACACATGTAAATGCTGTTAAAATATGTATCGAGTTCCAGCCTCTTATGAAAGCCGATATGACTACAGGATGTAGATGAGTTTTCTTAAACCTAATTTGTTAGGAAAAAAAAATCCAAAAAATTCTATTTGGATTAGAATTTCTCTTGAACGGGAGATGGATATAAGATATGTTGAGATTTGTTTTCCTTTTGAAGATAACTTGACCAATGAATGGGCATAAAGATTTGAACGTGCGAGTAAAAAAAAAGGAAAACGATCATCCAAGATTTGACCGGATGACCAAGAATCGTTCTTCTTGCCAAAACCCTGGACGTCAACTTTGGTCTTTTAGAGTCCTGCAAGTGGTCTCTTTCTTTTCCTGGCACAAACACAGAAGCAAAAAGAAAAGGGGCGCTCAGGGAGCCCTTTCTTTGATCGCACGGAGGGAGTTCTGAACACGATCGATTTTGTGCAGTGAGTTTTACATTCAATTCAATTTTCTTATTGCGTGTAATTTAGGTTTGGACAAAGAGTGTGATCGATTGTTACTCTTGTAATTTTCTGAAAGACTGACGGAAGGCCGCAAAAACTGACTGTAGCGCATAAATCTCTAGTGTTATTTGGCGTCGATTTCATTATGAGATCCGATACGACCATCGTAGCTACACCCATAGATCATTGCATGAGTCTCATCCTCCTCTCTGCTCACAGTGACCCAAAGAATGGCGACTGGCAAAGTGAGCTTGAAGCTTGTGATCAACAAGAGCAACCGAACGGTGCTCTTTGCTGAGGCAGGCAAAGATTTTGTTGACTTCCTCTTCCATATCCTCGCATTACCGGTCGGACAGGTGATCCAGCTCCTCACGAAAACTGGGACGGTGGGCAGTTTAGGCAATCTCTACGGCAGCGTCGAGAAGCTGCACGATGTGTACATCAAATCTTCCATGAAAGACGTTCTCTTGAAACCCAAAGCACCCGCCTTTGTCTCTGGACTCCCATTTCTATTGCCTGATACTCTTCCGTCTTCAGATTCAAGGCCGGAAAACTACTACAGGTGCTCCAAAACTTACTGTGGGGGTGGCTATGTGGCCGAGGAACCTTCTCTAAAATGTCCCGGGTGCGGCCTTATGATGAAAAAAGTATGCAAACTTGTCAAATCACCGGTTGCTGCTGCGGCATCAGCAGCGAAATGGAACGGTAAGGGCGGTTTGGTGCTAGGGGAGGTGACGTACATGGTGATGGACGATCTGACGGTGAAGCCGACGTCGGCTATTTCGAGCATTACTATGCTCAAGAAGTTCAACGTGGAGGAGATTGGGCTTATTGAGGAGAAGGTGGTCAGCTTGGGAACGGACGAGGTAAGCCCATGCCATTCCTTGCGATTAGGATATGTTTAGATTTTCAAAATGCAAACTTTATAACTCAACAATTTATGCGGAAAATCCATTTTAAGAGACATATCAATTGCAAATACATATTGATCGACATGACTTACTGGCTCTGTACCATAAGTATTATCAACTAATTATAGTAGGTACATATTGATTAAAGTTAAATTTGAGCTTTTTCACAATCATTTAGAGACGCTTGTAGGGTAAAAATAAGATTATGTTCGCAATTATTATAGGGCTTATAGAGTCCAATATAATTTGATCCAAAATGAAAAAAGGTAACTGTCCTTTTCAATTATTTGGTTTGTAACTTTGAAGGGTATAAAGCTGCTGAGGACTTCATTTCACTCCGAGAAGGTTCTCACTGACGTCTTCCTCCGTGTGAAGCCCGATGTCTTCGTCGGTGTGAAGCGAGAGAGATCGTGATCAAGTGGGTGCCATAGAATTTCAATTTCTCTCGATATATATATATATAATATGTTTATGTAGGGATATTTTCTTATTTTGCGACGGTGGTTGTGCAAGACTTTTAGTGCAGATTGAACTTTTAAAGCCTTTTTTTGGGGAAATATTAAAATGTGCATCGTCTCTCTTTATGATATGATAGCATCGGTTTGGTAAAAAATATGACGAGGACATGCTGAAGAAGAATATGTCTCGTAGCCCACAACGAATGCTCATGCATATATCGTAATTGTGGAACTAATGGGGACATGCTGTACTTTAGATTAACTTGTGTTGGAGACCGTGGGGGTGATTAATTTTGAAGTACTTTAACCTATGACCCGTGGTCCTGTCCAACCGAGTGCCCAACTCTCGATCCATGATAAATTGTTCAGTTTTATATACTTAAAAACGAAACAAGCTCCCCGAGTCGAGCTGGGGTGTGTTAGTTTTGTATCGAATTGAGTTTGAATAGGTGAAAATTGTACTTGGTCGAGTTTTGAGCTTCAAGTTGGGTTGAGCTCGAACCTAGCACTATGTCAGCTCGACTTGACTTGTCTCCACTCAATTGCATCCCTTCATACATCAAACCTAATATAAGCATAATGGTGCTCCATGCGACACTCAATATGAGGTCAAGTGCTGCTCTATTATCGAATGCCACGTTGCAATTTTATGTCTACGTGAGACATTTCCAATTATACCCTTTGTTTAATACCATTTTGCCGTTTGTTTCATCTCCTCCAATCTTCTACTAAATTAGAGTTTCTACATTTAATTTCCTAATAAGTGAAGTTTCCAACTTTACCTATCATATACCGCTAAACTTTCTCTATAAATGTTGTTTTATTACTTCTAAAATCCTCATAAACATAATTTGATACACAAATCCAGTATAATTATCCATGCTGACAAGTCAAAGTTAGTCATCCCGACAGGTACACGAGTTCGACCATCATTTTTCGCTTATTTATTTTCACAGAATCTGTGGTGAGCTCTCTTCTTTAAGAAATAATACTTCACTTATATTCATAATATGAAAATTTACAAAGAAAAAATGAAAAGTTAGCTACCTATTGGTGTAGTTGAAAAATGAAAATTTAGAATATCATCAAAATATAACAAAAGGACTAGTTGACTTTTTTCCATTTCTCAATCACGGGCCGGCTCGATATCAGACTAGCGCCATCATTCAACTCTTATCATCGACCCTCCTTGGTGCTTGCTTCCACTGAATTCATTTGTCTTCAAATTCACAGAGAGAATAAAAAAGCTTATACATGGAGCAAGACTACATAGTCTTAAAAGCTTCATTTATTTCGTGAAAAATGAATGATTTGAAAAATATTTTTTTAAAATGATCGTTTTATCGCTTAAAATAATTAATCAATGGAAAATATTTTTATTATCAACAACAATCTATATATAAATATTTTCGTGGATGTTAAAAATATTTTTTGTTCATTCATTTACATAAGCAATACAAACGACTATTTTTAGGAAACTATTTTCCAAATCATTTATTTTTCGCGAAACAAACACACCTTTAATGTTGGATATTATTCTCTATGATTGCGCCTCGTTACACCAACACGGGATAAAGAGGCGCGGAGTAATGATCATTGAAAAACAAAATGCACATCCATCTGTCATTCCAAGTACTCTTATTTCCACTCTAAAAATCGATATAGCCTGGAGATTAGAAATTGTTGAAGAAAGAACAAAATGTTTGTTTTGTCCTTTCTAGGCAATGGGAAAATAAAGATATGCTTAGGCTCCGTTCGTTTCGCAGAAAATATTTTTCAGGAAGCCATTTTCCTAGAAAATTGCACAATTTTTTGGTGTTCGGTTGAAATCTGAAAAAGTCACAGAAAATATTTTCCGTTATTCGATATGGAAAAGATTTTCCTCCTTACACTACTTTTAATAATTTTTCAAAAATATTTTTAATTTTCTTTTTTTTCTTTTTTTTTCCTTCTTCTTCTTCCTCAGCCTGTCGCCGGCCATAAGAGAGCTCGAGCCTCGCTGGCCTGTGGCGAGGCCTGACGAGGCCGAGCTCGCCCAAGGCCAGTCAAATGAGCTTGGGCCTCGCCAGATTCGGCGAGCTGGGCAAGGCTCCAGCTCGCTTGTGACTGGTCGCCGGCCGCCGCCGTGGCCGGTGACCGGCTGGAGAAGAAGATAGAAAAGAGAAAGAAAAGAAAAAAGAAAAAAAAATTAAAATTAATTTTTTTTAAAAAAAGATAATTAAAAAAATAAAAATTTAATATTTTAAAAAAAGAAAAAATAATAATTATAATGAATGATGAAAGAAGGAAGGGGGAAAATGTTTTCCTCTTTTCAAAAAGTGAAAAACATTTTTCTCACTTTCGAAGGTATTTTGTTCATTGAGGGAAAATATTTTCCATGGCTAATTTATTTTCCGTGAAACGAACACCAGAAAATCCGGAAAATATTTTCTTGGAAGTTATTTTCCGTGAAACGAACGGAGTCTTAATATATTCAAGATAATTACAACCTAATTTGAGTTTAGAGAGATCACAACATCCTCTCTCAACATTTTAGTTAAGAACGCTGTACTTAAGACTAAGACTAATCTCAACTCAATATCGACAGGTTTGTGAAGAATTTCGAAGTCACCTAGCGAAAAGAGACCGCATGTGACAGACGGGTTGCTAATGTGCAGGCAAAACAACATCAAATGTACCAAAAAATGGTTGCATCACGTGTATTTAAAAGCCATAATGACGTCAATAACTTCTCTCGAAATCCCCTCTTTAACGTACTCATAAATGCGTTGACGTCCGGAAATTCAACGCCAACCTTGTTTCAAGCTTTCCTTCGCCTGTATAATGATCATCTTCGAGAAACCAAACGTATCATCCTCCATAAGCACCCAAAAAAGAAAAAAAAAAAACCCCACTAAGTTTCATAGCGTATACGCTCTTTTTGGGCATAATGGAGACCACTTCGGTGAAATCTATGTTGAAGAACGTCGTGGTGGTCTTCTTGGCGTATGCGGCTCCCACGGTTGTAGCTTTCTGTGGGATGCCTCCTTGTTGCCTGCGCGACGTATACTGCTGCAAACGATCTCTGAAGGCGGCCTTGCACAGATGAAGCGGCCACTTTCTTTTATAAGCTATCGATGAGGGTTCATTATAATGTGTTTTATTTTCGCAATAGGGGTGTAATTGTTAATTAGACCTTATAATTGTTCATGATATTCAACATACATTACGAATAACATACACGGTCTGTCAAGGTACAAAACACACTAAACTAGAACTCAGACAACTTTTTTATAGAGAACTTGAAGAACAATAATACTGAGACCGGTTTGTCCAACCCATTACATCATCAAGCAGGATATGGCTGCCACCGGTTGCTTCAACCCCCACCGCCACCACACCCCGATCAACAACACGTACGCCACCAGCCGTGTCAAGAAGATGGCCTGCTGTGAGACTGAGCTCTCCTCCATAAAGTCCCTCAATTGCGTCGGTTCTACCCGACCAACCCCCCACCACGACATCTTCATCCTCTGGCAGATGAACCCCGCCTTGTGGTCCGTTGAGCTCAGCGTCGTTGCCTGTGGACCTGCCTACTTCAATCCTCATTCTGACGATGACTTCTCTCACTACATTAACAATGCCGACAATAAGGTGGTCGCCGGCAGTGATGGCAAGATCGTGGGGCACCACACTCCCTGGCTCGGCACTAATGCCTCCAAGGGTTCCCACTGTTTTTTACATCGCCTTATTGAGTTACATGTCTTGTATACACTTATACATTAGGTTCGTGTCCAATTCATGTCTCTCTTTCTTTCCCTCTATCTTACTTTGTAGCTCTCCCCTGGCTAGTTTATCCCCACTTTTAGTGCTTTGCTCGATGGATGACGAACTAGTTACTCTTCAGCTGGCACTCGGGCATCTTTCACGATCATTAACTTCAATCTTTTCACAGTTGAGTATAAATGAATTGCACCTGTATGCTTTCGTGGACATTTGGGATTCTGATTGAACATTTTCGGTAGACGCATGTTGCTTGTGATTGAAAAGATGATCATCTTATATCTCGGGGAGAATAAAAAAACATAACCTCAAAATTCTCGACTTTATTGCAAATACGGTCACGTCGAAACTAACATCGAGCGATACATGAGATTGGCTCATACCTAGGTAAGTTCTCTGATAAATCTACTGAACGACAACCAAAACCATTTACCTCCCCCATGCTCCTTATTACACAAAGACACTAATTCATCAATTAGCTCGCAATTTATCAACCCACATAATACTAATTGAAGTTAAACCAGTTGAGATAAACCCACATCTATGCCAATCCCATTAAGTGAAGCTAGTAGTATCCAGGTGCAACTGTAGGCTCGCCATATATGGGATAGTAAGGTTGATCATCCAAAGCCACACCGACGACGACTTTCGATCCTGGAAAAGCAATTCTTTTGATGAGCCCTTGTCGCATTTGATTGAGAATAAAAGGCCTACTAACCTCCCAATGGTAGTAGAAAATAGTAAAATGACAAGATTCGTTTAGTCCTCCTAAGAGAAAGATAGTAACTGAATTGAAATACTTACGGCTCAATTTCTCCGCTTCGCTTGCGCTGAGTCTCGCTGCGAACCCGCTGATTATTCCATAGGTGTAGATCAAAGAATCTGCCGGCTTGCTACTCAAACATTGATAAGTTATCCAAATTGCGAGTATGTATCGAAGTTAGAATTGGTTGGCCCAATAAATTATTTCGAAAGGGAAAAAGAAAACCAATATAGCTATGCAATCTTATTTAACCTTAAAGAGGACTCTAGATCATACCATATGCAACCCTAAATAATTCGACCAAATAAGAACACAATCGATGTGTTATAATCGAACTTATTTATATTTTCCGTATAAGTTCGGCAAGCCTTTGATCTCTAGATCATGACGGTCGCCTCATTTGAGTTTTTAGATCTCTAGATCTATTTTTATGGGTTCGATATATCATATGAACTTGATTATTTTTTTGAGTCCGTATACGAAATTGACTTAAAATAACATCTTTTTTGAACTAAAATTACATACCCTCCTTCGAGAGCCTCCCCAAGAAGTTTGAGAGCAAGAGCCTTTGAACTCTCAACGGAAGGATCCAAATAAACAAAGTGAACCTGTGAACTTTGAATAATATATTTCGTTAGTACGCAGAAATGCTTCATAACCATCATTGTCTAGAAAGAATTACTATAGTCCATATTTCTCCAAGGGGAATGCAAAGTTTTAGGGCATGCTTGTTTGCCAGTAAGCTTTCTCGCCAAAAGTTTAAAAATATTATATGAGTTTCGAAAATTTATGAAAAATTTGTATATAACTATGCGTGTCAGCATCTATATGATGAAAATTTTAAAAAAAAAAAAGTCAAAGTGCGTGAGCCCCAATATTTTGATCAAACAAAAGGCAAAACAGGAGACAATCCAAAAACGGCCTTCGTAAGTGTCATCAATCGTCGAATCCATCATGTAATCAAATGCATGGATTTCACGGGTTTCTACTGTTTATGAATGTGATCTAGCAAAGCGGGATGCATCTGAATTATCAGGCCTTCGCGAACAAAAATGTAAATTTTTACTCTGTTCACTGCTGGAGAAAAGTTATTCGCAAAAGATAAACGATATGATCATGTGTTGAATCTATATATCTATTTACACATATTTCAGTTTCGAATAACATAGAAAATTAAAGGGAAAGGGTGCCCTTGCCTTTCTTTCTCCAAGATCTTGCGCATGGCAACAGCAGTGGAACAGCAAGCTGAGCAATGACCAGAGCACAAGTACCCTCACGAAGATGGACAGCATTGAGGGAGTAGGTGTTGTCGTCGCCATCAAAGGTTTCTTTCTTTTTTTGAAAGGAAAGAGAGCCAAATGCGGATGATTTGTCTTTGACCTCGAAGTAGAGGATGTAATCCGAGAGACCAGCTGAAATTTCTTCTTGGACGATGTACTGATATAGGGCTTGGAAATTAAAGTGGCCCGCATTGATTGTAAAAGAATAAAACTCCAACTTCATCGATCCATAGATTAGTTGTTAAAACATGTATTACTTATGTCAAATTAAGAAGATTGCAGTTACAGGACTCAATACTATAGATAATTTTCGCACTAAATTACTAGCTGGCGTTATGCATGGGAATCTCCATCACTAAATGCTGCTTTTATTAGAAATATGTCCCGAAACTTAAAAAATACGCCTTGATTTCATTAGGAAGAAACTTGATAAAATTAACAGTGTAATCGAAACTTTTCACCTTGATTTTGTTGAGAAAAGAGAACCTTCCACAGTTAGTGGAGATATGAGATACACCACTCAAGGCACTTTTGATTAGCGGGAAAATTACCCGATCGGTTTTAAATCTATGGATGCCAATTCAATTCTAAACTTTCCATTTTTGCTAATTTAGTCCTAAACATTTGCACGGAATTCCAATGTAATCGATCATTCCAGTCAAATTTCACGAGAAATCACTATCGTGACGTTCTAGTCAATTCTGGCCGTTCTACGTGGCACACTCCCGCATCGGTGATTTTTGACGAAATTTGGCTTGAATAATTACATTGGAATTTGGGGCGAAAATGGCTTTATGACTAAATTAGTAAAAATGAAAATGTTAGAATTGAATTTATATCCATACAATAGGTGGGCTGAGCCGACAATTTCCCCATTGATTAGCATAGCGAGCTTCGATATTTATCCATGTTTCACATCTCAAGAATTGTAGAGTGCCCCATGGTTTAGGTACTTTAGTTTTGACTAGATGCTCTAGGGTGGGGTTGTTCGGATGCATGACTTGATACATTCCGTTGATCTTAGCGACGGTTGTATTGAGAAACGAAAACGACGCCACATGCATCCGACTATTGCACTGCACTTGGCCGGGCTTCTAGACATTCCAATGCTGGTTGGACATCACATAACGGGCTTAAACTCGAAATATACTTTTCTAATAAAGGCAGCATTTAAGGATGAAGAATCTCATGGATAACGCCAGCTAGTAATTTAGTGCGAAACTTCTCTATTGTATCGAGTCCTGCAACTGCAACCTTCTTAATTCGACATTAATAATACATGTTTTAACAACTAATCAATGAATAGATGAAGTTGGAGCTATTCTTCTACAATCAATGGCGGGCCACTTTAATTCGCAAGCCCTTACATAAGCTCAAGTCTATCATGCCTCGTCCAACAAGAAACTCTAGCAGGTCTCTCGGATTACATTCTCTAGTTCGAGGTCAAACACAAATCATCCGCATTTGGCTTTCTTTTCTTTTCAAAAAGAAAGAAAGAAACCTTCAATGGCAACAACAACTCCTACTCCCTCAATGCTGTCCATCTTCGTGAGGGTACTTGTGCTCTGGTCGTCGCTCAGCTTACTGTTCAATTGCTGTTGCGAAGCGCAAAATCTTGGAGATAGAAAGGCAAGAACACCCTTTTTTTTTCAGATTTACTGTTACTTTTTATCTTTTGTTTAATCAAGATATTGCGGCCATGCACTTTGAATCTTTTTTTTTGTCTTTCAAATCTGAGATACCCGAAACGTTCACCGTATATATTTTCACACGTATAACAATACATATTTCTTTTCATAATTTATGGGAATTTGTATTTTAAGATTTGGCGGGAAAGCCAAACAAACAGGTCCTAAAGTTTTGCATTCCCCATGGAAAAATATTGACTATGGTAATTATTTCTATGCTAATGTAATGTTTCATGCATGTTGACAAGAAGTATCGACTACAATGATTACTTAGTGCTCCTCCGTACTGACGAAATATTCCATGCCAAAGTTCACAGGTTCACATTGTTTTTCTGGATTCTTCCGTTAGGAGTTCAGAGGCTCTCGCTCTCAAACTTCTTGGCAAGGTTCTCGAAGGAGGGTACGTAATTTCTGGTTCAAAAAAAGATTTTATTTATGTCTAGTTCATATATTATATCGAACTCATTTTAATAGATCTAGAGATTTAGTTGGACCGTTTATCTAGGGTTGCATAAGTATACAGAAATTATTTATCCAGCCAAGCAATCCTAACTTTGATACATACTTGCAATTTCAATATCTTGCTAATGTTTGGGTAGCAAGCCGGCGGATTCTTTGATCTACACCTTTCATGTATTCAATGGCTTCATAGCGAGACTGACCGAAAGCGAAGCGGGAAAATTGGGCCGTAAGTATTTCGATTCGGTTACTATTACTCTCTTAGGGGGACTAAAAGGTCTATTATTTCGATTCGTTTTGCTATTTTCTACCATGGGAGATATAATGGTCTCTCTTATTTTCAATCAAATGTGACAAGGGTTCATTGAAAAAGAATTGAATTTTCCAGGATTGAAAGGAGTCATCAGTGTGGCTTTGGATGATGGATCTTACCATCTTCAACCCGTGGGCGCATTTGCACCTGAAGGAAGCTAGCCTCGCCCATGGCATTGGCATAGAGATGTGTAATAAGGAGCATGGAGGAGGTACAAGATTTGGGTTGTCTTTTAGTTGATTTATGAGAGCACTTACGTAGATATAGGCCAATCTCATGTATTGCTCACTGTTAGTTTCCACGTGACAGTATGCGCAATAATATTGAACGCCATTTCAATTGCAAACAGCATGGATCTACCGAATGTTCTATAAATAACGACCGGACTTGTTTTTCCTAAACGATGTGGCGGATAAAGCCAATCACGATACATTAACAACGTCGAAACAATCACTCACAGAATGTCTCCATCTTCTTAATCCGCATAATTAGCACACAAGACATCTATGAGAACCTTCTTGGAGTATAATGAAGCCTCCAACGATTTTTATATCCTAAAAAAAAACACCATTCAAAAAGGGAAGCAAAACGATTTGTTAGTTTTAGCCCCAAACAAAATATTTATCAAATTACACTTCTAACACAATAATGAAATTGCCAACTGAGTTTTCTTGGGGCATTTGCCGAGTGTTTAATTAAGAAAAATATAAGAGTTAGCACTAATTATGAAACGTGCAATTAGTGTTTTGAAAAAACCGAAACGTACCTTATAAAGTATGCTTTTAACGATCCCCTTACGATAATGACCTCCTTTCTTGTAGAACTGCAATGTCCTTCACCATGAATCTGTTAAGCACAGCAATACTTCGAATGGTCCACATCGGCACCAATCACACTATCCGTTAGCCCATGCGTAACTGCCTTGTTCACATTACGGCCCTCGCCGCTAGATTCCTCCGTGCTCTGGTTCAAGCAATGTCACCTTCTGGCCCATGAGGTCGTCGCTATCGGGGCATCTAGCAGAGGGGTCATCAGCCACGGGAGGGAAGCCGAATTTTTTTTATCTCATAAAAAATCACTAACTTTCACTTAAATCTGAAATATAGCTCGAACAATTTGAAAAATTCACATCACGGGGGCCAGATTTGAAACTCGAGTAAAAGTTGATGATTTTTTTGGACCTGACTAGAGCTCGAGCGTCGAGGACCGAGCACGACTTTTGTGGACCCAAGTTCGGGTGTCGAAGCATCAGGTACGAACATGAGGGGCTCGGATTCGGCCTTGATGGTCCTAGGCGTAGGGTGGTGAGCTCAGCCTCGCCGGCCCGCGCTTTTGGCCGGTCACTGGCCGTCGCCGTGGCGAGTGACCGGCAAAGGGAGAAAGAAGGAAAAAGAAAAGGAAAGAAAAGAAAAATAAAATATTCACATATTTAAGATGACCAATTCCAGAAAGTGTTTTCACCTTCTTAAATTAGGAAATTCATTTTCCTAATCTTATACATGAATGCTTTCCTTAACCGAAAATTGCTTTAAGTTGACTTATCATTTTCGGCGAACAAAACGGGTGAAAGTCCGGAAAATGGATTTCCGCAAAATACTTTCCCTCAAACAAATGCACTTTAAGACTTCGTTCGTTTCTCAGAAAACAACTTTGAGGAAAATATTTTCCGAATTTTTCGGCGTTCCTTTCACAGAAAATAAATTAGTCATGCAAAACATTTTCCACCAATGGAAAAACACATTCAAAACATTTTCCATATCTTCTTTGATCTCATTTTCTTATATAACAAAATTTCCTTTTTTTATTTTTTAATCAAGTTTTTAATTATTTTTTCTCTTTTCTTTTTCTTTTTTTTCCTTTTTTTTTTTTGCTTCTTCCTCAGCTGGTCACATACCACAGCGGCGACTGGCGATTGGCCATAGGCCGGCGAGGCTCCATCTCACTTGATCCGACAAGCTCAAGCTCGCCTGTGGCCGGTTGCTGGCCGTCGCCATGGCTGGTAACTAACCAAATAAGAAGAAAAAAATAATTAAAAAATAATAATTTTTTTGGTAATTGTCCCTAGAAAATCAAATTGAATATTGAATGGCGGAATATATTTTCCAATACATTTTTAGGTCTCAACCAAACACCGAAAAATGATTTTCCGAAAAACATTTTTCAGAAACGTCACATTTTTCGTGAAACGAACAGAGCCTAAATAGGAGATTCTGGAAAAATAACATCATGTGTCATTTTTTTGTAAGTTGTTAAAACATTACTTCTACTTCTTAGGTAATTAGATGTAGAAACATTAATTTAATAGAAGATTAGAGAAAATGAAACTAACGGCAAAATTGGAATAAGCACAGGCTATAATTGGAAATGTCACACTTGAAAAGACATGTGGCATTCATTGATCGAGTTACACGTTAACCTCGTATTGAGAGTTGTATATCTGTTAAGAGGTGCCTTTTGTCCCACATCAAAAAGATGTGATTGCACATGTGAACTAGATTCAGCATTAATCATAGTGTCATATTAAAATAGTGTGACTATTCACAAAGGAGTTATGATTATTTATATATTTATTATTTATTTAATTTGGAATTTTGTTTTCTTCTGCTATGGTTATTTCATAGATCGCATATGTTCAGACATAACTTATTAACCTTTGGAAGATTGTATATGTTCGAATATATCTTCTTATCTTTTGCTATTAATTACTGAACGTGTCTGTTCAATACTCATCTTCTTCTTCCATTTTCATTTCTTTCCAAAAGAGAAATACAGCCATTGTTTATGATTGTTTCCCTTTAAGAGTTCCTGGAGAAATACCAAAATTTCTATATGGTATTTTCGATTTAGACTTTATTGTAACTTGGAGGATTTTTGTCAATAATCATTAGTAACGTTTTGGGGTAAATAATTCCTTAAATAGAGTATTATCATGCCTCAAAGTCTTAACTCCATTGTTTTTTCCCGATTCACATTGATAATTTCCCCAACACATGTATCCCCGCTACATTAGATCAAAATGTATTTAGGGGTGCATTGAGTCGAATTAACCGATACATTACTAGGCTCGAGCTCAACTCAACTTGAAGCTCAAGACTCAAATTCAATTCAGTGCTTTTTTTTCCCTTCTCAAACTCAACTCAATACAAAACCCGGCATACTCGAACTCAATTAGGCTCGACTCGTTATTAAGTATATAAAACTCAAGATACTCGACTTTATATCTCGCGTTCGAACTCAACTTGTCTCAAGATATTTGCACTCGCCCTTTTTCTATGTCTGAATATGTATTAGAGGGTGAAAGTACATTTTACATTATCGGTCATTTAAGAGGAAAAAAAGTACTACATATAAAAAAGTATCCTCGATTAGGCTTGCGGCCCGCCCGAGTCAAGTATCTTTAGGCTAAAACTCGGCTAGGCAAGGCACTCGAGTTTCTCGAACTCAGAAAAAATTCGAGCCGGCCTCGTGTAGCCGACAAGTTAAGCTACTGTCTTTTTCCCCCCCTTTATCCGAGCTTTTGCAGTAGAGCTTCGAGGACAAGTCAGGAACATTATTGAAGTACACTTCAGATTTAGTCACCCCACGTTCTCCAGCACAAGTTAATTGTCGTATGCTCGAGCATTCATTATTGGGGACGAGACATATATTCTTTCTTCGGCATGTTCACATCATTTCTTCAACCAAACTAATTCTGAAGAAAATACTTAAAACTCAATCAGCACTAAAATTCTGAGGATATAGAACGAGAGAGAACAAAATTCTATGGCATGCACCTGATCACGATCTCTCTCACTTCTCACCGAGGAAGAGTTCAGTAAGAACCTTCTTGGAGTGCAATGAATACTTCAGCAGCTTTATACCCTTCAAATTACAAACCAAGTTATTGAAAAGAAAGGTTGATCTCCAAATGATTGTACAAAAGCTAAAACTTGGATTAATCAACGTATATATATATTGAGAATTTTATTGTGGTGCAGAGCCAGTACCTTTTTTTTCACACAAGTGATCCATATTCGTTTGTAATTTATACGTCTCTTAAAATAAATTTTCCACATAAATTGTTGAGTTATAAAGTTTGCACTTCTGAAATCTAAACATAACCTGATCCCGAGGAATGGCATGGGCTTACCTCGTTCATTCCCAACCTGACCACCCTCTCCTCAAGATGCCCAATCTCCTTCACGTTGAACTTGTTCAGCAAAGTAATGCTTGAAATAGTCGACATCGGCATCACCTCCAGATCGTCCATCACCATGTATGTCGCCACACCTTGGACAAAACCACCCTTATCATCCGATTCAGCTGTTGATGCCGCAACAGCCGACTGGTTACCAGCCGGTGATTTGACAAAGGTGACTGTTCGGTGCATGGAATTTCTGCACTGAGGACATTTTGCAGAACAGTCCTCAGCCACATAGTTGGAACAGTAATCCTAAGAACGGGTAGAACACCCATAGTAGGTTTTGGGTGTTGAATCAAAGAGCGAAGTCTCGGGCAATTTAAATTTGATTTCAGCGAGAGAGGCGGGTGCTTTGGGTTTCAAGAGAATGTTTTTCTTGGAAGATTTGATGTACACATCGTTCAGCTTCTCGATGCTGTTGTAGAGATTGCCTAAACTGCCCACCATCCCGGTTTTCTCAAGGAGCCTGATCACCGTTCCGACCGGCAATGTGAGGATGTGGAAGAGGAAGTCAACAAAGTCCTTCCCACCTTCGGCAAATAGCACCCTCCGGTTGCTCTTGTCCACGAGAAGCTTCAAGTTCACTGTTCCTGTCGCCATTCTTTGGGTCACTGTGCGCAGAGAGGAAGCTGAGACTTCTGCAATGCTCCTTGCGAGTAGATTCAGTGGAGATTTGGTCGATCATCATGTGTGCAGTGGCGGTATTTATACATATGAAGTGCCAAATCATTAAGTATGGAAGTGAAAAGGGCAGGAGCAAATGAAGAGTCAAGGGCCGCTTATCAGTTGTTATCATCTCGGAGAGATCAGACGTGGTTGATCGCAATGAAAACCGGTCAAATACATGAATGTATCCGATATATGTTCATGCACGTTCAGATCTTGCGGCTTACTGTCTTCTAGTAACTAATGAGGAGTCATTGCAAGTCTGTACGTAATTATCTCCTAGTTAAAAGAAATTGCTCTACTGTAGGAGGAGGAAGACGAACAAGAGAGATTATGGCATACCTGCAACTGAATTTGTACAGTAACTACATTGGTGTAATCAGTCTCTTTTAGGAAACTATCAGATTTGAGATGGAATTAGAGTACATGCACCTTGCCAATCAGGACAGAACAAGAACAAAATCATAAGGGTGGGCAAGAACAAAATCTTAAGGGTGGCCACATGTACAACAGCGAATAAGTCATATACGCATGGGAATAATAATTGTTGTGAAGATTTGGTGGTCCCCTGCCAAACTGTTCTAAAAGCCTAAACGGTTAGATGAAGACGTGATTTATTATTTAAATATTTTAACAATTATCTTGCAGAATAAATGATTTTGCAAAATATATTGATATCCGATTAATAGAATATTTTAAATGCTTCTCATTATTTAATGAAGTATATGCAATAAATTACAGAGTTGCTACCTCCCCCTTGGCAGATTGAGAATATTATCGAGGATTTGCTTCCGTGTCATCCCATCTCCTCTTTACTTCTTCATTGAGTTCTTGGTAGGCCAACAGCCCAATTAACCGGGCGGGAAACTGCATTATCTATCTTATTTATGGCAAACGCTAACTACTCGACAGAGTTGAAAAGGATGCAGAAATTTATTCGAAAGTCAATGTGGAGCAATCAGATTTTGGACGAGGAAGGACATGCCGGCCTCACAAGGAAGATATATATAGCTCCCCTTCACATTATGAAAAAAGAAAGAAGGGTCGAAGTTTAGACCGCTCGATTCTTCTTGATTACTCTGTAGCGCCTCGCCGAAATAACATTGTTGTCTCTTTTAAGGTTGTCCCTTTTTGGCTGAAATTTGGTCTTAGATTACTTTCAGTAAATGGAATCCGCAATAAGTCCCGTTTCAGGCAGACAAAGCTCAATTGGTAAAAGAAGTTTAAAGGAGATCGTGTTGCCGACACTACTTTTTAAACTTTCTTGGTGTGGTTTTCTTAATCATACTTGGGAAAGTAGGAATCAAAATTTGCAACTGTCTATTTCTCGTACCCAGAAATTGATTATGTCGTTCATTCTATTTCTCTAACATTAGAATTAAGTCGAGTTCTTTTAACATGTGTAAAAGGAAGATTGAGTTGACAAGAGAAAATTGTCAAAAAAGTCAAACCTATTGTACGGAGGCCAATTCAGTTATAAAATTTTCAATTGTGTTAATTTAGTCTCAAACCTTTTGAAATTTTGCCAATTTACTCATAAACCTATTATTTTAATAATTGGACGAAATGAGTACATTGACAAATTGTGAAAATGTTTATGACTAAATTGACAAATTATCAAAAGGTTTAGCACTAAATTGACCTAACTGAATTGTCTACCGTACAATAGGTTTAAAACTTTTCAAACGGTTTTCCCAAGGTGACAATTATACATTCATTTGAAGGTGTTGGATAATACAAGCATGACGGTTTTTATACTTTTTTAGAGCCTTGGACTACCCTATGCTTAGTTTGCATGAACTATACTTACTTGCTTGTCCCAAAAATTTAATAGCATAAAAGAGGGCAGAATTACGTTGTTTCTTACCAAAAAGCAATACAGACTTTAATTTTGACCGGTAAAAATATTTGTTAAGCATCAAGAAAACAGTAAACTGAAAAATGACCGATGACATCTTTTCAGGTTACTTGATAACTTACCAACAATTTCGTGAAATTACCCACTTTTTAATAGTTTGCAAATTACCAATCTTTTACTAAATTACCAATTGCTATTAGCATACTTATTAACGATATGGATTTACTAACTCTTACAAACCCAAAAGCCCGTGCTATGCACTGGTTCCTTTCCTTGACTTGCTTTTTTTATTTTTGGTCAAATCTTGACTTGCTTTTGATGGACAACTAATTTCATGTTTGAAGAATCGTGTTTCCTCCATGTTGGATTGGGTTCTATGTCATTTTCTATTGGTTTTGCTAATTTAACTATGAGACTTGTTACTTGCTTTTTTAAATTAAAATGTGGATATATAGTTAATTACATATGTTCAGGTGTTTACGTTTCTATATACACAAATGCACATTTTAATCTATACACATACACATTCCAGACAAATTTGGGTCAAATTAATTTATGTATGCATTGTTGCTACGAGGTACTGGCTGCAAAATCAACTTATAAGGTTCTAACATGATGAGAAGACGATTTCATATTTAACTTGATAAAAATTTGAAATTGTGCGATGTGATCCCAAGTGAAACTACGTATTGAGTTGCGCTTGCATATAATTAGGGATTTAATGAACTTTTCGAGCAAGGTAAAAAAAGAAAATAATTTTTTTTGATGTAGACTGAAATTATTTGCCTTTATTCTCTCTTGCAGATTCTTAAAAACATTTAAATGCTGCATATATGTACAGATACATATAGTATCCTATAACATTCTTTGAAGAGTAGCTCTCTTTTTAAATCTGTTTTTATTTTCATTTCCTTTTGAAAGTTTTAAATTAAAGCTTTGACCCTTTAGAAGGAGAAAACAAATTATTTTAAACAATAAAGTTCAACTCAACAATGAAAAGTGTGAGCACGTGACGGTACAGTGAAAGAGAGCTCATGAATTAATAATTGAGTTAGACATATGCTCGACAACAAAGGTGAACACTGGGTGAAAAGTGAATCCTAAATTTTTTTACCTAACTTGCCAATGATAGGATTATAGTTATTTGATGGATGAACAATCTCGAGCGATGATTAAGGAAAATTAACGGATAAACTATTTTGAATGCGGATCTTAAGATTATGGTTATTTGATGGACATATCAAAATAACCAATGAAAATATACTTAAAAATGGTCCTCTTTGTTTCTCGACAACGCACAAAGAATTCCGTCTAATTGAGAGATTAAAGAAAAGGGATGATAGAAAGATCCTTTTTCTTCCAAACTCAACAATGGCATCATCGTCTACGCATTCGAGTAGTCTCTATCTTCTCTTCTATTTATGATGCTTGAACGAAAATGTTAGGTTCCAAGGTCCGATATGTTGCGTTGAATGATGATATGTTGATGAGATTATTCCAACAAAATATCCTTTCTTCATCATGTTCACGTCATTTTTTCCGACCAAACCGATACAATCAGATCATAAATAGAGATAATAACAAGTCCATGTTTCCGAAGAAAGGACTTCAAAAAAGGTCAATCCGCAGTAAAAGTCTTGCATAGTCCCAGTCACAAAATCAGAGCATATCCCTCCATATGCTTTCTGAATGAAATAATATTGCATCTACTTGATCACGATCTCTCTCACTTCTCCCCGAGGAAGACATTGGTGAGAACCTTCTTGGAGTGCAATGAAGCCCTCGGCAGCTTTATACCCTTCAAAGTTACAAACAAAGTAATTGAAAAGAGCAGTTCATATCTAAATGATTGTAAAAAAGCTAAAACTTGGATTAATCAATATATACATATAATTAGTTGAGAATATTTTTGTGGTACAAATCCAGTACCTTTTTTTTCTCACACAACTCACGTCGAGCCATAATCATCAAAATAGATTTTCCTCATATAGTGTTGAGTTGGAACTTCTAAAATAGCAAGGAATGGCATGGGCTTACCTCGTCCATTCCCAGGCTGACCACCCTCTCCTCAAGATGCCCAATCTCCTTCACGTTGAGCTCGTTGAGCAAAGTAATGCTCGAAATAGTCGACATCGGCTTCACCTCCAGATCGTCCATCACCATGTACGTCACCACCCCTTGCACGAAACCGCCCTGACCGTTCGATACAGCTGCTGATACCGCAGCAGCCGTCGGGTTACCAGCCGGTGATTTGACGAGAGTGAATATGTGGTTCATGGAATTTCTGCAATGAGGACATATTGCAGAACAGTCCTCAGCCACATAGTTCCAACAGTTATCGTACTCACAGCTAGGGCACCTGTAGTAGGATTTTGGGGTTGAATCTGAAGACGAAGTCTTAGGCAATAGACATGGCAGTTGGGAGACAAAGGCGAGTGCTTTGGGTTTCAGGAGAACGTCCTTCATGGAAGATTTGACGTACACATCGTTCAACTTCTCGACGCTACCAAAGAGATTGCCCAAACTGCCCACCATCCCGGTTTTTACGAGGAGCCGGATCACCGTTCCGACCTGCAACGCAAGGATGTAGAAGAGGAAGTCGACAAAATCTTTGCCTGCTTCAGCAAAGAGCACCGTTTGGCTGCTCTTGTCGACCAGAAGCTTCAAGCTTACTTTGTCGGTCGCCATTTTCGTGTTGGGTGGATTGGGCTTAGGGGAGGAATGACTCAGGCTGTGCAAACGATCCAGACCCGTGTTGACACTATGGTGAGTTGAAATACAAGTAAATATAGCGCAGAAGAAGAAGCCTTGGGGATGCTGCTGAAATAGTGAAGTCTGGTTTATGGAAAACATCACAAGCAGTCTTCATCAAGGAGGAGCTCATTTCCCATGAAAAAATAACCACTTTACGCATCTTCCCGACGAGATTTGTATTGATATTCATTTCAACTTTGAGATAGAGTGAACGATTCCATCTCCATTAACTGCTAAATGCCGTTGTGCTTCACCTGTATTATTTCAACTAAGAAACTAAATGATCAAGCATTGACCAGTCCCTGTTTCGTACTTATCCGTCTTCCGCTAAAGTTATTATTTTTTTTCGAAATATAAGAATAGGCACCGTCCGTAAATACCATGAAGATTAGAGATGATAAAGAAAAATACTTACATGACTGTCTTGAATCTACTTGAGAATAAAAATCTGTTTTGGGCAAAAAAAATAAATAACAGATAATTAGAAATTGTTGTGGGGTTTATTCTTTCAAGAATTTGTGGCTCACAACATACGGTTATTGTCCCTCCAATAGTAGCCTAGCGAGGCAATGACTGTTATGCTAACAAAGCCCATCCCGATATTGTCCCTCTGAAAAGCTAAATGAATCAAATATGACCTTATATTGTACACTGCAAAGGACCTCCTATGATCAATAGGGGGATCTCTAGAAGTTAGATTAATTGCGAACACGAGTTTCTGATCGCTCAGTAACTAATAATCGGGCCACTGATACAATGGGCAAGAGAGATACTAAATTGACCACCCTCTAGACTGTGCCAGTGCAGTATTCATATTACTTGCATGCCATGAGTTATAACTAGGAGAATGAAGAGATGATGCTACTCGGGCTGCTTCCAGCAAAAGACATTGAGATGATATATTTGCAGAAGAGGGAGTGCATCTCTGCACAGAAACATCTGTATCTCTTCCTGAAATTAATGAATATACAAGATCCAGGTCAGTCTTTTCCAGCGAGAAGTTTCGATAGCCAACACTGTCACCATAATGTAAAACAAGGGGAATGCCTTGAAGAACAAAGCCCAACGCTCCTGCTAAAGTATCACGAGAAGAAAAGGAGAAGAGAGTCAGAATATTGCAACAATGCTCGGCAACTATGCAGGGAGGAGCTAGCCTGCACAAACAAACAAAAAATTTGAAACCGTTTGCTAATTTCTGCTTCAATTTGTGAATACTTCGCTTTAACTTTCAGATTTAAGCAAGCCAAAAAGTTCATTTTCCTATTGCCACGACATTTCTCATCAGCATAAAGCACATAATAGACAGAGACAAAATGGAAGGCTCTAACCAAGCTAGTGCACTTGGTTTGCTTTCAAAGCAACCTAATGTTGAAATAGAATAATAGAAGCCTGACATGATCAAGCCCTCATGTATCCACTCTAAAGATCTGAACTAAGCACGAAAAGAAAAAGGAACTTCAAGTAAGGCTAAAGACAAGGAAGTATGCTCGTTTATAATTGTTTATCCAGCCAAGCAATCCTAACTTTGATATATATTTGCAATTTTGATATTTTACTAATGTTTGAATAGCAAGCCAGCGGATTCTTTGATCTACACCTATGTTATAATCAACTGCTTCGCGGCGATACTCAGCGAAAGCAAAGCGGAAAAATTAGGCCATGAATATTTCGATTCGGGTTACTATTATTCTTGTGAGTTTTTCAAGATGAAAAAAACAGAGGATTGAAGTGCTGAAGAAGAAAAGAAGTATACGGATATGCAGCCAACAAGGAAAACTGCATCTATTTGATTTCTCAATCTTAAATTTAAAGTTGAAACAAACTGAAAGTGAGAGAATTGTGGATGAAAATCCCAACAACATATCTAACTACTTCCTAAAGACTAGGATAACATGATTTTATTAACCGAAACAAACTAAAGAAAAAGAAATGTATTCAAAGAACACGTGCAGTACTGAAGCAATTTTATAACACTCCTCCTTGCTTTAGGTGCTGCAAATCCCGAGCTTCTTCCTTAGATCTTCAAATTTGCTTATAGGCAATGGCTTCGTGAAAATATCTGCCAACTGATTTTCTGACTTGCAGTAAACAAGTGCAATTTCGCCTTCTTTCTGCACTTCCCTTAGAAAGAAAACCTTGATTTTGAAATGCTTAGTCTTCCCATGAAAAACTAGATTGTGAGAAATTGCAATTGCTGCCTGATTATCAACAAGAATTTCCGTGTTGTTCCCTCGCTTCAGGTTCAAATCACATAAAATTTTTCTTAGCCAAATTGCTCGATTAAGCTCGCCGGTGGTTGCTATGAACTCAGCTTCTACTATGGATTGTGCTACAACTTCCTGCTTCTTAGAGCACCATGAGAAAATTCCCGAGCCAAGACTAAAACAATAACCAGAGGTACTTTTCATATCATCCACCGAACCTCCCCAATCAGTGTCAGAAAATCCCAACAGCTTGAAATCTTGGCTTTTCTTAAACTTCACACCAAATTCAATTGTTCCTTTAATGTATCTCACTACTCTTTTTGCTGCTCTTAAGTGCATTTCAGTAGCACAATGCATAAAACGAGATAAGAGACTTACAAAAAATAAAATGTCTGGTCTTGATGCCGTGAGATACATTAGACAACCAATCAGACTTCGAAAGTAACCCTCTTCAACTCTGTCAATCCCGTCCTCTTTGCTCAAGCTCTCCTTTTGATTCATTGGAGTGGCCATTGCCTTGCAATCCTCCATACGAAACTTCTTGAGAATTTCCTTGACAAACTTCTTTTGACAGATGAAAACTTCATCTTCCAACTGCTTAATCTCCATTCCCAGAAAGTATGTCATTAGTCCAAGGTCTGTCATTTCAAAGATCTGCATCATTTCTATTTTAAACTCTTCAACAAGCTTGGCATTACCACCTGTGATTAAGAGATCATCAACATAAAGAGAGACTATAAGTAGATCATCTCCCTTATGTTTCACATAAAGAGTAGCCTCTGACATGCTTTTTTCGAATCCGAGGCTTGACAGATGCTCATCTATCTTGCTATACCATGCTCTAGGTGCTTGTTTCAAGCCGTAGAGAGCCTTCTTGAGCAAGTAGACCTTCTCCTCTTCACCTTGTTCCACGAATCCCTCGGGCTGTTCAACATAGATCTCCTCTTGCAAATTACCATTCAAGAATGCAGATTTTACATCTAGTTAAAACACCTTCCAACCCTTTTGAGCTGCAACTGCGAGCAAGAGTCTTATGGTGTCCAATCTAGCCACAGGTGCAAAGGTGTCTGAATAATCAACACCAAAAATCTGTGCATGACCCTTAACTACAAGTCTAGTCTCGTACTTGTTGATAGAACCATTTGCATTTAACTTGGTTCTGAATGCCCACTTTACTCCAATAACCTTTCTATCCTTCGGTTTGTCGACAAGCTCCCAAGTCTTTTTTTTTTTTTTTATCATCGACAACCCCTCTTCCATTGCCTTCTTCCAGTTCTGGTCTTTAATAGCTTCTTCATACCCTGGAGGTTCACAAATGGCCACATTGCATCTCTGACAGATATCAGAGAGCAGTCTTGTTCCATGGATTGGTGGATCATCTTCCAACTCTTCTTGCCACTGTTCTGTTGCTCGCTCTTCTATTGTTTGGAAGGGAAGACTTGATTTCTGCTTGCTCGTGGATGTCTCTTGTGTCTGTTTCCAGTTCCACTTCTCATCTTCATTAAAGAACACATCTCTACTGACAATTATCTTCCCTATTTGAGGTTGATACACCTTGTAGGCCTTGGAGGAAGAACTGTAACCCACGAAGATGCCCGATACTGACTTCTTGTCAAGTTTATCACACTTGACCTGTGGAACGTGAGAGAAACACATACAACCGAACACTCTAAGGAAATTGAGTGAAGGTTTATAGCCATACCATGCCTCGAATGGAGTTTTGTCCTCTAATGCCTTGGTAGGCAATCTATTCTGCAAGAAAACCGCAATGCTTGCTGCCTCAGCCCAGAAATTCTTTGGCAACTCCTTGTCATGAAGCATGCATCGAGTCATTTCCATTATGTATCTGTTTCTCCGCTCACTGACTCCATTCTGCTGTGGAGTGTAGGGAGCGGTGAGTTGGTGCACGATGCCAGATTTTTTGCAGAACTTGTTAAACTGCTCTGAAGTATACTCTCTTCCATTGTCAGACATAATGCATTGAATGTTGCTGCCACTCTGCTTCTCCACCATTTTCTTGAACTTCTAGAACGTGCCAGCCACTTTTGATTTATGCTTCATGAAAAATATCCAAAACATTCTACTGAAATCATCTAGGAAAATAACGTAGTACCGACTACCTGCAAGTGATTGAGTTCTTTAAGGACCAGCAACATCTGTGTGGATTAGTTGCAACTTGTGAGAGGCTCTCCAAGTTGACTTTGGAAATGGATTTCTATTTTATTTACCGAATTGACAGGCATGACAATTCGATAAATGGTCTGCAAAGACTGGTAAACCATTTGACAACTCCTTTTTTTTTCATCAGCAACATTCTTGAAAGGTGACAATGGCCTAGTCTTTTGTGCCAAGTCTCAGTCACATTCTCCTCCACGGAATAAGCAGCTTGCTCCTCCTTGGTTGGTTCAAATGAGAAGCTCTTGCATCTCATTTTTGCTTTGACGATTTCCTTTCCATTTGCATCTTGTATGAGGCAAAGTTTATCTTCAAAAAACACCTTGAATCTTTTTTCAATGAGCTGACCAACACTCAACAAATTTTTGTCAATATCAAGTACAAAGAGAACATCTGAAATTGACTTTGTACCTAAATTTGTTGAGATGACAATGGTTCCCTTTCCCTTCACCGGAATATGGTTACCATTTCCTATTCTGACCTTTGTGATTGTCGTGGGCTTCAACTCTTTGAAAAGACTTCGATCGTGAGTCATGTGGTTTGTACAACCACTATCTATCAGCCAACTCACATTTGATTCTCTGCTTGAGAAGCAAGTGGCTACAAACAATTGATCCTCCTCTTCTTGGTCTGCAACTTGAGCATCTACTTCCTGCACCTGATTTTTATTCCTGCATATCACTGCCTCGTGTCCGAGCTGATTGCATTTGGAACATTTGGCGTCAGGTCTCCTCCAACATTTGAATGGAGGGTGACCTTTCTTCCCACAGCGATGGCAAGGAGGGTATTTACCCTTGAAATTTCCATTTGTGCTTTTGTTGCTATTCGAAGTAGGTAAGACCGAATTTCCCTCTTGGCTTTTCTTCTTTTTCTTCTTGTTTTTGTTAGCTTCATGATGTTTTGCAGGATAGGCTCCTTCAATTTCACCTTCCTGCCTCATAGCTCTTCTTTGTTCCTGCACTTGTAAAGCATTTAACAGTTCTGCCAGAGTGATTTTTGACATATCCTTAGTGTTTTCGAAGGATGTAATCGTGGCCTCAAATTTTTCAAGCATCGTTACAAGGATTTTTTCAACAATCCTTGATTCTGGCAGAGAAGAGCCGAGTAGTCTGACTCGGCTTGCAATGTTAAGCAACCTGTCAGAATACTCTTTGATGGATTCAGTCTGCTTCATCTTCTGCAACTCAAAGCCACGTACCAGATTCAGCACTTGCATCCCTCGTATCCTTTCATCTCCTTCGTATTCGGTCTTGAGAATATCCCATATCTCATTTGCTGACTTCAGAGACATGATACGAGTGAAGATGGTGGCTGAGACTACAGCAAACAAGCAAGCCTTTGCCTTTGATTTCTTCGTCTTCTTCTCCTTCTGCGCTTTGATCTATGCCATGGTGGGATTGTTTGGAAGAGCAAGAATATCATAGTCTTCTTCCACTGCTTCCCAAAGATCCAAGGCATCCAAGTATGTCTCCATGCGTACTGCCCAAATCCGGTAGTTGTCTCCGTCGAACACCGGCGGAGCAATTGATGAGAAACTGGCTTCGGCTTCCATGACGCGTCAAACTCACACACAGATCCCTCAAGAAGAGTGCTTTGATACCAATTTGTGAGTTTTTCAAGATGAAAAAAATAGAGGATTGAAGTGCTGAAGAAGAAAAGAAGTATACGGATATGCAGCCAACAAGGAAAACTACATCTGTTTGATTTCTCAATCTTAGATTTAAAGTTGAAACAAACTGAAAGTGAGAGAATTGTGGATGAAAATCCCAACAACATATCTAACTACTTCCTAAAGACTAGGATAACATGATTTTATTAACTGAAACAAACTAAAGAAAAAGAAATGTATTCAAAGAACACGTGCAGTACTGAAGCAATTTTATAATAATTCTCTTAGGGGGACTCAAAGAATCTCGTTGTTTTACTATTTTCTACCATCATCGGGAGATTAAAATGTCTTTCGTTTTCAATCAAATGCAACAAGGGCTCTCATCACCAAAAAAAAAAAAGATTTTCCAGGATGGGAAGTCATCATCTTCGTGGCTTTGGCTGGTCATTCTTACCATCTTGACCCATGGGTAAATTTGCACCTGGAAAGAACTAGCCTCACCCAATGACATCGGAATACTTACGTAGATATAGGTCAATCTCGTGTATTGCTCGATGTTAGTTTCAACATGACAGAATATCTGCAATAATGTAGAAAATCTTGAGGCTGTGTTTCCTATGCTCCCCTAAAATATAAGACGAACGCCTTTCAATCATAAACAACATATATCTACCGAATCTTCATAAATATCGACCGGACATTGTTTTCTTGAACAATGTGACGAACAAAGTCGATTGAAATATATTGGCAAATGTCGAAACTTTTCATGTTTTTGGGATGTGTGATTGGCGTGAGCCATGACATCAAAGTCTACTCTACCCCCAATAACCACTCGTCATGCTTTAACATAGGGTACATCGGACCGAAGTAGAAATTGTACACATGGGATGGTCGACCATAACTTTTCACCAAGGAAGACATCTGCGAGAACCTTTTTGGAGTCCAATGGACCTCCTATGATCAACAGGGTGATCTCTAGAGCTTAGATTCACTCGTGTCTATTGACATGGAATTAAATTGACACGTCTCAAGTAAAAAAAATTAAAAATCAATTTTTCTCTTTCTTCCTCCTCCGTCCCATCCAACCGTTGAAACCATTGCTCTGCGCCTCCCCCCCGCCATCACCACTGGCGGATTCACTAGCACTATCTAGGCTAACCACTACTGCTAGTCAAAGTCGAGCCACGGCGGCCATGGAAGAGCCGCTGTCGCGTTACCATACCTGAAGCCAAGTTCGGCTCTGTTTGTGCTCTTATATCGCCGGATCTGGAGGCAAGTTTGACTTTGTTTGAGATGCGTCGGCGTGAACACGATGTCGCTGAACTCCATCTTGGCCGACAGAGCCACTCGTACACAAAACTGGCCATGGGCAAGCTTAAAAAATTAAAAAAAAAATACAAAGGAGTTGAGGGCAGATCTGTCTCGGCTCCGATGTGTTAGCCTGGACAAGACGTTGGCGACGTCGCTTGTCAAGATCTGGAGTCGTGCCTCCAGATCTAGCTTGCGAACTTCGAGATCTGCGATCATCAGTTCCATCACATCATCCGCAAGAAGAGGAAGAGAGAAATTCAAGTAGTTTGGGAGATTTTTAATTCAAGAAGAGATCGAGACTATTGTTTTTGTTCGCGAGGCTGTTGTCAGCGAGAACGACACTATTGCTCGGCGAGAACGACACTATTGCTGGTGATGTCGCTAGCAAGATCAGTGATTGTGGGCAACATCACCAATGGCAGAGGAGCATCATCGGTGGGGTCTTCATCCTTTCTCCCCTGTGGTTTGCAAGTGCCACGTCAACGGTTGAGGTGGTATGCGCTTATTTACTCTTAATCAATCACAACAGTCTTACTAGCAATAACAAGAGTCTCGATCTCTCTGTATGGTGCTTGTCCATCTCTCTCTCATCCAGATTTGACGGTCATTTCTGGCCATTTTCTCCCTTGCACGATGGACAGGTTAATCGCACGACGCGACTCTTGATTACAATTGTTGCTAAGCCATATATTTGCATTGGACGTTGATGCTGTGTGTTTCGAACGAGGCGGTGAGTGACAACGTCTTGGAGGACGATATGTGATAGTGAACAAGGGGACGGGAGTGACATACCATCCGGACGTGATGGGGAGGCTGGAGGAGAGTGGGGAAAGGTCTAGCCGGAGTTTTAGGTCAGAGTGTCGATTGAAAGCTATGGAGGACGGTAGTGAGAAGTAGGGATAAGCATGGGTCTATAGTAGAATCGGAAAGTGGACCGAACCAATCATAGCAACTGATCCAGTTCTAGGTTGCCGCAATTACCACTCCGGTTCCCAGTTCCAAAAAATGTGGAACCGGTACTATGCGATTCGGTTTGGTTCGTAATTCCTAGGCAAGAGCCGGATCAAGAACCTGGAACCTAGACTGATAAACCAAACTTGAGTTAACCCTAAATTCTCTTTTTACTCTTACTAACAATAACAAATAATGCCTCTACCCACCCATCGGTGGCCGCGTTTGTTTGCGCTCAGTTCCTTTCACGAGAGGTCCTGGGTTCAAACTCGCCCATCGGTGATTTAAGTGGGGGGTCGTGGCGGTGGGATGCTTCGCTAGCCCCCCTCGAGGACTAATCGGGCATCATCGCTGGTTTGAGCCCTAGCTCGCCGGCCGCGCGAACACCTCGGTTATCAAAAAAAAAAATAATGCCTCTCTTTATAAATATAGATTTTCTTAATGAGAAGATTATCATCAATAAATAGAGTTTACAAGTTGAAGTAAAATGAATATATGTTGTGAGATTTCCTAATAATTGTTTTAGTTTAATTAATAGTAATTGTAATTTAAAACTATTTTTATGTTTGCTGTTTCTTTTGATTTGAGGTAGTTAGAATTTGAAGCAATTTTTCATGGATGATTGAGGAGTGAATTTCTATAATTTAGGTTTTATGTTACATGTTTTGAACTTTATTATATTATATTATATTATTTACTTTATTTTACTTGTTCATTTTTTTATGAATTGTTACTATTGAGTAATTGGGATTTTTATTGTTGCATTTACTTTCATTATGGTTAACTAAAAATAAATCAAAAAAAGGAAGAAAAAATTGAAACAAAAAAAAGAAGAAATTGGCGTGTTCCCGAATAGACCCTATAACCGATTGACAAAGTAGATTCCATTTTCCAAAAACTTGGGAACCAGTTTCAACAAGGTAGGTTCTGAAACTTGGACCGACCCTTAATGAGAAGTAAAGGTTCGTTGGGAGGGACACGATCACGTATCCTGTGTTCCAGGCGGGGCAAGTGTTTGTCTAGTGAAGGAAATGGCCTTCCTACAAATAAAGGTGGTTGTCGAGGTGCTGCAGCGGTTGAAGGGGGTGCCGGCAGCGGAGGAAAGGGTGGGGGTGATGTTCATAACCCACCTAGCGGACGAAAGGGTGCATTGCATCACTATTTTAAAAAAATTTTAAGATGCTAAATTAGTATAGTTTAAAAAATGCGATTTATGTGGATGGATTTGGGATGAATCTGAATTGAATATGGACCATCTAAATTGTTTAGAAAATAAATAGGGTAATGTGAAAATGGGTGAATTTGAATTGAACCCATTTATAATCCATCCAAACTTAACCCCACCCAACCCACCCATTTTATAACTACGAGAATGCAGAGGTGATACTACTCGGGCTGCTTCCAGCTAAAGAAAATGAGATGATATAGAGACAGTGCATCTTTGCACAGAAACATCCGTATCTATTCCTGAAAGTAATGAATATACAAGATCCAGGTCAGTTCCTTCTCCAGCGAGAAGTTTTGATAGCCAACACTGTCACCGCAATGTACAGCAAGGAGAATGCCTTGAAGAACAAAGACCAACGCTCCTGCAAAAGTAACCACAGGAAGAAATAGAGTCAGAATGTTGTGACAATGCTCAGCAACTATGCAGGGTACCCTGCACAAACAAAATTTATTTTCCAAACCCGTTTGCTAATTATCTGCTTCAATTGTGAATACATCACTTTAACTTTCAGATTTAGCAAGCCAAAAAGTTCATTTTCCTATTGCCACGACATTTCTCATCAGCATAAGAACACATAATAGATGGAAGACTCTAACCAAGCTCGTGCAGTAGGTTTGCTTTTAAAGCAACCTAATGTTGAAATAGAATAATAGAATGCCTGACATGATCAAGCTCTCATGTATCCACTCTAATTTCAGGATCTGATCATAGCCTGAAAAAAATGGTACTTCAAGTCTAAAGAAAGTATGCTTGTTTAGAAAAGCTAGTGCCAACCCAACACACTAGCAAGTATCTCAAAATTCGTAAAGGAAGTGCTAGCTGCAAATTACGTAGAAGATTCATATTCACAAAGAAAACATGGAAAGATCGCCCTTTTTCTCTCACATGGAACTTATTTCTTGAAAAACAGTGACACAATATTATTGGAACTGAATCGTCAAAAGTTGAAGAGCCTTGTTCTAAACCAGGTACTGACTGGACTACCTTTTTTTCCATTTGTTCAGCTTTTTTCACAATGTCTTCTTGTTTTCTGGTTAGCTGTTTCTTTCAGATGTGGACGTCTTGTGTACTCACTAGGAATTTGGTTATATTTCCACAAAGTGCTTAGTTATCAAAACAAAAGGAAAAAAATATGATTGCTAAGCCTTTACAAATGCAACATACTACGTAAACTCGCACTCTTCTAACTCCACACAAATGCGATTCAACAGTTCCAGGACTTGTTCAGGAGTTTATCTTATTAAAAGTTGGAGGAAACCACGAGGTTATATGATAGAATGAGCAACAATCTCTTAGTCAAATCTTATAGTCTAAATCATGATTACTTCGGAATTTCATACAATGAGAAGGGAGAATTACTCAAAAATTTAAATCATCACCTCTAAGACTACTGTAAGAGCAGGCTGCTGTGCAGGTTGACATAGAAAATAAAGCCACTTGAAGGAAGACGCTGATTTGGTTGCTAAGCTACTTGATTACTTGGTCCCTTCTGAAGTTCACTGTTCCTGACCAATCTCATAATTGCAAGGAATTCCTCAGGTTCTTGATCTTCTATAAGAATCTGTTGATGAGCATTCGGCATAAGAAGACATTTAGGAACCAAAACAGTTTTAGCAAATGCTTTGACTGCTATAATCAAACACTCTACAAAGCTAAAAGGGGAAGAACTCATGAAAGGTGACATAACCTAGAACAACAGTGAGAATGCATATTGAACATATCCATCATTGTGCAAAGATAGGCTTAAACTCCACATGAGACAATCACATGAACATGGCTCATTATTGAAAAGGTAAACACGTGCCAATCCGGTAATGATGAGTATTTCTTAATAACCAGGATCGCGCAACATAGATTCACCAACTAAGTAATCCATTTTGTCTGTCCATCTTGCCCGGTTATCTGACATATTATCACAAAGACAAATATGAAGACCCCTATACAGCACACAAAGTTGATCTCACTTTCCAGACAATAGTATATATATATATATAAGGCATTAGAGGCCACAATGAAGAACTTCGAAAAAGTTAAGGCCAGCCTGCTTGCAGTTGCTTCAATAATACGAGTGGGAACCTGGGTAGACCCTAGAACCTGTGACAGGGTAGGTTCCAGGTTCCAGGTTCCAAGGTATGTAGGGTAGGTTATAGGTTCCAAAAAATGAGGAACCCGTTCCAATGGGTAGGTTCCAAGTAGGTTCCAGGTTCTAAGTGGAACCTGTATGTGGAATCGCACACCCCTATCTAAAACTGCTGGGAGTTGGGGGAAAGATTGAATCATTTGATCCTCCATCGGCCAAATCCATTGTATAACATTGTACATTCAATTAGATCGCCTATGTTTCAAGTAGATAATGAGCTAAAGTATCAAATCAGAGGCTATCTTCAATTAACTTCTATGTTAGATTGACATATCAGGTAGGATCAAGAACATTTTCTTAATAAAAACTACTGATAGAAATTGAAGACGGCAGGATAAATGCTAGCCCAAGAAGTAAATCATCAAAAACATGTTATATACAAGAAAATACGCCGCAAAACCAAGTAAGCACACCTTTGATCCGGCAGATCCACTGTATAACATTGCGAATTCGACTAAAGACCTATGTGCCAAGTTAATTATCAACTGAAGTGTCAAACATATGCTATCTTCAAGTAGCTTCTATGCTGATTGATCATGTCCGATTTGGTCATAAACATTTTCTTAGTAGAAATTACCGATAGAATTTTAAGATGACAGGATAAATGCCTTCCCAAGAACTAAATCATCAAAACCATGTCACACCCAAGAAAATACTCAAAGAAAAAAGGAAGTTTTAAAACAGTTGATTCTGTCATTCTGTTTCAGTCAACGGCACATTAATTTGAGGAATCTTTACAATAAAGCAACCAAATAAACCCCCAATCCACAAAAGGCTTTTCATAGACGACAGATGAAATGATTAAAAGCTTTGTCATAAAATGCATACCTCAATTTTGGTTTCCTTCGGAAGGCCTTTCTCTAAAAGAAAATCATGTGCAACTTGGTTCCAGTCAATCTTCTCTACATCACCTAGATCTCTGCTTCGTTTTACTGGAATTTTGCTTTCATTGCAATCAAAGGACCTTCCTAGCCAAAAGTACAGAATCCCCTCCTTTGACTGTTTAAAAAATGTAGCTGGACAATAAATAGCAAAAACAGCTCCTGAATTCAGATCACTCCTACCAAAAGCCGCAACTTCTTCTAAACTAGGCCAACAACATATGAGGGGTCGCACTTTTCCATTACATTCTAAGTCACTTTGATCAATTTCCCTTGAAATGGAAGGAACACCAACTTCTTCTAATTCTCCACTTCTTCCTAAACAACTCTGTGCTCGGATGCCAGCAACTTTGTTGGAAGACAATAGATCACTAGCAACAGGACAAGGCTTCTGAAACTTGTTTATCGGAGCCAGATATCTCTCCCTGGTTTTCATACTATCCCCTGTTTCTACAACATTTTCTCTGTCATGACCTGGTTCAAGTGATGAACAAGTATTGCCATTTGCCCAGACCCCATTTTCTTGTGGGGGAACAGCAATGGATGGAACCTGTGTTACTTTATCTTTCCCAACTGGTAGCTTTAGAGTCCTAGATGCGCTACCTCTGCGTTCAGCAAGCGAGGGTGAGACTTTCTTAACTGGTGAAGAGACCGACTGAGGGTGTGGCCTCGAAGGAAAATTGATGTCAATATAATCCTGATTCTGTGACATAGGCTGAGAAATTGTTATTGGACGATGGAGAGACAAATTAGAGAAGTTAGACAAAGTTGATGATACGGGAAGCGAACAGGAAGCCGTTGAGGGTGAATCTTGAGATGATTCGGAAAAGTACGTCGAGCTGGTGCTTGAATCAGAAGAGAGGGAATCTGGAGAAAGATAAGGAGGAGATGACGATGATGACGACGACGAAGTCGATGATGCGGGTGAACAGTTCACTGGAGAATGTACAACCATCATAGAGTCAGAGAAAACTCTGGACAGCGTAATCTTAGGAGCTGACACGAAATCCTTCATATTACTTGGGGCAAATTTGCGTCTCAACACACTCCAATTGCTTTCCCTAGCAGGAAGATGGGTTTCATGCTCATTTTCAGATGATGCAAAGGGAGGCACAACTCCCCCCTTTATTGCTTTCTTGAAAATTTCAAAATCTACATCATACAAATCTACCTTTCTCCGTCCTGAGGAAGTTTTCCTGGCAATGAATTCCTTATCAGACACTCCATTGCCAGATTTATCCATCAAGGGTAAGAGGTTAGAGAAAGCATCCCAGAAGTATGACGGCTCTTCTCCTTCCCGGATCATAACCACCGGACCATGAACTCTCTCATACCTCATAATCTGACAAACAGCCCCCCTCGCATCCCTTTCCATTATGCTTTCACATTCCCTTCCGATCCACACGTAAATTGACGAAGGTACCTGTACAATGAAAGCTCCTCTGGAATCTAGTGCCGCAGGAGAAGGATCGGTCAACATTTTAGGAACCAGATGCAAGGGATCATAGGACGAATGTGGCGCAATTCTGTACATCCTGAGCAAAGAGCTTGGACTCAAAGGAAAAGCATGGACTCTCTTTTGACACTGCAACAACTGACAAGCAAAACCCATGTTAGGATCAGCTATCCCTCTCGCAGCCTTCACAAACTGAAATGCATCATCAAAACTCTGCCCCTCTCTCCACATACGATATGCTATCACCAGAGATGTTGACCTGGAGACCCCTTGACAACAGTGCACAAAAACCCTCCCGTGTTCTTCCCTAACATCCTCAAAATAATCAAAGACGTCATAGAGGATGCTAGTAATATCTTCCGACGGACTATCCTGCAACCACAAAGTTCTATAAACAAAATTCGCTTTGAAATACTCGGGGCAAACGAAGCCCACGCAGTTCAGAACATGCGTGATCCCATTCCTCTTCAGTATATCCCTATCTTTAGCCACCGCATCCCCACCAAGATATATATGTTCAGCTACCTTAGAACACTCTTTATCAAAGAATGCTATCTTCTCCCTCTTCACTAACCCGCCGTTCTTATCGGGGTTCCGCTGAATCGCAGACATATCGAGCTTCAACCTCTCCCCGCATCTGTTCCCGCTGGGCGTGGGCGGCTGCGGCCACTCGCCCACATCGTCGGACCCCGCCTTCGGCCACTCGTCCAAGCTCCGCCGGGTGATCGACAGAGGCTGCAGCGGCGGCAAGCACGACCTCGCCTTGCTATTATGCTGGGACCGCGGGGTCAAGGGGGCAGGGAAACGGCGGCTCTGCGCGAAATTATCCGACCCATTCCCGTTCCCGTTCGAATCCGGGCAATTGTTGCCTTCCTCGCCGGGGCTCTGCTGCGCGGTCCGAGAGGACGACCAGGACGCGGAGCGCCAGAAGGTCTTGCGGGCGGCGGCGGCAGATACGTGGCACGGAGCTAGGGGATTGAAGGTGGGCTCCTCCTTACCCACCATGCTCGACTCAGATTCCTAACCTAGGGTTCGCGCAAAACCCCCAAACAAACAAAAAAAAAGAAAAAAGAAAACAAATCGAAACCCCGCTAATCCGTTCCTGCAGTCAAGCGAACATGGCGGCGTCGGCGGCGAATCCGACAGCTCGGAACCCCATATCAGATCGGCGGCGGCGGCAACGCCGAATCGTCGAACGCCCGCGAAAAAGCCCCAGAATCGAGCGGGGGAGCGGGGAAGACTCAATGCACGACCAGCGATGCGCGTAGCCCTAGCCCCCGATTTCGGCCGCAACGGAGGGGGGGGGGGGGGGGGGAGGGGAGGGGAGGCGAATCAGGAGGGCCCCGGGATTCGGGGAGGGGGGGAGGATGGACTGCGAATCCGGAGGGCGGGACTTCGCGGCGAGCCGCCGTGGGGAGCGGGAGGAGGACGGCGGCGGCTGAAGGGGTGGGGGTAGGGGAGGGGGAGATCGGGAGGAGTTAGGGTTTCGTCGATTTCTGAAGGGAGAGGGGGGGAGCGAGCGAGGCGCTGGGGCTACTGAGATGTGAAGAGTGTGTGTGTGAGAGAGAGAGGGAGGGACTGGGAAAGAGAGGGAAAAAAGAAGATGTGCAGAGAGAGAGAGAGAGAGAGAGGGGGGCAGAGGGCAGTTAACAGTATTTTTCCAACTTGATTTTTGGTTTCCTTTTTTTTTTAATGCTTTTTTTTTAAATTAAAAAATAATAATTTCTCTTTGTTTTGGTTTTTTTGGGGGGGGGGGGGGGTTGTGGGGGTTTCTGTGAATTTCCTTTTTTTTTTTTGCAATTTTTATGGCCTGATCCCCCCAAAAATAGAAAAATGCATATATCGAAGTTGGGTTGCTACCGTTAAAAGGACGGTAAACTTGGTACATCCGTGTCGCATTTACCCCTAGACTAATGTTCGTGTTGTGAAAAGCTCGTGATGTGTCTATCAAAATCTTAGAACAAAATTAGGATTCCGGCGGATTTTTCGGGACGTGAGAGAGCTCTTGGGGCAAAATTAGCAGATTTTCCAATCTCGATTCATTTTCTTCGGATTTGGCTTTTCCAAAACAACATCATTGAGGAAATCCATTTATATTGAATTTCCACATCTCATTCGCATCGCATGCCGGTTACCCAAGTTGTTTGCATGCCGATTACCCGAGTTGTTTGCCACCTATGTTGCTGCGCCAGCAATTTAACAAAGGATATTTGGATAGTGGCTAATAAAGGATACATTTGTCAAGGGTGTATCATTTTTATGACACGAAAATTAGTTTCCAGTAAATACGGCGTGAATATATGAGTTTGGAGTTTTTTACGACACGAAATGTAAGTTTCAAATGTAGCAAGGATTTAAATTTGTAAATAAGATTATGCGAAAACTTACCAATTTCATATCAATCAATTTGACCACGTTAATTAGAAAGTTTCCATACATTACCGCGCAACATAGAGAAATCGCTTATTTCACACATTTTGATCAATGTCAATCAACAATACTAACAGTCCAACAAGTAATTCAAAAATTCCGAATTTCAATTGGATCGATTGCAAAAATCAATGCGAAACTGTTGTTAAAATTCTACATTTTTCTCTCTAATTAGTCTTTTTCAAAAAAATTGACGCTTGTGGAAAAAAATGAAGGAAAAAAACGTTTACAATATGTAGGGAAAGAAAATGTTTTAAAGATGTGAATTTCGCTATAAAGGAAATTTCTATGACTGTAAATTAGGAAGAACTTAATTAAATTTCGAAAACGGAAACATTTGCATACAATTGTCAAAATTATTTAAATAACTATTTTTCTACCTTCTTATTTAATGAATTTATTGTGTAAAATTTGAGGTTGATATGGGCAACTGAGTTAACTTTATCCCTCTATTCTATAAAGTAAATCTGAAATATTTTTCAACTTTTACGCAAAATACCAACAATAAACCTGATCATGAACAACAAAATAACGGCCACTTGGGCCTGCCCAGGCCCAGAGCACATTTTTCGTGGGCCTAGGCAAGCATTTTCCCTTTTGGGCCTGCTTAAGCCCAGCAATTTTGTGGAGAAACTTTAATATATTTAAAAGAGAAAAGTGTATTAGAGGTACTACAATTTGTCACGAAAAATGCAATTAAATTTTAAAATTCATCACAAAAGTGTAATCAAGTTATAAAACTTTCAAAAAGTGCAATCAAGTTTTAAAACTTGTCAAATTGGTCCAATCAAGTCCTTCTGTTGATTGTACTTTCTGAAAGTTTTAGGAATTGACTAAACTTTCGCGACAAGTTTTGGGACTTGATTACATATTTTGAAAATTTAAAGACTCGATTACACTTTGGTGATAAGTATTAGGACTTGATTGCGCTTTTTGAAAGTTTTAAAACTCAATTGCATTTTCGTGATAACTTTTAAGACTTTCAGTGCACTTATCCCTGTTTTAAATCAGGAACGAATCAGAAATTACTATCGCGAACGAGGGGTCGGTGGGAGATTTTTGTCATAAAGCTCAAGAAAAAGGCTAGATCTTTATCTCTTAAGCAGTTATTTTCCTTTAACGTTGTAATTAATACTTATTTTCCAATGTCTATGTTTGACTGAAACCGTGATTTTAGTAGCCTATACAAATAGCGAAATTCTACGAAAGACTTACGAAATTTATCTCTCGTATCATCGCCACTCGATCTTCACTTCCATATACTTTTTATGTAGGTTCCATGCATTGGAAATCAATCTTTTTAATCTAGATCTCTCGCCCCCAATTACAAGAGCCCGCGATTGAGCGTCCCGGATCGTTCCGAACCTCGACTTCATGACCCGAGATCGAGCTCGCCTCCCTATTCTCAATCATCGGTCACCCCATTCGACGCGCGACGGCTGCAGTCGGCTCGTCGGAGTCGAGCGACGACCCGCCGACGTGGCACGCCCGACGTTCCCCCGGACCCGTGAAAATTTTTGGCGCGAACGCACGTGAATCGAGCTCGTGACCTCGCGGATTCGCGCCCCTTTAGTCCCCGGTCACGGCAAGTTGTCTCCCCCGGAAAGGGTCCCTCCAGGCTCCCGATATTCAAAATTGACGATACGTGCCGTCCTCCGTTCGCTCCCGCATCTTCGCCCCCCTCCTCTTTTCCCCCGGCGCGCGCGCGCGCCCGTGGAATCCCCGCCGGCGCTCCGCCGCCGGAGATGGTGGGGCCGCCGCCGCCCGATCACGACGCGGAGCGCCTGCTCCTGCCGCAGCCGGACGGCGCCGACCGGTCGTGGCGGCTCAACTTCGACGTTCTCCAGTTCTCGCCGGAGCGCACGGGGGGCGAGAGGAAACGGGCCGGCGGCCGCCTACACGGCTGTTGCCTCGGGGTTTTAGGTAGCGCCCGCATCATATTCCTTGTCGGAATCGTCCGCCGAAGCATATGGTGTGACCCGATACGATGCTGCGCGCGCCCTTTATGGATGCGTAATCGATGGTTGATAATTTTTTGGAATTTATGAACATTTGGCATCCGAATGTTTCTATCAAATCGTTGGACTTGCCCCGTTTTGGTTTTAGTTTCTGCGGTTGTAGATTTTTGAGTTGTATAGATTACGGGTCTCTATCACCAGATTGAGTTCGATTTAAGGTGGGCGTGCTGGGATGCATTTATATGTGGAGTGTTGCATATTTGCATGTGATTCAAGGTTCATTGGTGGCATGAATTTGGCCTTTTGTTGTAGGATATTGGGTGCTTTTTTGTTAATTGAGTTGGTGAGCATGGAGTTTTCGTCGGGTCAGCTTCATAGTTCTGTTTCATAAGGTTGAAGGGTTTTGTTTAAGGAGAAGGAATTGGTTTTGTGTCTTGAGTAAAAATCTGGGTTCTTCCTGCTACTGATGCTTGATTTGTTAGAGGCAGATGAAAGGTCAGTTCGTCAAGGAGTTCTCCTTTTGATCTTTTCTCTCTATTCTCTCTGGATTATAATCCTTGTCTAGAGGCATCTGTACATGCGTGAATGCGCTTGGTTTTTTCAAGCGACATTATCAAACCGTGTGCTGTAGCCCTTGGGCTTGTTTTCTTGCCCTTTATTTCATTCTGTCTCTAATGTTTTCTGCAGAGTCTAAACAAAATGACACTTACAAGGTTTTGACATTTTTCGCTTTTATTGGGAGATCGGAGAAGGAACAAAGGATTTAGAGGGCACTTATATATAGGCCACAGTTATAGACCAGAGATTTGCTTAATTAGCGGCTAGTTTTTGTTTATACACTACGAGGTTGCCTGTTAGAGCCATTCACTAATAGGGAAATGCTAGATGTGCAAAAAATACTTGTTTCCTAGAAGATGCAGCAAGCATCCTCTGTTGCTTTGTAGTTGGAGAAGTTTGGTTGTTAGCAAATTAATTTGGTCCAGATGCTGCAGTAAGTGTCCAATTTCATACATCTATCAAATATCTATGGTCGTGTAGGTATTTCATGGTCCAAATATGTGAAAATTTATAAAGATCTTTTAAGCTTCTATAGATAGCCATTATGTAGTCATGGGTGACAAAATGGTCCAACTTTAGTTCCTCCTTTAACATGACGATTGATGGCTTCAGGTCCTGAAGATAATGTGGCCGAGTACTATCAACAGCAGGTAGAAATGCTTGAGGGATTTAATGAAATGGATGCCCTAGCGGAGCGTGGTTTCGTTCCTGGAATGTCAAAGGTCGATGTTATATGATCATGCTGTAATTATCATTCAAAGAATATTAGTCTCTCTCTTATTCTTAGAATAAGTGCTTGCGAGTGTGATATCCTGTCCTAACATGATAAATATCTTGCTTGCAGGAAGAGCGTGAGAAGTTGGCTAAAAGCGAAACATTTGCCATCAGAATATCAAATGTTGCAAACATGTTTCTTTTTGCTGCTAAAGTTTATGCATCTATTCGAAGTGGTTCATTAGCCATAATTGCTTCCACACTGGACTCTCTTCTCGATCTTTTGTCCGGATTTATCTTGTGGTTCACTGCATTCTCCATGCAAACGCCTAACCCTTATCATTATCCCATAGGAAAGAAACGTATGCAACCATTGGTGAGTCCAGTAATATTCTCTAGTTCTTTCATACCAACATCTTTTGAATCTCTCAATATTGCTCTCGAGGCGATATTTGATTTAAGGTTGCAGCAACTCACCTATCCATGCAATACTAAGTTGTCTGGTAGTTGAATTGACGGCAGCGCCACTTCTTCTTCTCTATTTTCTTTGTTTTCCACATTGCTCATTCTAGGTCGTTCATTTTAGGCTTATTGACAACCCTGTGACCTATCACGAATGTTTCCATTTAGTTGAATGTATATACCGTGAGGTCTTTTCACGTACTCTATCTTCTGTGGATGAATTTCTTGCGCAAGTACCCATGAATGGATATAACTAATGACCAAAATAGATAACTTGCATGCTAGAGACTAAATATTGCAGTCAATTTCTGGCATGGGTTTGGTGATACCTAACATTGAAAGTTAATTTTCTACGTTAAGATTTTTCTTCCGTTTTGGATTGGTTATCCCCCTGCAAAATAAGCAAATTTACTGCGTGTAATTCATTAAAGCATGCCAAGTCTGCAGCTACAGGTGTTTGTTTTACATACTGAATGTTGAGAATTCATATTAGTATTCAAGTGAGCTGCTAGGAATGTGGTTCGGCATTTTCTCACTGTGCTCACTGTCTAAATTATCTGTTGTCCCTCTATTTCTAGTTTGCGTGGCTGCTTCCTCGAGATCTTTTCAGTTGATTCGTGTCAGCCATCAAACTTCATCTTGCCTTTATTGTTCCTCAATTCACCGCCCATACCTGTCTTTCCTTTTTTTCTCCTAGGTTACGTCCTTTTACGTGACATATAAGAGAAGAAATCATTTCAATCATAGTTAACTTGTCGACCTCTGTTTAGCAAGTTTATCAAGAATTTGCTCGACTGGTGTCCACACCCAACTCATTGTGGATATTGTAACACACAGAACTAAATGACCCTTGCCGAGTTGAGATATGGTTTTCTGCCTATTTAATTCTCCCCGTTAGAGATTTCTGCTGGTGAATTTTTTTTATTTGCTGTCATGCTTTCTGACTGTACCTCTATGGTGATGTGACTTGATATATCTACAGCCTCCCTGCTATTGGTTTCAACCAAGGAAAGTCGTGATTTTTTTTACCATCGAAGGGTTTACAGTGACGCCTGTTGTGCCTGAATATAGTGCTTATGAAGCATTTTGAAAAAAATTTCAGTTAAAAGTGGTGCTGTAAACCTTATTACTTATTTTAACTGGTTATTTGGGTTACCTATGTGGTTATCGCTTTTGTCACTTATTTTCTGGGCTTGAAATGATGTGCAGGGTATTCTTGTTTTTGCTTCTGTTATGGCAACATTGGGTTTGCAGATAATTCTGGAGTCAGCGCGCCAGCTTCTGTCTGATGTATGTGAATTTAATCTGAATAGTCAATGTGCATTACTTTCTCTGTGATATAGTCAGTTATCTTGCTTTAGATTTGATGCTTGGGTTGAACTCTATTTAATATTCACTCGCCACTGCAAAGGTTTCTAATTATTTGGTCATGCACAGGAAGCTGAATTCCATTTAACAAAAGAGCAAGAGAAATGGGTTGTGGGCATTATGCTGTCAGTTACCCTGGTTAAACTGTTACTGGTTGTCTATTGCCGATCTTTCACTAATGAGATTGTCAAAGCTTATGCCCAGGATCACTTTTTTGATGTCATCACTAATGTCATTGGCTTGATTGCTGCACTGCTTGCTAATTATTTTGATGACTGGATGGACCCTGTTGGGGCTATTATCGTAAGTCTTAACTCCCTCCCTTTGGTATTTTTTTTATTTCCTTTTCATCTGCGGAGAGTTTCACTTGTCTTGACATTGAAAGGGTTATTTTCTTATGATTCTGTGTATAAATCTGGTTAATTAGAACTTTGAATGGATAAAAGGTGCCGGGTCATTAATGAGGTAATGGGATCAAATGCATATTGAAAAGGTGATTTTTCTTATGGTTCTGCATGTAACTGTGGTGATTTACTCAACTTGATGCGTGTTACTGATTTTAGTTATCGGTAATGCTCTTGATGAGTAACTCCCGAGGAGTTGGCTACGTAGTTAAAGGTTTAGTGATGGATGCAGCGAATCCTGTATTCCAATCACAGATGCTCCCACTCAGAGTGCCCTTGGGGAAACGGGGGATGAGTGCATTTGTGGGACTTAAAGTTCGGACACCCATCTTATTTAAAAAAACAATCTAAATAATTAGAAATTTATAGAGGTTTAAGCTCCCAATATGAGTAAATGCTCGATAATGGTAGGGTGAGGTAGCCAGATTCTTGGCAAGGAACACAGCATAGTGTTTAGTATTTGAAGGAGCTTTTGTATTGATGAGTTACCTCTTTTGGTCTTTCACTCTTGAGGGAAACTAGTTGAAGGGTTTGTGATCTTTCATAACTTCTCTCTGGTTGCATGGTCTGACTGCATGGCTTGCTTCTTTATCCTGTGCTGTACCAGTTGACTACTTCCGTAACAAATTTCATGAGTTTCTCTTCCTCTCACATGTATCTTGTAGCTGGCCTTGTACACCATCCGGACGTGGTCCATGACGGTGTTGGAAAACGTGAACTCCCTCGTGGGGAGAGCTGCTGCTCCAGAGTTTCTGCAGAAGCTCACTTATCTCTGTTGGAACCATAACAAGGCGATCAAAAACATCGACACCGTCCGGGCTTACACTTTCGGATCGCACTACTTTGTCGAGGTCGACATCGTTCTGCCCGCCGACATGCCCTTGCAAGAGGCTCACGACATCGGGGAATCCTTGCAGGAAAAGCTGGAGCTCCTTCCCGAGATCGAGCGCGCATTTGTACATCTCGACTACGAGTACTCTCACAAGCCAGAGCATGCGCAAGCACACTCGTAGCAGCATCCCCTGTATCTATGGATAACTTTTAACTTTTTACATGACGAGTAACTGCCACGTCTTATGAAACACGATTTCGCTGTTGGAAGAAAAACAGTGGGCACTAATGCTATAAGATGTATTATTAATGCTGGGGCATATGTTTGCATTCGGGTCCTGATGGTGACAAATTAGGTCTAATTTTGCGCTCGATTCTATCGGTATCGTTTCCTGAGAAGAACGAAAGCCTTCTTGAAGCTAGGTTTTGGAGTCTCTTCCATTCTTGGCGTCCAGCTAGTTTGTATTTGTCATTGTGGGTGGACAGCAAGCAAAATTGGGTGTCCCACATCGACTGGTGGAAGCAAGTCATGAGGTGGTGAAATCATATAAATAGAGACGGGGAGGCTACGGGTAGACCTGCCTTAAACTAATGAGTAAGGAAAACAAAGCGAGCGGTGGGAGCCGGTCGCAGCGCTTTAACTGAAACTAGAGTTTCTTGGCGCAAGAATTTATGGAGGGGTCATAGGCTGGTCGGGCCGAGACGCTGCTTACTTTTGCAGAACTCGCTCGTGCGGGCCTCCCATGGGCCTATACCCACCCCCAATACATCAGTCCAAGTTGTTAATAAATTTCAATTAGGTATCAGAGTCCAGAAAAATCTGTGATGTGTTGTTGGTTTAATTCCTTATTTGCTTCTGTATTAATCACTATGAAGCATAGAGTATGTGTGAAATGACAATTTCGTACCATAAACAAGTGGAATCGAAAAAAATCATCAAATGGAAAAACTGATTAAATCAACTGAGAAAGGAAGTAAATTAATAAAGAAAAAAAAGGTAAATTACGAAACCCAGTAAAAGAAAAATAATTGCCCGACTGTCAAAATGACAATTACTTCACAACCCTCTTTTAAACATGAGTAAAGATGTGATTTTAGGAAGAAATGAAACGAAAGGAGGCTGTATGATGTTTTCATCATCTATATAATTAACATCTTTCGAAAATAATTAACACGGATGACATTTCGTGGCATAAATTAATCTCGTTTTCACGCAATAATTACTCTGGATCAAGTAGTTATGCGAGTACGTTTCGTATCGGAGCCTATATTTAAATCTAGTTAGGTGCAAAGCTTATCCTTAGGAACGAGTTAATACGGGATAAAAGGTTAGGAATCGGTCACCGAACCGGCCTTAATTGTTCCGAAAAACACTAGAACTCTTCTGACTAGGCTGGTTTTCGGGTAGAACCGCTTTAATTGCAGACCAAACGTTTAGATCATATAAACATATAAGCCAAGAATCTGCTTAAGCCGCTTTAGTTTGAGCCCTTTGAGTTTGGTATGACCTTTATAGCACAAGGAGCAGCCAAGTCCCATGCTCCGATGCCCCAAAACCACATACACCTGCCCAAGATTAACATTACGATAACACGAGTTGAATGGCTTATACCTAGTTCTGCGGATGCCAAGAATGACCTTTTCAGAACCGACGGGCCGGGCTCTATAAGCTCTCGGCGGGAAAAGTGCCATAAAAGTCTTAAACCTTTTGCATTAGTGCCAATTTAGTCCTAAACATTTTTTTGGTGCCAATTCAGTCCTAAACCTTTTGCATTGGTGCTAATTTAGTCATAAACCTTTTTTTTGTGCCAATTCAGTCCTAAACCTTTTAAATTGGTGCCAATTCAGTCATAAACCTTTTGTTTTTGTGCCAATTTAGTCATTCCGGCCAATTCCGGCGAAATGACTAAATTGGCACAAAAACAAAAGATTTAGGACTGAATTGGCACCAATTTAAAAGGTTTAGGACTGAATTGGCACCAATTTAAAAGTTTTAGGACTGAATTAGTACCAATGCAAAAGGTTTATGACTGAATTGGTACCAAAAAAAGGTTTAGGACTAAATTGGCACTAATGCAAAAGGTTTAAGACTTTTATGGCACTTTTTCCAACTCTCGGCCATCTCGTTCACTCGAGCGGGTTCTCGCCATTAAGCAAAATTTGCACCTCTGTCCCTTCTCAATTTCGCCTTTCTACCGAAAAAGAAGGTTTTCATCAGGTCTTCTTGGTCACCGATTTCAGTCCTCAAAAAAATGGAGCTTCTCTCGCCTGCTTCACCGTGCTACCGGCCAAACATCATATACAATGCTTCCGCCGTTCGATAAAAATGAAAACATAAATCGGAATTTTAAGTATCGAGTCCTGTTCGAGGGATGGTACTAAGAACACTCGGGTGATTTCTCACGACAACAATTTGAAAATCGACGGGGGAATAATAATGTCATTGATATGGAAGAAAGTATGGAATCCGTACTTAAATATGCTCCAATTTTTACCCGGTCAAAAAGAAGATGAATACGAAGCCCAAATCAAAGCCGCAATCTCCTTAGGGGGCGCGCACTCTACGCGCTAAAGACAGGCATCATCGACCCTTTTGGGCGCGTGCTTCCTACAATGAAATGACAAAAGGAAACCGAACCGAATCATTGCAATTCTTGGCGCTCCCTTTCACTGTCGTTTTTGCACAGACGTCGGATCGTGTCCGCCTCTCTCTCTCTCTCTCTCTCTGTGTCTGGGGCTCGTGTTTCCCGCAGCTCTACTTGGGGAAATTCGATGTCTTTCTTGTTTTTCGGTTCTTGGGTCGTCTTGGGTTCGATGATCCTCGATCGACGCGACGGACACTCGCTCCAAAATCGGGATTTTTTTGGGCTCTGGGTTAAAAAAAACTTGCGTTGCGCGTGCCCCGACGAGAGCTGACATCATCAGGCGCTTTTGACTCGCGGTGTTTCCTTTTATTCTCTGTGCCCTCGTTTCGTTGACCCAACTGCTTCCCCCGAAATCCACATGTCGGCGTGTCTTCTCTGGCAACCCATTTGCACCGCCGCTCGATGATCCTTCATCGTCGGGATTGCGCTTCTGATCTCGCTATCTTCATGTAAAATGTTGGGATCAGTCGTGGGTGTTGCTCTGGCCAAGAAAACAATCGCGGGTGTCGCTCCATGGATGCTGAGTCGATTGCTGTCCGAGGAGTTCGGAGATATAGGGTGAGCTGTTGATCTTTTCTTGTTTGTTTGTTTGTTTGTTTGTTCTTCTTGGTTGGTCTTGCGCAGATTCTGGTTTTTCTTTTGTATCTATTGAGCAAGGGGTCACGGGGTTAGAGTTCATTGTTGAGTTTTTGCGTGTGCTTTTGTCAAAGATGAATTCTATCGAGTAGAGATTTAACTGGGATTATGTGGTTTTAGTGGCATTTTAAGTAATATCGCATCCTTTTTAATGATTATGGAGTGGTTGTTGCCTGAGCTATTATTATTTGAGATGATGCCACTTTTTGGTGTAGTGTCCTCACAAATGGTGATGGGTGTTTATTGTTGGTTAGTTGCATAGCACAAAAGTTACTCTAATCATATGGTTTCCTGCATGTGTCGATCGATTTGATTGGGGAAATTAGGATTGTTCATGGGGGTCTCCGAAACTCTTTACTTCATTGGCATCCTTTGTATTGGTCTGGAATATGATTTACCTGCCTTGTACTTACTTATCCTGTTTCCATGCTCGAAAAGTTTGCTTCTTTATGTTTCCTGATTTGTTCCTTGTTTCTCCTTATATATTTTTTGGAACACTTTTTGGTATTCATAGGCATTTAGACTTTGCGCTAACACAAGTAGCAAGAGGGTTAGACACTTGTATGTGCTCCTGTTTTGTTACTTAATTGGGTTTCTATGACGGGAGTCATGACGTGTATAGTTTCTGTTGGTTCATTATTGTTCGGATTGGCTAGCTCAAGTGGTTTTACTCCTTATTCTTTGAAACCAGTTAGTTACCATGACAGCAGATGATGAGAAATATGAAAGAAGTTTTGATTTTCTTCTTCGTATGTTATTTCCTTGCAGACGAAACTTCTCATTCTCTAGATGGTTATATTGCTGAGTTTGGGAGTTTCTATTGGGAAGGGCTTAGGACTTGCTGGCAGAAATGGAATCCAGTTCTGGTCCTCCCAGTGTTATTGCAAAATTAATGGGTCTAGAGGATCTGCCAAGTCAGCGTTCTATCCAGAAACAATGCAGAGTGCTCTCTGAGGAATACTTCCAGAGAGTTGCTTCTATAGGAGTGCGAGAGAAGCGTTCAGATGAGAAGGTGTTTGCGAGGAAGAACTTTGTTAATGCAGACGCTTCAAGAAAATCATATGACATAACTGAAAATTTTCCAGACACTTTGAGATCTCATCTGGATTGGGGCAGCGAGGTATGCACTCCTGGAGAAGGTGCTTTAGAAGGACGTCACAGAGAGGAAGACAGCTTTGCAAAAGAATTCGCTTCGCTAAGATATAACAAAGGTAATCGTGCAGATTCAGATGAGGAGAAAGGGCCTTTATTATGTCAAAGATACGACTTTTGTTGTGAGGTAGAATCTTTCGGATGGAAGCCAAGGGTCTCAAAGGAAAAAGGTGACAGCATAGTAGTGGATCTCAGAAGGAGGAATGGCTATTCAGGCTTGGTTGGAGCAGGTATCAGAAATTCTGACACTTCTACAAGAGAGTCTCAGCTGTTAATGCCATATCTTCTTAGTACATCTGATAGGAAGAAGCGAAATCAATGTTTGATCACTTCTCCAGAGGAACCATATATGGCTAGAAAGGACGAGAGGAGAATCTTGAAAACATGGAAGAGTACTAAAGAAATTCAAGAGGTTGGTTGGGCAGGTGGAAGCAGGACCTTTGGGGAAATGGTTTCCACGTGTAAGTGCAATGTTATGACTAGAAATTTTAATGGTTCTGCTCCAGGCAATCACACAGGGAGGTTTGGTGCAGTTGAGAATTTGACCAGTTTCTCTGTAATTAGTACTATGGACTATTGGAAAACTGGGCGGCTTGGAGAATCACCGACTTCTAGATCCTTATTACCTTCTCTTATGTTTGCAAGTCCCAGAACTAGGAAGAAAAGTGGTTGCAGCTGGTTTAAAGGACTTGAATTTTCACATGATGTGGTTCGAAGCAGGTCTAGGGAGAAAGATTTCAATTGGAAAGACTCTTCTAAATTAAGAAACTCAGCATCCCGTTGCAACAACTCCAGAGTTTTCCTTGCACTCAATCGTGGAGGTTATGTGTCGGCTCGGGAAAAGAACAATGCATTCTCATTGGAGCCTGAAGTGATCCAGCAGGAACTGAAGAATGAGTCGGAAAAGTTGTTCTTTTCAGGAGACTCAAGACAGAATTTGGTGGCTCTGAAGTCACCCATGGCTGAAGATATTGATGTCTTCTCTAATCTTTCAGAAAATTCAATTCAACAGGTTTTGATAAACATATGTTTCTTTAATTTCTTACGGCTAGTCGTTGGCATAATTTAGGCTGTCCGTTTCTCTGATTTTTTAATGATGGACATGGAATTGCACTTTATTTGGTTCATCATCCTGTTTGAACTTCTCTTTACGTGAAGTTTGTTGCAGAAAGTCGCTTAATAAATGTAGGCCTCTGAATGTCAGTAAACTCGTGATATGATAGTATGTAGTGTATATCCTCATGATTGATGTTGACGGCTGACTTTCAAAAAGAAAAACAGACGGTGTTGACTTCCTTACTGTTAGACCAAGTTGGAAATTAAGAGTAGAGAGGCACATCATTTTGTAATTTAACGTGTCAATTATATCTTTGCCTGATAGAACCTTGACCCTGGTGTCTGAGTATTAAGAGCTTAGCCAACTGACACTTTCTCTATTAACATTAGAAATAAGTTATAAAAAAAAGAAATCTCCTACATCATGCACGCATCATTTTGAACACTAAATAACAAAGAGTATTCTCGTGAGTCTGGAAGTAGATGAAATGATTTATTGTTGATGCTCAATAGAATGAAAACCTTAGCCGGTCTTGAGAATAGAGTGATTTCGTTCAGGCCACTAGACAGTGCTAACATCAGAGGAATGAGCTGGTAAAGTAGCTTTAGCAGTAAAAATCTGGAAATCAGAGAATTGGAAATATTATGACGGTTTTCTTGGCAATTGCACAGCTGACCTTATTTCTTAGTTTCATTTTGTAGAATTTGTTCTCCACATAGATGCTTCAAAAGCCAAAAGTCAGTGTAGATATAATCATTGCTAAGAACACTGATTTTCTCAGCATGCTTTAATTTACTTCTTCTCCTTCAGCAACATAAATTCTGGATGCTTGAAACCTTTCAATTTCATATTTGCGGGTACTGCTTTGACCTTAATTTTCTTTAGCATTAAGAGAGTAGCTAGTTCCTCGTGTCAATTTCACTTTCCACTTTCAAGTCAGTCTCCTCTCAGGTTCAATGTGATGTCTGCTGAAAATTCTGCTTCATGATTTTTTGTCCTTCTTTTTCTGTGTTCATTGTGATATACCGACCAACTCTTCAAATGAATGGTGCAAGTTCTGTTTACACGAATGGAATGGTCTTTTTGTGAGCTCCTTTTGATGCTGAACTGTAGTCAACTGTTTTCAGCCAAGTTTGCCCAATTATCTTGCATTGGGTTGAACCTCTTCTTCACATTTTTCTTCTTCATCATCTCTTTAAAATGTTTTCTTGCATTTTTGTCCATGAGTTATTTAACCATTGCCTTTTGAAGATTTTACTGTCAAAAATTCATCGGCTTTGATTGCTTATCATTGGGTGGTATTGCCGGATGTTGTACTATGAGAGTTTGCTAATGTTAAGAAATCGAGCAGGACATATCAACTGAATATACAGAAGAGGAGGACTCCATGTCTGTTTGTTGCCCCAGCATTGAAGCAGTCTCTTTCAAGAGCTTGGAGGATGTTGATCAGCCTAGTCCAGATTCAGTTCTTGAACATGAAGAGGTTCCATTTAGCAGCAGCACCGATCTCTTTGGTCAGTAAACTTATCTGCATTTTCTTTGTTATATAAATTCTTTTCACATTTTAACTTCTAAAATTTTGTGATAGGTGTTGGGCTGCAATCTCGTCTTTTTAATTTGGAGCCTTCAGAAGCATGCTCAGATGGACCTGGGTCAAGCAATGGACATAACATGGAATGGCCTTCACACATATCTAAGGAAAGAGAAGATTTAACAAGGTCGTTTGCTGTTCAAGAAAGTAGAGATGTCTTATATCTCGTTGATATTTTGACCGAGGCAGGTTTTCACGGTACAAATCTTTCGAGTGGCCTCCATAAATGGCACTCTTTAGAATGCCCGATAAACCCCTCGGTTTTTCTGGCCTTAGAAAAGAGATATGGTGAGCAGAAGTCTTGGAAAAGGTCAGAAAGGAGGCTCTTATTTGACCAAATAAACATTTTCTTGATGAAATTTCTTCGTTCATTCTTAGGTATTCCAGCATGTGGAAGTCCTGTATCGACAAGGATTAGGAACAGTCTTACTAGGGACACCATTGAGGAAGTGCTCTGTGAATTTCTGGTCAGACAGGATATAGAAATGAGAAAGGAGTCGATTGAGAAGCTGCTGGAAAATGATTTAAAGTCTTTAGATTTAGGAGATTGTTCAGATTCTATTGTCATAGAGATAGAGAGGCTAGTAATTGATGAGCTTGTGGCGGAGGTTATCAGTATGTAAATGGTGCTTGTGAGGCTTTGTTTTGATTCTTGGCTTGTTTTTTTTTTATTATTATTTTATTTTTATAGAGGGGAATCGATACTTACAAAAAGCAAGTGTCGTAGTACAGAGATGGAGAGGCTAGTAATTGATGAGCTTGTGGTGGAGGTTATCAGCATGTAAATGGTGCTTGTGAGTCTTTGTTTTGATTCTTGGCTTGTATCTTTGAATAGTCCATAAATTAAAAAAATCAAGGGGCAGTAGCGGTTTTTATGTTGAAACAGTTTTGATCATTTGAGAGATCTTTGAGGAGAAGATTGTATAGATTCAATGTTTTCATTCATTTATCCATCAAATAAAACCTGAAGAGGTGAGTTCCTTTGATGCATTATTGCAAGCTTTTCATCTGTCAGAAGATCTTCAGTTACTGGCTGGTGGGGATCGTTAAGTTGCACTGTTCTGTTATGGGCAAGATTACACTGTTTCTGCTTTTGGTATTAGGTTTACTACCCAGGCTAGGATTTCTGGTTCTTGTTCATATGCATGTGTAAAATGACCGAGTGATCGGACAATACCTATTTGGAGTACAGTTTAACGTGCGCTCTCAAACTGCAATTAGTGACTTCCGTTTACCTACAAAAGTAGAGGACTGTAACAAATTGAAAACTTCAGATGTTCACATGCTCTTATAAAGTGAATGAACATTACCTACAAAAGTCAGTATGTTGTTAGGTATGTATTAACAGAGTTAAGACTTCTCAGAAGGCATATTTCCATTTCCAATCACTGTCTAACCACGGAAGCAAGGGATGACATCATACTAAACTAGTTCCATTAACAGAACTAAGACTTCTTAGAAGGCATAGTTCCGTTTCCAATCATAATTAGTTTTCCATGTGAATGATGTTCATTGCGTGTGAACCAAACCATGCAATCACCAATCTCCTAATTTAATCATGTTTACTCAACAGCATGATCCGACCACTTATATGTTATCCGATCAGGGAACGATGTTGGATTTTGTGTAATGGAACGACATTAGCATATATGCAACAGTTTCGCATCCATCCACCCTCCACACGTCTTCAAATTCGATCCCAATATCATAAAACCAAGGCAAAAGAACCCCCCATGAAAAAGAATAAGAACGAAAATAGAAAACCGGTTTCCTTCCCGCCAAATTTGAATCTTGGCAATCGAAGAAGAGAAGTCCACCCAGATCCCTTACCCCCTCTTGTTCTTGCTTCCCAGCGACAGAGAAGTAGAACAAGATGAGGAACAAGAAGCCCCAGGCCACCGTCACCCACAGGCAGCTCTCCCCTTGCTCAGATTCGTCACCCCCTGTTTGCTGCAGGATGTCGGTCCCCGTTGAGGATGCTCGGGGACCGACACCCTATAGCATCGTAAGCAATGACGAAACGAAACTCCAGAAAGTTATTGAAAAGCATTCAACTTCGATTTCTTGAAATGCGACTCACCAAATTCGGTTTGTCGTTTTTTTGGGGGTAGGGGAAACACAAGTTTAATTTGGTTGATACTCCATCACCACCAGTCAGACCTGCAATTCTCAAGTTGAACGTCGACCCCGTGGTTCATGCAACTTCCATTCCCACGAGACTGGGCATTGTCTTGTCTTTTGTTGGAAAACATAAAGGAATGTTATAAATTAAGGATTAGAAATGTATTGAGAATAAAGGAGGCGTTTCGTACTCAGGAAGAATTGCCCTTCGGTTAGACCTGAACGTGAGCAATTGGGTCGGTTCAACCGGGGACGAAACTCAAGGGTTAATATATCATTGCCGTTTCCTTTCCGGTATAGAAAAAGGAAAAAAAACAACGCCATCTCCCTTTTTATTCTAGTGAGGAATGAGCCTCAAGGCTCGAATCTTCTACCAAAATGGATAGGAAGCAAATGTTTCACACGAGATCTATCACTATCAAATTGTTTTTCCATGCGGCCCAAAAAAATTATACTAATTTAGATTTTACTATGGTTAGGGCTCATATTATAAAATTTTGATTGGCACGAATTATCTTGAAAATGTAGTGATTTACTTTTTTGTGCCAAAATCAATATTTTGGCTTTAATGCATATATGAGGCGTATATCCAAAATAATTATGGAAGAATTTTATCACCCTCAGAAGATAAAATCCATTTCTTTATAAGGTAGGGTAAATAACCTTCAGTTCCATAATCTTTACCATCTCTTTCATGTCCATCAGTTAAGGCTCCATATTGAAGGGTGGGTCTGACTATACTAATCTAACCGCAAATCAAATAAGCACTTGATCATTTAATCAATCTTGGGTCAAAAAAGGTAATCTTTTAATTTGCTATCTCGCCAAACATTTAAAATATTATTTGAATTTCTAAAATTATGAAAAATAGTATAGGTTATTCTACGTTTCAACATTTGTATACCATGCTTGGATCGAAATAAAAAGTCAAAGTGCACAAACCACAATATTTTTGTTATGCACATAGTAAAAAGTAAAAATCAACCTAGACAAATAATAGCGTGTTATGATAATCTTCCTAATTGCAGCTCTAAGTATAAGCCTAAGTCTCAAGATAACGGTACACTACTGGTTTTGAAGAGGCCCTTTAATTATCTTGTAAGTGTTAGGATGGACGTGTAAGTGGGTTGTATTAGAGAAATATCACATTAGAGAATCGGTGTGGTATAGAGCAATTAATATATTTTAGTTAGCCAAGATCTCATTGGCGATATGTTGATAGATTCGAACTTGAGTTCCCTTTTGGAAATCTCCCCATATGAAGGTATCGTGTTGGGTAGGTGTGCGTTGTAGCGTAGCAATGTGGGCCTGTAGGATTGTTAGGATGGACGCTCTCTCCCAACAGATTAGTCTTTCCTATCTTCTTCTTATAGGGATTAGTGTTTCATCTTTTTCATGCCTATAGTATGTAATGTGGTTTCCACAAAAATTCTTATAGGGATTAGTGTTTCATCTTTTTCATGCCTATAGTATGTAATGTGGTTTCCACGAAAGAGGATTAGTAGCCCAATTCAATCCCATATCAAAGAGAAAAAAACAACAGCAACTAAACATTAGGTAAAAGAATAAATTTTAATCAGAGGTAAATTTGAGACCAACATAGCATTAGACTCTGAAAACACTCCGAATTGATCAAATTGTCAAAGGGATTGAATTGAAATAGGATTAATCAGGTTATCTATAAATATACTGCTCAACACATACAATTAACACTTCATCCAAGATTTCAGCCTCTCTTCATAAAGCCTCTCAAAAGAGTTCAATTTCTTCTGCTTTGTTTCTCCATCTTTTGGTATCATCAATGCAGCCTCCTAGTAATGGGAAATTGATCACCATTGTAAGCATTGATGGTGGTGGGATTAGAGGAATTATTCCTGGTATAATTATGGATTTCCTAGAGTCCGAGCTTGAGGTAGCTACAGTTTGTTGTATTAGTTTTTGTCCTGTCAACCATTTAATCATATGCACTGTTTCTTTTTCTTTTTGGATGGTACCATGCATCTTTAGCAAAGGATTAGGTCATCCTAAAAATGTCCATCTTGAAATGCATTTGTCCTCCTAGTAGCCAACTATGCGCACTTAAATTGTACACATCATCGTTCAAATTTTATCCGAGTAGTATCCTCAAGCTAGCCGCGGATGCCACCTGACCCCTCACACCCAAGAAAAAGTTTGCCAAGTTGGTCATGTTAGGATCTGGTCATTTGCCCCCCAAAAGACTGAAACAAGCTTTTTTGTTATGGCACAATGCAGAAGCTGGACGGAGAGGATGCAAGAATAGCAGACTACTTCGACATCATCACTGGAACCAGCACGGGTACGGTGGCCTCATCGCCGCGATGCTGGCAACGCCATACAAGAAGAACCGCCCTCTATACGGTGGCAAGGACATCAAGGCCTTCTATTTGGATCGCAGCCCTAAGATCTTCCCTCAACCCATGTCTTAATATTCCCTAGCAAATATATATATAATCATATCACATGTCACGATCAGATTACTAATAAATTCAGAGACCAATCTGTCATTGTATTTTACCAACATACAACTATACGAGTCTCAGCTTCTTTCATGGATTAGATGTCCGAGCATAATTGCCAACGCTGTGAGGACGATCAAAGCCATTGCCGGACCAAAATATAGAGGGAAGTATCTGCACAGACTTATCAAGGAGATATTGGGAGATACCAGATTACACCAAACACTAACTAATGCGATTATTCCCACGTTTGACATCAAAGAATTGCAGCCTACTATCTTCTCCAGCTTCCAGGTTGGGTCAATATTAATAGAAAAACCTTATGGAATCCCAAAAAAGTAGCATTGAGTGAAAACAAGAAGAGTAGCTAGATGAGTTGCCCTATGACTTTTTTAATCGATTATCTGACCGTGTGGTGTGAGTTTTAGGTGAAGAAGAATCCTAGCTTGGATGCTTTAGTCTCGGACATATGCATCGGAACTTCGGCTGCACCAACTTACCTTCCAGCCCACTATTTTAGAACCAAGAACCCTGATGGATCAGTCAGGGAATTCAATCTAATCGACGGCGGTGTCGCCGCAAATAATCTGGTAGGCTCATTTGTATCAGAAAACTTTTGCGCTATTAGGCGCAGCATATTAGGCAATATGTGTACAATATATGTAGAAAGCTTTATCAATTTCGAGTTGGTTAAAGTCGAACCAGCGAGTATTCTTGAACCTACCATTTTGTTTTTGGTAAACCTAAAACTTCCTTAAAATTAGCTAAATATTACATATAAAAAACATGGGGCATAGCTAGACCTGTTAAACGGGTGGGTCGGGTCGGGTTTGGGTCGGGTCATAAATGGTCCGACCCAAATTGACCCATTAACCCGTTTATGACCCATTTATTCATAGTGTAAATATCTCGGCCCATACCCGACCCATACCCGACCCGACCCATATTGCTAAAACACTTTTATATTTAACATAATCTAGGAATACTTGTTTCTTATGATTTTTTTTAAAATTATACTGCTAAAATATTTTATGCAATACAAAGCTAGTGAAAAAATTTTATAATTTTTTTTAAAATTGAGGTTCTGTTTTTTTTACGAAAAATGCGACATTTCTAAAAAATATTTTCCATAAAGTCATTATCCAAGAAAATAAAAAAAATTAATATATTTTTTTATTTTTTAAATCGAATTTTTAATTATTTTTTATTTTTATTTTTATTTTTTTCTTTTTCCTTTATTTTTGGCCGATCGCCGGCCGCCGTGGCCGGCGACCGACCACAGGCGAGGACGAGCTCGCCGGAGGCCGGCGAAGCTCGTTCTCGCCGATCTGGCGAGGCCGAGGCCTCGCCGGCCTCAGGCGAGGCTCCAGTCTCGCCGATCTGGCGAG